AGCAAGTTGGGGCGTAACCAGTCGAGGCTCTTCTCTACGCTTTTGCTCGGCGGCAGCGCTCGACTCGGCGGCGGGGTCATCTCCAATCGTTGTGCCCGCCCGGCGGGGTCCTCGAGGTCGTTCGGGAGAGCGCATATCGGGGTCGAAGTTGCCAATCGCAGACTGCGTGTGCTGCAGTCCAGGCCGAGATTCGCTGCGAAGGTGCGCCTTTTGTTTTTCGGCCACCTGTACCGAGGGGTAATGGGCCGGCCATTTCAGATTCATTTCTTGGAAACTCTTCAATGTCTCGATGGTGCCGGCGATCGCCCGGCCGAGGGCGTTTTTGTTCTGGTTGTATCGCAATTGGAGCACATGGCTGCGCTGTTTCTCGACTTCGGCGTTTCCTGACCCGGCAAAAGACATAGGTGATGGCCTATCTTCGCCAACGTTAGACCGCCAGTTCATCCCGCTGCTTTCGCCATCTTGCATACTTCCGCCATAACCGGAGTCCTCGTCCAACATGGACACGAGACGGGCAGCGGCGTCGCTTGTGGTGCTTCCGCCGCCAACCGTCATGTATCCAGGTCGAGCATTCTGTCGCGGAACAAAGTCATCTGACCCACCACGACGGCTGCTGGAGGACTCTCCAGACGAGGAGGGCCGGCCGTTTCGTCGATCGGGATTCATCGGGGTAGTTTCGTGGTTTGCGCTATAAGGAGGGGCGCATGTCGTGATAGATACGGAAGGGGGGTGGTGGTGTTGTAGAGCGGGAGGCGGTGTCGAGAAAAGAATGCTGAGACAACGTCAGAGTTGGTGGTGCACACGCCACCACGCAAGCAAACAGGGATTGGCTGTCAGTGACCACTACGAGTCCACTACCGCGGCTCTACACGTCTACGTCTCGTGTGCGTCTAATGTCTGGGCATTGTTTCGATGCAGTAGTTTCACTTGAAATCCATATGATCGTATTGCTTCGATAGCGCAATTGCTTAGAGGTGGGTAACTGATAGTCAGTTCCTCCAAGGCTCGGCATCGCCATACCTGCGTATCTTGCCCTCCAGCCCGGCGGAACATCAAATGACATAATCGGGCAAGGCAACACCTTTTGCAACTTTGACCTCTCTTACGTCTCTCAATACAACTACCCGCCCAACGTAGAGCTGGTCTCTACCACCTACTCTCTAGTTTAGACGAAGTGGCCGTATCAGCCGCTACCCGCTGCACCTACTTCCAAGTCTACCCAGCTATACTCACCAACCTTCCTGCAGTCTACTCGCGACCATGAACGTATGTATACCTAGTCTTTGAGCGACATCGTGTTTGACAGCAATGCCAGATCGTAGAATGGGCCTTCGGAAAGCGCATGACGCCGGCGGAGCGACTGCGGAAACACCAGCGCGCACTCGAGAAGACGCAGCGAGAGCTAGACCGCGAGCGCGTGAAGCTCGAGAACCAGGAGAAGAAGCTGGTGGCAGATATTAAGAAGAGCGCGAAGAATGGGCAAATGGGACCTCTGCGCATCCAGGCAAAGGACCTGGTGCGGACACGACGGTATGCCGAGCCGCTACTTGTCGCATGGCTACTTTCACATGGCTAATGTTTGCGCAAAGATACATCCAGAAGTTCTACCAGATGCGCACACAACTACAAGCGATCTCATTGCGGATACAGGCATGGCGACCACATACTGGAATCTGGGCACAGCTGACATTGGGCAGACAGTACGCAGTAATGAGCAGATGATGCAGTCTATGAAGGGTGCAACGAGTAGGTTCATATGTTATAAATCTTGCCAGACGTACTCTAACACACTTCAGCACTGCTTGGGAGCATGAACAGGCAGATGAACCTTCCCGCGCTTCAACGCATTGCTATGGAGTTTGAAAAGGAGAACGATATCATGGACCAGAGGCAGGAGATGATGGACGACGCCATCGATGATGCCACCGGCATGGAAGACGAGGAGGAGAGTGAAGACGTCGTCAACCAGGTCTTGGATGAAATAGGCATCGATCTTGGCCAGGCTGTGAGTACTCATCCATCACCGAAAGCGCATTCACTAACGTTACATAGCTTGGCGAGACGCCCAGCGGACTGCAGAAGAACGCAGTACCTGAAGCTAGGGTGGCGCAGGCTGTCGGCGGCGGCGGAGCTGACCCGGATGATGACGACCTTCAGGCACGCTTGGACAGCTTGAGGAGGTGAGGGTGAAGTGCTAGTACAAGAAGCAACGCTGGAGGTGCCCGTGCAGCGCTCTTGGCTAGGTGTCAGCACTCGTGGACGTCAGATTGGGCACTTGAATAGAGCGTGCGACGTTGTCCACGTCCCAGAAACATTATGTGTCCTTTTGCGCATGGAGATGTCCGGAAGATTTTGGACGTCTAGATCCTCGTGATATTGCGATAGTCAAGGCCGGCGGCCGTACATGGAGAGTTTAGTCAGTTCAGGCCGGCTCCACCGTACGCGCCGGCCTGCATGCGCTTGAGCCTAGATCATGCGGATCGTAGCCCAAAACCCTGGAATTGGCTTTGGGTATCTTAGTGTTGGTGATATATCAGAGTCACAAGATCGTGTATCTGTTCTGCTCCCTTGCCTCCCCATTCACAGTACCCAGCGTGGTATACGTAGGCGGTGCTGCCCTTCCTGACTAACTGCGTGAGATCCCCCGCACTTCCGCGAGAAGAGCAGTCGGCATAGACAACTTCCCACTGCGCACTTGTACCCAGCACCCAGCAGCTCACTGCCTACTCCATCCACGCTACACCGGCGATCGTCCAATCTCAACCCTGGAACGTGCCCGCGCCTTGCCATCCTCTCCCAGCGTCAAGCCCTCTTCTTGCGCCAATTGATATTTCCGGTTGCTCGCCCCGCTATACACCTCCGACGTCATCACACCTAAGAACTCCATCTCCCACGACTCTTCCCCTTGCGTCTGTTTACATCCTTCCTAACATATTCTTGTCACTCGAGCCCCGCTTATTCACTTTCGCCGAATCCGCCGCCGCCCCCAACTGCATCACCGTCGCCACCACCCAGCCAGCAAACACCAGCGCCATCAATCAAGCTGGCAGGTAACAGGCGTCGGAGCGCCCAGGGAGGCTTGCTCTCGAAGATGTTTGGGAATGCAAAGGACGACGAGAGTTCCACCATTGGCACTCCTGCAAGCAATGACGCGCCACAGCCCACCGCAGCCCCGGCGACAGACAACGGAGCTGCAGGCGCAATAAACACGACCAGCAACGGCTCCGCTTCGATAGATCGCAAGCCCAGTGATGCTTCTGCGCCTGCTGAGAGAAAACGACGGAGTAGCGGCGTGTCGCGTGCCCGGGACATGTTCTCGAGCGCGAAACAGTCGTTGCATCTCGGCGGCTCGTCAGGCTCTCCCACCTCCAGTACCTCCACCATGTCAGAAAAGGCCTCCCCTCAAACCCCCATGCAGAAGCTCGGCAAATCCGATGCTGCTCTCAGTGTCCCCCAGGGCTCACTCAACAACTCTGCCGGCGAGTCGGCGCCTGGCCCACGATCCACCTTCCGCGTCGGTGTCACAGAGGATAAGAACAAGAAGTGCAGACGAACGATGGAGGATACCCATGCATATCTATACAACTTCCTGAGCACTCCGGCTCCCTCTTACGGCGCCGAGAAGACACGCGCCATATCCGATGCCAGTTCGACTCAGTCGGATGCTCTGTCGCAAGCCGTAGTCGAGACCGACAACGGATACTTCGCCATCTTCGACGGACACGCCGGAACGTTCGCTGCCGATTGGTGTGGGAAGAAGCTCCATTTGATTCTGGAAGAGACAATTCGAAAGAACCCAAATACCCCGATACCCGAACTACTTGACCAGACCTTCACCGTAGTCGACCAGCAGTTGGAAAAGCTTCCTCTGAAGAACAGTGGTTGTACCGCGGTCATCGCTGTCTTGAGGTGGGAGGACCGAGTGCCTAACGCTCAGTCGTCTACCGGCTCGGTCCTCTTCGCACCCGCGGCAGTATCGGCTATCAAGCACGCCGGCGAAGGCGAGGCCAGGGACGGTGCTGATTCCGCTGTGGAGCCTGCATCTGAACAACAAGTGGAGGCGAGGTTACGGAACGAGGCCAGTCGACAGCGCGTGCTGTATACGGCCAACGTGGGCGATGCGCGTATTGTTCTCTGCCGTAATGGCCGAGCACTTCGCCTCTCTTACGACCACAAGGGTAGCGACGAGAATGAAGGCCGTCGGGTTGCCAGCGCTGGTGGTTTGATTCTCAACAACCGCGTTAATGGCGTTCTTGCTGTTACACGAGCACTGGGGGATGCCTATATGAAGGACCTGGTCACCGGACACCCGTACACCACCGAGACTGTTATCCAGGCAGAGCAGGACGAATTTCTCATTCTTGCTTGCGATGGAGTAAGTAGCCCATCAACGAATACGTAACATCTACTAACGAACACAGCTCTGGGATGTCTGCTCCGACCAGGAAGCTGTTGACCTAGTCCGCCAAGTCCACGATCCCCAAGAAGCATCCAAGAAGCTCGTCGACTATGCCCTCGCTCGCTTCTCTACCGACAATCTTTCCTGCATGGTCGTACGCTTCGACAACAAGGCACTCCGACAGCGCAAGAATGACGCCGCCATGGGTGTAGATGGTGATCAGTCTACCATGAAGGGCGGAATTACCGAGGCAGACGCCATCGTGGCACAGGCGAAGAAAGCAATCGGCGAACCAGAAGTACCGGTCGAGGCTGCGGCACAGGAAATCATTATGGAGGAGGCGGAGGCAGAGCCAGGTCCTGAGCTGAACATTGACGCTGCGAAGGCAGCTAGGAAAAACGACGTGTAGTTTTGGACGAGGACTGTCTAGTATATGGAGGCTACAGCTTGGGAGGGCATTTTGGGAGGGACAAGGGTGGTGTGCAATGTTTATGGGCAGATGGCGGCAGTGTATGATTTCTAGCGTGCCTGAGGATCTGGTTCCGGGACCAGGTCTCTTTCGGGTGCATTCCCTAAGGTTAGCCGTATCTCACAGCTGAGCGCTTCAATTCAAGTTCGAGCGGAAGTAAAGTAAAACGTATGCAAAGCTTGTCCAACGTGTTCGTTTGCCGCCTGTTTACCTACATGACTGTCTGCCCCGCATGTTTGCGCATTGACTTCCCAGGTTCACGATGCGCTAATGACGATCGTGGGGCGGGCGTCTACCTGCATCCTCTTTCACCGCATTCGAGAAATCCTGCCTCTACTAGCCCCCGATCTCCGCTATTCCTGTCCCCGAAGCTTGGATTACTGGAGTCACACGCTCCATGCGGCTCCGAGGAGCAACGCGATAATCATGTCGGGCGTCGACACGGCAGACTCTACGACCAACGCCCTCTCCAACGATGCGCGGCCCGCCTTTGTGACGCCGAGGGACTTGCTCCAGCAGTCCCGGGCGCCCTTGCCCCCAAAAGAGCAGCCGCGCCAGCTTTCAGCCGTTGACCGCGAGCAACTGGACGGCTTGGTGCGGGATCCTGTGTCGCGTATGGTCGCAGCGCCAGCTGACAAGAGCTAGAGAACCATCAGAGCTTTCCTCAAGGCCAGAACAAGCTATGACGTCCTACCCATAAGCTATCGCCTCATCGTATTCGACACGGCGCTGCTAGTGAAGAAGAGTCTGAATATATTGAACCAGAATGGTGAGCTTGGAATCTTGTGTGTACAAAGCAAGAGCTGACGGCTGGCTATAGGAATCGTCTCAGCGCCGCTGTGGGACTCCAAATCCTCCACATTCGCCGGACTCCTCACGACATCCGACTACATAAACGTCATACAATACTACTGGCAGAACCCAGACGCTTTGGCGCGGGTAGATCAGTTCCGCCTAAACAGCCTGAGAGGTAGGTGCTTTGCTTCCACACCGACCACCAACTTACACGTACAGATATTGAGAAAGCTCTGGGTGTCAAACCCATAGAAACAATCTCCATACACCCCGATCGACCCGTATACGAAGCATGTCGCAAGATGCTTGAGTCACGCGCGCGCCGCATACCTATAGTCGACAGCGATGACGAGACACGTAGAACAATGGTCGTCAGCGTCATCACCCAATACCGGATATTGAAGTTCATCGCGGTGAACGTCAAGGAGACACAGAAGCTACGGAAGCCACTGAAGGAGCTGAATGTTGGCACATACGAGGATCTCGCGACTGCATCCATGGACACACCGGTTATGGACGTCATTCATATGCTTGTTAAGAAGAGCATATCAAGCGTGCCCATCTTGGACAGAGCAGGCACCGTGCTGAATGTCTTTGAGGCTGTAGACGTCATCACGCTTATCAAGGGCGGCGTATACGATGACTTGAACCTGACGGTCGGCGATGCGTTACTGAAGCGTTCAGACGTGAGTATCCATTTCTTTCTTCCATTTCTGCGCATTTCTGACAGCAGCAGGACTTCCCTGGTATCTTCACCTGTTCACTGAACGACAACATGTCAACCATATACGACACGATCCGGAGGTCGCGCGTGCATCGATTCGTCGTCATAGATGAGAACAGTAAGCTTAAAGGCATGGTAACCTTGAGCGACGTTCTCGAGCATACGCTACTCGAAGGCATGGAGGACGAGTAGAACGACGCGATCCTAGACCACGTGTCAGCTCCACACGCAAAGTCACTCAGAATGTATGAGCAGAGAATGAGACGATGCGACGACTGAACATTCCACTGATTGGGTGTCGAGCTCACGAAAGCATTTCCAGATACATCCTATAACGAACTGGGGTTATTGAAGAGAGCTGAAGATATTGTAGAAGCGAAACTGGCTGAGATTAGTGCACGATAAATGGTCGTAGCAGAAGTCTCACAGATACTTAAATCATCATATTCACAAGTTCATCCGAGATGTGTTTCCCGCACTTTCTTTATGCACATATACTCTGAAACCCATTTTTTGCATACTTCTAGGTTCCACGTTAGCAACATAAACTGATTGTGATCAGGTCGTCAGATACATCCAAGGTGCCTTGGACTTAACAGGAAACAACTACACTCTCACCCAATAGAATTTACACGTCCTCTATTACTACATTTCGTCTTCAGCGAGCGCCAAAATCTGCGTCCCGCGCGCCTCTGACAATTCCTTTTCGACGACCGCCTGGCAAATGTATGCAGCAAAAGCCTCCATACGCATCGCGTGGTTTCTATGCTGCGAAAGCAACTGCACCGACACCTTTTCCACCAAACCAACTGGAATATGTCCAGCTGCTTCTTGAACTTGGAGACCGAGGACTAACCGTGCTTTTCGGATGAGATGGCTGTCTGGCTCGCTCTTATGGTATAAAGCAGACATTGCATCTGCGGTCGATATGTCTTGATACATTCTCAGTATCATAACCTGAGACTCTATATCTCCGTGCACAGCATCATGTACGATGTCCTGCAGGCTTTGTATTTTCCTTGTTATTCCTGAAGGTTGACTGGCAGTCCCGGATTGTCGTATTTGAATCGTGGTGGGTGAGACTTGTAAGATCGGTACAGCAATCGCTAAGACATCGAATTCGAATACTTCACTGCTCTCTACACTTCCAGGACTAGGTGTTGAGTCTTCATTTTCGACGGCCACAGTGGGCCTTGGACAAGCCGTTAATGTGTTGCGATCATGGGTGGGTAGATACGGGGGAACGCCGAGCGAGTAGTCCACTGGGCTGGAGAATGGCCCAACCGGATTCGATTCAAAGAATGAGTCGGAAGATAGATCGGTGGATGAGATGCTGCTTTCGGACATACTGTTGATGCTGGTCAGGATGTGTACGCGTTGCTCGGTGGGAATAGAGTCTATGGAGCCGATCTGGGCCGCTTCTTCTGCGATTGTCAACCTGCTCCCAGTATCTGTATCTCGATTATCGGTATGCAGTGAAGATGCCACCATACTCGATCTTATACGCAATGGCTGTTCACAGTCAGTACCAGCTATGTTGTACCTCCTTCGAAGCGCTACTCACAGGAACGCATAGATCCTCCTCTGAACCACAAGCATCGCAAATCGATGTCGAAGCACGATTGCTACATCCCTCACACCCATCTTGCTTGCAGTAGAAGCCCGCTCGCATACCCCCATTCAGATATGGCAATATAGCCTCGGGAAGGTCACACTTCTTGCACCGACCGTGCCGGAACTTGTGGCTACAGATCCTGATCATCGTGGTATCAGGATAGAGTCGAAGGAATTGTACAAGAAAAGTCTTAATCCGGCAGTAGATATTGTGGTGTTTCTCTACAAGCATAGGTGTAGGAATAGATTGTGGGCCTATTCCATGCTCGATCTTCAGGGTTTCTTTGTAAATCAAAGAAGGAGAATGTGAAGATGGGGACGCAGGAGGAGATGACTCGGGAGATAGGGAGCATAGCGTTCGCGCACTCGCAACCATGAAAGTGCCATCTCGATCTTGTCTGCTTCGAAGTGATTTAATCCTAGTGTTTCGACGATCGAAGTTGCCGCCGAACCTGGCATCATATCGTAGTTCATCCTTTCTATCGTTTATGTCGTCGTTGGAAGTGGCCGATTTGAAGACCGCACAGGTATGCATCCCGGCAGTGTCATTATAACGAGCGATGATATCCTGATAGTCGAGGTTAGCAAAGCTCTCTGAGCTTTGATGTAGTTGCAGATCATGGTTAGGTATCCCCCGGATTTCTGACTGACAGCGATAGTGGGAGGGGACTTGGTAAATCGTTTCTGGTATGCCAGGCGTGGTAACGCGATGAGGGTACATGGGGAGCTGGTGTGCTGTCGACTCCATGGTTATCAAGTTACGATATGCGGTGGAACCTGCTCGGGGGTGTGATGCAAGGTTGCAGTAGGTGGTGATTAGGGAGTTCGAATCTGTCAAGATACTCAATCAAGAGAATACTAGAAGAATTATGCGATGAAAGTTCCAACGATTTCATTTGGTCTGATCCCTTGTTGCCTCGTGTCAAACAATTACAGTAATGACTCGAGCGAAGTGGATATGGTCGCTCCCTCCACTGTAAACCAAGTAGCCGAACGTGGCGGTGGAATTACTACATTTTGAGAAGTCTCTTACGAAGTCATCATCGAACCTCTGGGTTCTTTGGTGGTCGATGTCAAAGCAATGTTTCTTTGTCCAGATGTCTCGCCCAACTGAGAGACAGAGAGACAATGACTATGTTGAGCCGAAGCCTCCAAAGAACTTCCTTCTAACACTGGTAGATACACAGAAAGAAGTCCGCGTCGTGCGTAAAATACTTTAGTTTTGTAACAGGTCGACCGGGGCCACGTCTACCTGCATAGGTAGGTAATGCCATTCTGCACGTGACTAAGGAGATCGTGAAACTATACTCTAGATAGAGCCTTACAGAAGCTCTGCCCCTTGTACCCACATCTACCGTTTAAACGGTGATTTGAATCTATAAGTGCAGGGGCATCCGAGGTCGTACCACCCTCAAACTTGCAAACGCCTTCGGCAACTCGGAATAGAGAAAAAGGATCAACATTGGGCCAAAGAGACCATCGGATACCGCAATACGGACTTCTGTGTTGAGGGAGCACAAGGCCTCGTATAAAGGATTGGTACGTGGATCAACGAATCGAGCATCCTCACCTCCCTAGGCATGCCGAAAGAGTCGTTGACGATGACGAAACGCGCTAAGACCAATGTTTGACATGTTTGCAGCATGACGCAAGCCCAGCCACGCTCCTTTCCAACAGCGCGGCCGAGATTCGAGATTCCAACACGCGCGCCAGGCCGGTCGCAATCACGAAGATCAGGATGTGATGTGGCGCGCCTTTGGTTTGACTTGAGGTCCTCGCGCGTGACTGGCCATTGAGGGTACCTGGACGCAGCTCCACCCACTATGTTCCCAAGATCGATTGGTATGTCGATGGCGTTATCGAGCTCAATTGAGGTTAAATCAAGGTATATGCTATGATTAGGCCCCACTCTGGGGCTCGCTGTAGGTTGTCCCGTTGGTGTAGGTGTCCCGTAACACGGGCTGTGGCTGGATCTTGGGTAGAACAGGGACAAACGCAGGAACCTACGTCACTGCCCGCGTGCCTTCATAACGCGCCAACACGGGCTCTTTGACTCGACGTATACTCACGATACCTAGTTCCCTCGCCCACTTCATAATCCCTACTTTTGCAATTGATCTTGATAAACCACAGTCAACATGGAGACCATCACCAACCTTGCCAGCACTGCTGCCACTACAGCCTCGAAGCTCATCTACGGCGACCAGCCCAAGACCGAGGAGGCGGTCGAACAGACCAAGGACAACGAAACCGCAGGCAGGGAGCCTATCTCAGGCGAGCAGGGTCAGGGCACTGTCACTCAGCCCTATGACCAAGGCAACCTTGGTGTGCCCCCACGAAGTCTCGCATTAGACGATCTATGCTGACCCCGCTTCACAGCAACCCCTCTAGCCGCAGCTGACAAGGGAACCTTCCTTGACTACCAGAACAACGAGACTGCCGGCAAGGAGCCCGTCTCTGGTGAGCTTGGCAAGGGTACCGTCACGGAGCCTTTTGACCAGGGCAACGATTGTGAGTATTCAACACCCCGCATTCGACATATGGGCTATCGATAGGGCAGTATGCTAACTACCCCAAAGCCAAGGCGACTGAGAAGGCAGCTGAGAAGACTTCCACCTCAGATGAGTTCCTGAAGCTAGATCCCACCACCCAGGGACCGACCGAGACCAAGACCGAGACATCGACCGACCCCAAGATCTACTCGGATAGCAAAGATGCATCCTATGTTGGCATGCCCATCGTTCCTCTCAACCCCGACGTTGCTACATCCAACACTGACGCCTCTTCGACGGCCCAGAGCACTGGCATCACAGACAAGGCTGGAGTTACCGACAAGATTTGGAAGGAAACACCACTTGACGACATCAGTCGTTCAGGTGCACCAGGCGCCGGCCCTACAGCCACTGAATCTACAACCGCCACTTCCACCAACCCTGATCCCGCCATCAAGACTACTGCCCCCGACTCCGTCACAGCTGGTTCAAGTGTGTACGCAGCTGGCGCCGGTACAGAGACAAAGACTGATGCCGAGAAGCTCTCTGAGAACCGCGACACTCCAGGCTGGGCATCAACAGGCGTTCCTTCCGACAGCAGCAACTTTGACGCAGCTACCGCTAAGCAAAACGCTGCCTCTGGTGGATCAGAGTCCAAGGGTTTGTGGACACGGCAACCTGGACATAGTCAGAGCAGTACTGACGGTGTTGCAGGTTCGGCTGGAGAGCATGTAGGTCGCAAGTCTGAATCGGGCCGTAAGTCTGAGTCCACCGACTTGACCTCGTCCCCGAGCAACGAAGAGAAGGGTGGCAAGATGTCGCACTTGAAGGAGAAGATGAAAAACAAGCTTCACATCGGTTCCAAGGACAAATAGGTGTGACACGCAGGGACTGACGATCTTGAATGATGATGGGCGAGATATGATACCACGGCAGTAGAATGCCACTTAATACGAGAACAATGCTCGTAATGTACTATTCAATTAGGAATCTAATGGGTTGAGCTCAAGTTCGTCTGTGTCGCTTTGTCCAATCATGTTCGTGATTCAGCCTCGTGGCACTAAAGCTAGCGTCGGGCTTACTGCTCGCTATCTGACGTACATGCATACGCATGACAGCGTACAACATCTACCTTATCACACGCCTCACTTGCAACCTAATACATCGCGTTGGCATTTCTTGGACAAATTAGATTGACTCTTGTGTCCACCACAAGGCCAAATCGAAACGAGGTCGTTACCTCTTTCCAGCCCACACAAATATTCCAAGGTATGTGAGCGGTTGTCCCTACTCGAGGTGCTGTGCCGCCTTTAATTCCTTGTCACAATAGCATTCGCGCCAACAAGAATCCCTTTGTCAGCATCGTAGCCTCGTTTCAACCCAATCTTTCGGAGTAGTCATTATGATTCACTCAGTAGCACGAGATACGGATTGCCACTAGCGTGGCAACCACGCCGCCAGCACTCTCCTTCTCTGAACCACGTTTTACTGGGACGCATCTCTCGACCATACTTGTCAACACATGCTTGGCTAAGCATCAGCGCCGCAACATTGATATAGCCTTTTTTCTTTCATCTCAACTTTCTCGCTATTGCTGAATAGCGATCCGTCAACATGGGAAATATCGGCAATGAGAATGCAGCTCGTAGAGCTAACAGTCTGAATAACAGAACGTCGTCTGAAAGAGAGACTCGAATATCGAAGGATCTGTTTGGTTCGCCACACAAGCAAGGCTACATGGACGAAACCAATATGATCCGAAGAGCGGCAGGCAAGATACCGCATGTCTGTGTTGTCGGTGCGGGTGTTGCTGGGCTGAGATGTGCGGATCTGCTGTTGAAGCACGGGGTCAAGGTTACGGTCCTGGAAGGGAGAAATAGGGTTGGTGGAAGAGTCTGTCTACCCAGCCATGTAAACTCGTATGTGCTAATGAATTGACAGTTATGTCAAAGCGATGCGCTAGGTCATTTAGTTGACCTGTGAGTCTGCAACCCCAATATGGTCTGCTACACCCAAGCTAACGGTTTCGCTAGCGGCCCGAACTGGATACACGGCACTGATGACAACCCTATCCTAGACCTTGCGAAAGAGACCAAGACTATCAGCATGAACTGGGATGGTCGCCAATCAGTTTTTGACAGCCAGGGAAACCACATGTCTGACAAAGACGCAGCGAAGAACACTGAGCATGTTTGGACTATCATCGAGCAAGCAATGAAGCTTTCGAATGAGAATTCGGCCACGATATCCTCGGACAAGAGTTTGTATAACTACTTTGAAGAGCGGGTTGTAGAAATGTTCCCTAATCAGGATGCTGAATCGAAGAGGCAACAGCGAATCATCCTTCAGATGGCAGAAATGTGGGGTGCTTTCGTTGGCTCGCCCATCCAAAGGCAAAGTCTGAAGTTTTTCTGGCTGGAGGAGTGTATCGATGGCGAGAATCTCTTTGTCGCATCTACGTACGACAAGGTGCTGAAGAAGATTGCTGAGCCTGCGCTGGAACATGCGACGATGCTGTTTGAACATAAAGTAAAGCGGATCGTATCGGGAGAGGACACTGCAGATGCGGGTGTTACCGTTGAACTTGAAGGCCGGCAAAGTATGATGTTCGACGAAGTGATCATGACGGCTCCACTAGGCTGGCTAAAGCGCAATCTCGATGCTTTCGTCCCAGCATTGCCGAGTCGATTGACAGAAGCTGTTGGAAGTCTCGGATACGGGCATCTTGACAAAGTATACATCACCTTCCCAAGCGCCTTCTGGAACGAAGGAACAGCCAGCGATGCAGAATTACCCTCTGCATCTCGCGACCTAAGCAAACCAAATGTCACAGCAACAACAGCGCCCGTGCATCAAGCAACTGACTCACCAGTCAATCCAGCACATTATCCAGGCTTCACACACTGGACACATCCAACATATGCATCTGAAACGAACCCAAAAGCCTGGGATCAAGAAGCTGTGAACCTCGCCGCCCTTCCCAGAGGAACGGCGCACCCAACCCTCCTCTTTTACACCTTTGGACCAACAAGCTTACATATCGCCAAACTCCTAGCAAATAACCCACCAGAAAAGCATGACAGCCTTCTAACATCTTTCTTTCTTCCCTACTACTCCAAACTTCCCAACTACAAGCCGAACCACAGCGACTGCGCACCACAAGCCGTCCTGGCAACAGCATGGGCAAACGACGAATTCGCTGGCTACGGTTCATACTGCAATTTCCAAATTGGGCTCGAAAAGGGTGATGAGGATGTGGAGACATTAAGAAAGGGCATGCCTGAACGAGGTGTTTGGTTGGCTGGAGAGCATTGCGCGCCGTTTGTTGCGTTAGGGACCGTCACGGGGGCGTACTGGAGCGGGGAGGGCGTCGCGAAAAGGGTGCTGAAAGCGTATGAGCTCGGTGAGAAAGAGCAGAATGGGTCCTTGTGAAGCGTGGTAGGATGAGAGGCTGTAATGGGAGGGTACAGATTATGCCGGTGGCTCCGAATGAGTCGTCAAAGGGTTACATAGCATCATCAAGGTCCTGAAATATCTCCGTCACATATTCAGTACTTGCCCGACAATTTTCCATTCTTGGATTTCGGAGCATGCTTCAGCTTGAATTCCTTACTCCGCTAGACTGTGTTGTTATGTTCGCACCGAACCCGAAGTATAAGTGGGGTTTGTCGTTCATCTCCGCGTTTCAGCTTCCTCTTTTCTTTTTCTTCTATTCCTGAGTGGGTTTTAGCGGAGCATGCCGTTAAGCGCGAAAGAAGTAAGATGGTTCGCATTGGATGGGCTGGTAAACCGATACTGGAATAAAGTTTTTGTAGAATGCTGGGTCGGATGGGGGACGATCAACGGGTGCCTGGCGACTGTCGATCAACCAAAGTTGGTGCAGTCATGATGGCGATTTGGTGCGTATATATTCTGGGTTGGTGCTGCGGAGTGTGTACTCACCAAGCCACTCCTTCTCATATCACTGTCTTTCTTTGCTGTAGCCAGGACGCTCCTTTCGAATTGTACATTAAACAGAAACACACGCACACACGCAACCACTCGCTACGCAATATGGAGCGCACATCTACTCACGGCTCGACATCGTCGAAAGGTTCACAAATTTCCATCAGAGAGCGTATCGGAAAGCCGAGTAAAGTACGTAACTTGGATCAACTGAAGGTGATAAAGGGCTAATGTTGGGTAGTATCTGTGGCAGGTCCTGAAGCAATGCAAGATACTCTGATGGATCGGTTGAGCTTAACAGGGCTAGTGAGCGATTTCGGAGCAGGAATGAGGAATTAAATAGAGAAAAGAGAGAGATTATAAACTCTGCTGGCCAGTCTAGATAGTAGCAGGCTGCTAGAACACCTTACTCTCGTCTTCTTGATTCCCTCTTTAATGCAATTCCATAAGAATCTCATTCGTTGCAAACCGCCATCCACTGAAAGGACTCTCAAGATAAGCATACAAATCTTCCTTGGTCACTTCATCTCCGTACTTTCCCCAAACACCATTCCACACGCCCTTGGCCTGAACCTTGTATGTGGCTGGCTTGCGCTTAGGCATCCACGGCTTATCAAAGACTACCTCAACCTCTTCTTCAGTGCCTGGTGCAAGCGTGACGAGTGACCCATGCGGAGGAGGCATTTTGCGATTGATTTGCAAGACGGTTTGATTGACCTCTTCTCCACTCTCCGCATCGATGACGGTGAAAATACCAGTGTTGAGTGCGGAAGAGTCCAGCGGTGTATTCCATTTCAAGATGGTGTAGGTGACTTCTGGGTTCGTGTTTTTGAGCGTGATGAGCAGGGCTGGTGGGGAGCGTGAGGTTTGGGTTATTGTGAACTCTAAATCGGGCATGCTGGTGCGACTGGACATTGAATGAGGCATGCTAAAGTTGAGCGGCGTGGGGGACTGATAGACGTAGAAGGCTCCAAGAAGTGAGATGACAAGACCCGTCAGAAGGGCTGTACGTGCAGTCCACATGTTTGCCATCATTTCTCCCCGCCTAACTAGCTTAGATCATGCGATAAATCTAAGGAAGTTGGAGCCATCAGGTCGCTGTCGCGAGGACAGATCATCGCAAGTCTACATCCGGAGCATCATACTATTCAAGGACTATGTCGCATGGTCATTAACGTGCGAACGAATCATTCTGCTGGAGGCGATATGAATTACTATCAGCCGTTGTGCTTCCTGGCTAGGTACCTGCCCTGATTGGAAGCGGGGTGCGCGGCGCTAGACTGCATCAAGCTCTGTGCCGGGAGGAGCGCAATAGATAGTTCGACGTAGCTTCGCGATAAGAACAACCTGCGACAAGCATGAATGTATTTTAAGTTGACTCTAAGAACGATGAAGTTTGTTGTGGCTCGATGACCTCCACCTCAGCGTACATCATACTGTTAGTGTCTTGGCGCCCAAGTGTACTTCCAAGGATCATTGAGAGGCCATGATTCGGTTAACGCACTCCTGGACTCTAAGTAGAACAACCATTACTGATTATTGTACAAAACTCCACCATTGCACACATACATACATCGTTTCGTATAGAATGGATGCTCCCAAGACCAGCCTCATGGAGCGCTCACTTTCACTTAGCTTGGGTGCCCATGCCGCTGAATGCATCAGCGAACTCGTATGACGTCCTGCATGCTTCGGGTTTTGCCAATAATTGAGAAACATCACCAGGCACTCTGCGCTTGCATAATGAAAAGCCAACTTTCGTTGGCAGGTATTTGGCCCCCAAATGCGGGCACTGCGCCTCGCTTGGTTTCATGAAAATCCCCGGCCAAAGTCGTTAGAGCTGTCGGACGCCTGAGAGCGGCTCAGATCACCTCAAGTATGCTGGGCTTTGCTAGATACGCGCTTCGTTTCCTCGACATACGCCGTGTCTCATCGTGCTCCAGCCATGAAGACTCTGGCGCAATTCTCCGCTGTTCGTCAGGACTCTGATGACGATGCACAAAGAAGCGTCGAGTTGCTCGCCATGGCCGACCACCACAGCGACACCAAGTCCGGTACGCCTCGCCAATGGCCACAGAACGACCGCGAGGCTGCTTTACAAGATAAATGGTCACTATTTCCTTGGCGAGTAACTTCCGTTCTGCTGGCGCTCCCTCTTGCCCTCGCCGGCATCGTCAGCCTCGCAGCCGCCGCGGAAACGGTATCCCAAAGTTACATTATGGGACGAGACTGCTATCCAAACGGTCTTTGGAAGGAAGCCTCCGGAGCAACATGGCGCATTATGGATTCCTCTTACTTCTTCACACCAAACTTGAGTTTTGGAGCTATGACTTTTACACAGGTAAAAGTCATTGATGTTGCCTGGGATCTGATTATTGGAAGAGGTGGACAACTTTTGTTGGCATGGGCGAACTATCGCGTCTTCAACGAGTGGCTGGTATACCACATGGAGATGCATCACACATCGTACAAACTGTATGCCGCCGTAGCCTTCGAAACAACAACAATGGGCACGCTCGGTGTACTGGGGAAAGAATTCTTAGCTTTTGGGGCGGGCACCTGGAAGCGCTTATTCCGATGGCTGGCAATACTTTCAATGTTGCTATCCACGCTCTATGTGATCTCGTTCCCGACTTTGATGGCAGCCATGACAGGTTACATCGCGACTTATGAGCCATACATAGAGGATTTTGATGGGAACCTCCTCGGATGGAGCCAGGTGAAACAGGTGGAGTACATTATCCACGACGCTGATCGATTGGACGGTTTCGATGCGCCGCTCGTTGCTACAACAGATGACAAGCCGCTCGTCGATGCTATTGATAACTGTATGTTTGACTGCAATACTCTGGGCCTCAGCTGACCAAGTACAGACCGTATGCAGTTCGGAAACTGGACCTGGGAACATGAAGTGAATGGCGTGCCTCAGGTAGGTTCTGGCTTCAACGGTACCAACAATACAAATATAACAGCCGAATTTGTGTTGGAAGGCGTCAAGTTACCCCTGTTCCGAAGCCTCCAAATTACCAGATTTCCTGTCGAATACGTAAAGTTGAACTCCGTTCCACTACATGAACACCCTGGATACCAATATGCTTTTGAGAAGCGCCCAGACTCGAACCACACCTACGACGCGGCTTATTTGCTGGAGCATGGATCTTGCAAACCTAGCGAGACGTATCAGTGGGGGTTCTCTTACATCTTTCTATTCATGGTCTCCATCTTCAATTTCATCTGGGTCTGCATCATGGTCGGCATGTGGCTTGATACACGGCGAGGGTCAAGAATGTATAGGAGTGGCAGGAGACCTGGACTTTTGCGCAGTATTATCGAATACTCGGCAGCGATACGAGAAGAGCTAGGCAGTGAGGCCGAATATCTGGAGGAGGATGACCTGCGAAAACGTTTGACGCAGAGTAACGGAGCATTGGTTGTGGAGAAGGCTGAGCTCAGAGTGACACGTACGAGCATGAGCACTGGAGTGAAGACAACTAAAGGTGGTTGGAAGCGGAATCTCACGAAAGGCAGCACTTTTTGAGTCAGAGGACTATCTAAGCAATATATTCATCATGCTGTCTCTTGTGATATCATCAATTCGGTATCGTGACTGTTCTATGTAGAAAAGACTAGAGGAACTGTTTCACCCCCACTGAAACCGCTCCTCATCCAACATAGTGCCTTCCTCCCAGCACTTCTCTACCCACGCGACACCCACAATCCTGGCAAGTCCAGTGACCTTAGCCTTTACACTCTTGGCCGAAGAGTGTTCGTTCGGTACAACAACATGTGTGACTCCTTCCTCAACTATCCGATCAGTCACTGAACCACCGCCGAATCGAATATAGTTCTTCGATAGTTGGGCTTTGAGCATCCCGCTAGCATCAATAGGATTGCTGTCAAACGCAGCTTTTACTGTGCCAAACATGCGTGTCTTGAGATGCGCAAGTGACTCTCCGTGGTCTTCTAGTTGGTCTAGGAAGCCTTGTCGTTCAAATGCTGAGTCGTTGTCTGACCCTGCTCCTACACCAGCCAACAGCTTTCGCATATCATCTACATCTGCTATGTCGCGCGCAAACGAATCTCCATACTCATCAACATTGTTCTCGAAGTCGAGCTGATCGTCATCGTGGAGGTAGAACATATGTCGGTTTGGCTCGAATGGGAGCAGGTATGGTAAAGGGGCACAGTCTATCTCATTCTGCTTGATGCAATCCTGGATCCAGATAGGCTTGATGATGTTGTTCGTGGCGCGTTTCTCGAGTGATGCAACTTTAATCAGTCTCTTGTCCGCTACGATGACAAGGTCTTTGTCCATCGAATCGCGCTGCACAATCTTGCCACCGTTGGCTTTGACCAGTGCTTCAAGATCGGGTTTCGACTTCTTCGTTGGGTGGATTTGCTCAGTCATTATGAAAAAGCTCAGGCCCTCAAATACCTTCGATGCTGGACCCGCATATGGTGTAGCAACGGCATCGTTACCTACCACAGTGAGTGGCTTCTTCGATATTCTCGCCTTCTTCCTGCGTGATTGCTCAATCTTGAATTCTTTCTCCTTTTCCGACTTCTCAGTTTCAGCTCTGCTCTTTACTTCCAGAAATTCCTGTACCGACAGTGCCTGATCCCAGCGTTTGTCCTTTTTGAGCCCCTTGAAGCGAGGAAAGCGAAGCGTTAAAGAGAAGCGAAACTTGTCGGTGCCTTCCACACTTGCTGCCTTGCATTCCAGAACGACAGAATCTCTGGGTCTGATCCATTGATCTGGTCGCTCGTGTTGTCGATTGTGCTCATGACCGCCTAACTCAATAAATGGAGGTGGCCGTCGAGGATCCCAATTATGCCACTTGCCTTCCGTTCGGCCCCGTATGTCAGCATAGTCTTGTTGAGCAAATCCGCCTCCAACTTTGAAGAACGACCAACAATGTTCGTACTTCAGGTCGCCTTTCTTTGCATCTTTGTTCGTAAGCAGTGCGCAAAGAAAGGATGAGTGGGCGCCACCACGATGTCCAGAGCCAAAGTACCCGCCGACAACTATGCAGTCGAGCGACTCGCCGAATTCGGACATGTATTCTGGCTTAACTTTCATCCAATCGTTGTTGCGTTGATTTAGCCGATACATAGAACGTGGGTTCTTCAGCACCAGACCTTCCGAAGAATCAGCAACGACCTTCCGTAGTGCTGGTTCAATCTCTGTATGCGAGCGCGCCTCGGTGTACGGGTGGATCTCCAGACGACGATGTACGCCCTTGACGGCACTTTCCAGAGCGCGACGGCGATCACGTAGCGTGTATTGTGTGAGTAGCTTGTCGTTCAGGAATACGCAGTCAAAAACCCTGAAGACCGGTCGCTGACCAGTGTTCTTGTCCGTTTTGTTTTCTTTCTCGGATATAGCTGCGGTCTTGAGAGTTCCAAACCCAACAATGTGATCGCGGTCCATATCCCAGGTGATCATCTCGCCATCAAGGATGATGTTCCGCACATTCTTGCCAAAGGCGTCTGTTATGAACCGTGTGAGTGCACCAGCTTCGTCGCCTTGGAAGTGTTTACCGTAGAGGTACGCATAGTCTTTGGCCTTTCGCGACCAGAACCCAAAAGTTCTACCGCCTGGCGCGTCAGGATCCTCAACCATGTGAAGCTGCATACGTTCTCCATCAAGCTTCTCTTCAATCCAAAAGGTATCGTCATCGGTGTTCCCTTGAAATCTTGTGACCAGCTTCTCAAAGTTACCTACCTTATCCTGAAACTGAGCCAGTTGTGGCTGGAAGCATTGCATCAAGCTCAGCCCAGTGTCTTCGCCTGCCAGACGGACCTCAGGGTCAAATAGTTCCCAGCACACTCTTCGAAGGTTTGAAGAGATGTTGAATAACGTCTCTGCATCTGGATGCCAGATGTCTAGAATGGTCTTCTCAGTGGCTCCAATCTTCATCTGGCGAAGGACCATCCGAATGAGCCAGGTCATCTCCTCAGCGTTCATCCTTCGATAGAACCGTTGGAAGATCTTGACTTGCTCTTCTTCGGCGCCAATCTGTGATAGCTTATCTAGAGCGTTGTTGACCTCTGCGATACTCATGTCGCTGTATTCGGTCTTGAGTTGCCGGGTTGACAGGATCTCGTAGCATCGTCCAGCGAAGTCGCCGGCAGTTGATGCCGAAGCCTTGTTCAGCTGACCAGGTAGCTTCCAGTTCAGCATATGTTTGGCACCGTCAGAGTTGGGGTCGATCCTTGTAAGTTTGATCAAGACCTTGGCAATTGTCTTCTCTTTCAGACCGTACATGGCTCGATCTCTGTCCTTTTCCGGGATTATGAGACGCATTGCGGGAAAGAAGTCATTGCCCACTTGCTTGCGCCAAGTCGCAATGAATCTTTCGATGATGTTACGTTTCGCTTCGTGAGGTGACATATTAGAGTGTCCATGTGGTCCGACTCTTCGCCGAGCTCCCACAGGCTGCTTCCTTTTTTGTGTTTCCATAAGCGGATTGAATAGTTCCGTGAATAGGGTATGGAAGGGAAGTGTTTTGTGGAGGTTTATCGGACGTGTTGGGTACTTGTCGTCGAGCTCATCATCATGGCCGTACATGAGCGTGTTCTCCCTAACCGCCTCGGCATCGGCCATTGGTGTATCTTCGGCCATTTTGAGTGCATTGGATGAGTGATGTAGCTCTTGCGACAATTGTTGTATATGAGAACGAGGTCGTGGCTGCCTGGAGAAGCGCGTCACGCGTGATCACGTGGCTATCAGACTACAAGAAGCTAGCGTAATTCCCAAGCCATCACCCATGCCTTGTGGGTACACACGCCGTGTCATTCACAGGGCTGACGATACTAATCTTGGAAACCTGACATTACGACTCCACACCACTCGTTTTCTATTCAGTCTTTCGTTACTTTGCTTTCATGTTGCGCAGAAATACCCTCTGTATGCGCACTATTCTCCCCTAATTCTCCGTATACGTCATTATTGCTCACCATCCAATGGACCGCTAAATGAGCTCTGCACGCAACCAGGGCTGGGTCCCGCAGACGGCCGGCGACACCCAACACAATGTACGAGACGCTGCACTGCGAGGCGCAGCGAAAGCCTTCTCCAAATCTCCCGCGAAGCCAAAGCCTTTGGTAAACACATATACTGGAGGAGACAATGGGGCTTTGCTGGCTGCAACCAAGGTCGGAACTGGCAGCCCGGCATCCTTGCGAAGCCACCACACTGGCGGATCTGTGGGCGTCAGCAAGCCGAATCTGTCCAAGTCGAACAGCTCCAACTCGCTGAGCGTGCCTGACGACCACCCCGGCCGCGTCTCCTCGCCTTCAAATATCGCTGCTCGGCTTGCGGCAGCTCGACACAGCCCTCTGCGGCCTCTACCCCAGGCCGCTGTTCCGCCCACCATGAGCGAACACCAACCAAACGAGAGGGATGTACTGCCTCCCTCGGGCAGCGTAGGGAATGTGCTTGCGAGGCTCGAATCTAAGAAACCCAGCCAGCAGCCGCGCAAGAGGAGAGGCAGCCTCGAACCGCATTCAGCTGCCACCAGTGCCCGACAGCCAGAGTCACCACACAAGCCTACCGACGACACCCCTATACCGCCAACGAACTCGCTCGTCAGAATGTTTGAGCAAGCGCGACCTAGGACGCCTACCAAACCCTCTGCACCGATACGTGTTACCCAGAACTCTCCACCCCCTGTGCGGTCGCCGAAGCCGCAGCGTGCATTCAAGTTACCTCCCGAGCCGAAAGATGACGCACCCCTGCAGAGAGTCAGGACGCAGACACCACCACCTGTGAAGCCAAAGCCGAAGCACAAGATCACGCTGCCGCCACAACATGTCGACGGCAGTAGCGAGCAAGCATACTTCAATACACCCAAGAACGATCCCCTGAAATCTCCTCCGATCAGGCAAAAACCGGTGCAGCTGGCGACAATCAACACATCGGTTTCTCCGCCTTCGAAGCCCCTGCAGAGGGGTTCTCGGCAAACACGGCCAAAGTCTGAGGACACAACGCAGTCCAAGTCCTTACAACGGCGCAGAGTGTCCGCGTCTATAGAGAGTCAACAGTCACCGTCAACACCTTCTTCCTTCAAGTCAGCAAAAGAAGAGCAGGAAGATGAGAAGTTCAAACCTGCTCTGCCTCCGCCGCGGCGATCGACTACGCGAAAAGCAGATCCCGTACCGGCTACCAGCAAACTTCAGCCTTCGGCCCCAATACAAATCAAACCTCGGACCCAAAGTCAGAACCCAGCTTCGATGCCTCCGCTGCAGAGACTCTCGCCTCCTCGTCGGCCAACGTCAACCAGTGGATCAGGTTCACCTTCAGTATATCATAATAACTACCAGAGGGAGTCTGTCAAGCAGATTACACAACACATGACTGGCGAATCTCTGTCGAGCGCCATAATGGGCGCCGCTCTAGCCTCGCATTCTCGCAACGTTTCGCCCGCACCTCGACCTATGTCAGTCGAACCTCTTTTCCCGCCGCGCAAACAGCACCACCATCACTCTCCGTTCCATCGATCGCCCTCACCGCCTAAACAATCACCTCCGAAGAGCGCCGGGAAGATGCGGACCACAATGCGCAAAGAACCGTCGTCGTCCGATGAGGAAGACAACAAGGTCGACAAATACAAGAAAAAGGGGACACGCATTATGGGCATCAAGGGACGGAAGCACCCAAATAAACATCACGAGGGCACGCGAAAGCGTTGGCGCGATCAGATAACCGAACGGGAGCGGAAGCGTTACGAAGGTCTGTGGGCAGCGAACAAGGGTCATCACATACCATCGCCTGCTAACGCGCCGCCTGACGATGACCCATCGGCTGACGTGTTGAATCTTCTGGTCAAAGAGATCTGGACGAGGAGTCGACTGCCTACGCATGTTTTAGAAGAAGTTTGGGATCTTGTAGACAGCAGAGGTGTTGGTAGACTAAGCAGGTACGAGTTCGTGGTAGGTCTATGGTTGATTGACCAAAGACTCAAAGGACGAAAGTTGCCGGTCAAGGTCAGTGATAGTGTGTGGCAGAGCGCCAGGGGCGTCAATATCAAAGTCAAGATCCGGAATTAGTAGGAGCGGAGTCAAAGGAGCATTGCTTCGGCGTTGGATTTGTCTGTTACTGTAGATCCTAGAGATACCCATAATCGTAGTAAAGTTTCCCTTTGTTACAAGAAGCATCAGTCGTCTCCGCCTCTAATTCCATCATCCGCATTTCCTTGCATGCTCAGTAATCCGGTGCTCCTAACAAAATTTGCGGTACTCCAGAATCCGCCGCCGAATTCAAGGTCATACCAATAGTTTACCGCGCAGCAGATTCCTTCTTCGTTGCAGCTCTGGCTTACCTTGTGGTACCATAGTGCCGGCAAGTATAGCATATCGCCTTCTTCTAGTGTTACTCTGAGTGGCTGCGAGTATTGAGAGTAGGGCGTAGTGTTGATGGTGCGCTGGTCAGGATCCCATGTTGCGAAAGGTACGTATTCCTCCGGCTCATCTACCTTGATCACCATATCTTTTTTTTCGAACGTGTCAGAAGGTGAATCTCCGTTGCGCTTCAGAGTATACGTAGAAGCCAGGACACTCTTCTCATTGACACAAGCCGCTTCCACCGGTGGTAAGAGAACAAAATGCTTTTGACCCAGGATCTGAACGTAGATATTCTCGTAGTTATCCTTGTGTAGGGCAGTCGTCGAGTAGGAATTTCCGAGCCAGAAGTTGATTGCGTCGGGTTCCTGCTCTAGTGCTATTCGCGCGAAAGGTATGCTTTTGGGCACATCGGCGAAAAGCGTGGAGTACTCATTGCGGAGATTGTCGTTCTGGGTTTGCGCATAGTGTGTTGGGCCTTTATAGTCTTCCTCCCGCTCTTGCCGTTGAATCTTCTCTAGAACTTCTTGGAAGGGTTCCTCGGTCTCGTATGGCTTGACGAACACTGAGCCACCTAATGGTAGCGAGACGACTGAGTCGGCGTTCCCGTGAGGTGTGATTGCTACGTTGACATTTTGACCACGCATGACATCTTTCAGGTATGCTGAATTCCATATCTTTCTTGCTTTGAAGTCTCTAGCTCCGTTCCGGACAACAAATGGCCGGTTACGCGCGACATGGCGCATGAATTGTAATGGTGATGGTTCGGAGGTGAGCGTGTCGATCGTTGATGGATTGAGGTCATGGTAGGACGTTATCAAGTCTGTATAGAAATGTCGATATTAGTCATGCACAAGGACCCTAGCAAACTTGAAGAAGTACTCCAAGTGCGTATGAAGGCTACAACACTTAAGAATGGAAAGATGAAAGATAATGTAGGATCAATCTAACAGTTCATCCACATGGTTTATGCGCAAGCTTCTCAAAAGAGTTGGAGGGTATTCGAGGAGAGAACTTTGCATGCGAGTGAAAGTATGTAGGAAAGAAGGAAGCACCTCTTACAGCATCTTGCAAGACCCCTCTATCCTCCAGTCCGGTTGGTGCAGGCCTAAGGAGATGATCAGCACGGGACAGCGTGACTACCTTGTACGCTTACCGCAATGTAGCCTGCTCTGAGCTTTTTAGTCCCAATACTTCATCGTGAACATGAACCATGTTTGCGCGTTCAGGTACTAGTCAGGCAAAGTTCGTGAAGTGGGATACTTATCGGTGTTAAGATTTTAGCGTCGGAGATACCACATTATCGTGCGTTCCGCACTCGGTCGTTCTTTCACTTTCATGATGCTCTAGCCATAACGACTCCGCATCGGCACTGCGAGCGTTTCCAGGCACATAGTCATAAGAACAAATATGCTAGAGCGATAACAAAGCTTAGGATTTGATTGTAATGCCGCCACCATGGACCGTTACCTCAACCACTATCTTAGGGAGCTTGGCCGTAAGTCTTTTCGGGCACTACTTTCAGAGTCACTTACTAACATATCCGCAGGTAGCGCGCTCATTGTCACGAAAGGCTTCTTCATTATACACGCATTCTCCTCCTACATCGGCGGCGTAGGCGCTACTAGCGGAATCTCGATGACTCCTACAATTTCTTACGATTACCGATCTCAACCGTATATTCTTTACTCCTCGCTCCATCGCCGTATGCGTAACCTGCACGTTGGCGATGTCATAACTTACACCCACCCTATCTTGCCGCAACTGAGCGGGTGTAAGCGCATCATCGGAATGCCAGGCGACTTCGTCAGTGTAGTTACGCCTGGGCGCCGTGACTCTGATTTGAGTGCAGTAGATGTCGAAGGCAAATGGGCGAGCGTGAGAGAAGAACTGATAAGGGTACCTGAGGGGCATTGCTGGATACAAGGAGATAATCTGGAATGGAGCCGGGATAGTAGATCGTTTGGGCCATTGCCATTGGGGTTGGTCAAGGCGAAAGTGCTGGCTGTTATACTGCCGTTCGAGGATGCCAAATGGCTTGGAAGTGAGCGTGATGTCATGGACCCGCAAGAGGGTGAAAGAGAGTGGGTGATGAAGTAAAGGATTGGATGGCATTGAAGTCACGACAGATTCGATCCAGGCTCTGCGACGGCTTCCAAGATTCCCCCTTGCTTGATTGGAGGATGATGATGTTCGAGCTTGCGTTTATGTGAAGCTACGTCGCAGTCCATCAGGGTCTTTATAACCTGCGTAGCCGATAAATAACACGAAAATGTGAAATTTGTCACCATCTCAGAACCTGCACACTACCAGATGGCGTATGTTCAACATAAAAACTGTAATTGTTACAATGATCCTGGTGACAATACTCTCATGAAAACCGTCAAGGTGAGTGTCAGGAGAAGAATCTCCTCACTACCAAGGCGTAGTGCCGCGCGACGGGCACGGGCTATCATGTTTGGATCGATTCCACCCGAGAACAACACGGTGGTAAAGTTGGTCGACGCCGAAAATTTTTGTGCAAGAGGAGTGTCGTGCGCTACTCGAAGGTCCATTTCTTCATCATATCCCCGAGGTCTCATAAAAGCTCCTGGAACAAGCCTGCTAGCTGCTAGCAGGCCTGAATATCTACGAGCTTCTACGTTTACTCTCTGGGCGATGATAGATTCTGCGGTGCGGATTGGAGCGGCCGAATCTGATGATCGATTCGCCGGTGCGGCGTATAGCTCACAGCGGCAGTTTGGGGAAGTGCGATTTTGGCGCGCAGTAATAGAAAGCCAGGCGACAAGGCACACTGTATGGAACGTATGGCCGCATGCACCAGCTAATTGTACCACATCTCTAACAAGGTGTTCCGTACAGATTGAACAATCTGAGCCTTCAGGTTGAGCGCTTACGGGCACGACACCGACCATGAACAATTCGCCCTGGCTGCGAAGAGCGGGCATGCTAACTGCTGGTATCATGCTGGGCTCTTGAAAGTCTACTGACGTTCAGAGGAACCACTTATCATAGGTCGCTTGCCTTCAGTGTTTTGTAGTGATGATTCTGTTGTCAAGTCCCAATGAGGTCAGGCTATACTAGAGAAGGAAGATAATACGTATACTGTGGAATCTAGTGCGAAGAAGCATCATGTTTAAAGAGATTGTTTCTTTGTGGCTCACTATTGTCACACTTTTATAAGCCAGCCTACATTAGAGGCATCGAACAAACATTTGGAATAGCGACGAGACGTTTGAGAGGACTATGGCGTCTCAAATCAATTATGCTAGTAGGCGGAATGATAGCAAAGTGTTGATTGAAAGCAGTCTAACTTTATCGTTCTCACTAGAGTGACTCGATCTCGCGTGCCAAAAAGCTGACTTGAACGCTCGAAGAGTATTACGCTCCTGCAGCTGAATGCCGTTCAACAGCTCGCAATCTTCCGTGAATGCCTTCTTAACACACCTCCCCCCGAAATGAATCTTGTAGTAATCTAAATACTGTCTGCTGTAACAATCCAAGAGATATCAGTTGTTTCTAGACCGCTCTCCTTCCAACCTCATTAAAATCATAATGGGACGAATCTACTGCGGTGCCTCTGGAGTATCGTCATCAGTGAGTGCAGGTACGAGAGACTGATCCAAAGACATGCTATTCGATATTAGCCTCTCCATGTCTGCCTGTTCACGGCTTATACGCTCTAGAACCTCCTCGGCTCGCTACCTGAATCTTGATCTCGATCCCAAGTTGTCTGCTGATGCAGGCTGTTGATCTGATGACGTCGCAGGATATGTGCTTACCAGGGATGATGAGATTTCTTCATTGCTGCTTGAAATCCTGGCGGGCGGTTCGGCGATTGGCCTGTTGCCAGAGTGGTTCGAGAGGGAAGGAAGTAACCGTCCAGGTGCTTGTGTCTCGTTGTTGCGTTCCCTTGTGCTAACATAATCAGCCGACCATATACTAATTCCTGAGCCTATAGCCCTTCGATCAGGGAACTCGCGAGCCGATCGCAAGTCAGGAAACGCTGGATCAGCAAGGTGAGGAATTGCGATTGGTGGTGGCCGCCCAGTTGACAAATCATCCTGTGCTTCACGTGGAAAGTGATTTGGAGCGGGTCGACGCACTACAGTCGTACGCTCTCTAGAGGCATCTGCTGCTTGCAGGTGCCGACCTAGTTGGTCTTGGACCTCACGAAGACGATCCAACAACAAGCTCTGTTCCTGTTGAAGGTCACGAATAGCGCGTTCAGTCGGTGTAAGCTCAGGCTGTGGATTGATGACTCTCGGATGGCCATGGAAATCAGGAAGCCATACAGGGTCACGGTTTCCATTAGCTGTCGTATGTTGAGAACTTGATGCTGAACGTCGTACGGTCTGTGGAGGATCTGCGTCTCTGTTGTTCAGATCTGGTTCCAGTAGTAGAGAGCGGCGCTGTGCGATCGCACGTGCTGCGAGAGTGGCTCGAGACTCACGTGGTTGTACTGATTGTGTGTTCACTGTCGGTGTTGGCGTCCCGGAGGCTCCCAGCGGCGTCGATGGTGTCCCAGAAGGGCCACCAACATTGGAAACGTGGTCCGACGTGTCTGAGTTCGCCCGTCCATTGTCAAGTTGCGAATTTCTGGGAGATTCATTAATCCGCAATGCATCAGTCATAATTTCACTAGCCTGCTGACGGCGAATAGTTCCCCCGTGAGGGAGACTTGATGTCCTTTGGGGAAGACTATCCGCGTCTTCTTGAGCTGGAGGATCATTTCTCACATGCTCCAAGGCAACAGCGCGAGGACGCCGGTCTATACGGATGGGTTCGCCCTGCAGTGTTCGACGATTAGTGATATACTGCTGCGGAGTGACAGCCAGGGCTTGTTCAGCACGCTCCTGTTGCTCCACTCCCACCAAACGTCGTTGAATGCCATCATTGGCCTGCCTGCGGCGATCGCTATTAGATGGTCGTATAATAGCAGCTGCTTCTTCGCGGTGGCCGAATGGTTCGCGATTAGGAGAAGATATGGGATGCAATTGGCCACGACCTATCACTGGCAGTTCGACGTTCTGAGGCGGCGCCGTACGCCCAAATCGTGGGTCTGGCTCTGAATGTAGGTGTACGAAGTCAGCGTATGTCTCCCATGCAGTTCGCACAGGCATACTTACCATACAGTTCGTGTCGACAGTTCGGGCAAGTACCTCGCTTATGACCCGTACGCGGCGCGCTCTGATCGAACCAACTCTGTACACAGACTGTATGAAACATGTGACCACAAGCCTGGAACTTGACCACATCATCTGAGAGAGGTTCCAGACATATTGTACATTCGGCATCATTGGCAACAGGCTCCGCTGCAGTGTCGACAGCTGTCACTCCTGTCATATAGAACTCAGGTTGGGATCGAAGAGAGGGCATGTAGCTCCGAGGCCGACCAGACTGGGCTGGCTGTTGAGTTGAGTTTAGCGGCGCGTCTTGACCAAAAACTGGTAGCCAAAGACGCTGCAGGTCTATATCCAGCAGTCTAGCTCGTTCTGGACGAAGTGCATCTTGTTGCTGTTGTTCGCTCACACGCATGGTTCGATCCATGTGCCGTTGGTGCCGTTGAACTCGCCGATGCGGTACAATGATTCCATGTCGCATTCTTGCATCTTCAGGACGCTGCTCTGAGGATTGCGGCAACGTCTCCGTTTGAGGGCCCTGGTCAGCACGTCCGCGGACATCGTTCGACAACCATTCTCTGTTAACGAGCACGTGTCCGCTTCCTGGACCATCCGCCAGCCTGATAGTTTGCAGTGAGGCGCTTTGATTAAGGTCGTTTGCAGAAGCCGTCCTCCGGGGTTGGGCTGGCTCGCGCGATTGAGTCCCATCTTGAGAGTGCGAATCAATTCGGTCTGGTGGCTGGCTTGGCGACGACATAGTTACGATCAAGCTGAGTTAATTCGAATCGAAAGTGGGGTGTGGTGTATTGTCAGTGTTTGGCGAGAAAAACAACAGTTATGGAGAATTGATGGTGCTGCAAATCCAAGTGAGAAATAGTCGCGTACCGCGTTGTGGTACAAACGCGCCAAGCGACAAATCAAAATGGAAAGTAAGGGAAAGCCTGAGATGCAAGGCGTAGTTTGCAAGAGTTGCCTAGCCATAGCACTCGCTGGTTCTATGATGTCAGCTATGTCTTTGCCTATTGTAGACGTCAAAAGAGTGAGCGAAACATACCGTTGTGCAATCGTCATCTCACCATCTACCTTCCATCACCCATACCATGTTCTGTCGATGAACGGTGCAGCTTAAGATATTCATAACTAGTATATTTGCATACTCACAAGACCCGAAAATGAAACTCATGTTCCCATGCCCTGAACGCCATTGAATGCATTCTCCTTCGTATCGATTCTTCTCCTTAATCCCAGCTCTTCTTTTCCACAGACGGTGTCCCCAGCACACCAACGCCATCGCCTCTTCTCCTCCTCTTACCCAGAACTTCACTTCCCCAATCAAACATCTGCCACGCCCAGCTTCCAGCTACCATAACGCCACTCACTACGTTGACCAGCCTGACAATCAACCTCCAGAAGCCTCCCGACTCTTCTACCACGGCCAGCATAATCGGCTCGATATCGAATTTAACGAACACGCCGGGTACGTAGGTCTCTGGTACTTTGTGAGACTGTGAAGTAACAGCGTATTGGTTGGTCTTGATGGCGTGCGTGGTGTGGAAGATGTTCGAGGCAGGGTGGTCCTGTGTGGACGTGATTGCTTGGAGGAGAGGAATCATCGAAGCGTCGTCGGTGTAGATGGTGGGCACGATAGAGATGTAGTACTGAAACTTGTAGAACTTATCATCCGGTGTTGGTGTTACAGCGATAGTGGAGTCGAGGGGGTTGACGAGAGAGGGATAGTACGGGCCAAAAGACATTTCGCGGATGATATGAGAGAAGTTGAATGCTGTTGAACATTAGTGGGAGTGTCTTCGCGAGCCGTAACTCCTTGTACTCACAGGAATGGTCCAGATGTTCTCCAAACTCCATGTATCCATGGCCTCTCGCCGTGATGTGGAAGTCACCTTGGACCTTGTTTCCGATCAGACTTCCGTAGATACGGCAACTGTCAGTCTGACCGCGCACCCGGGGTGTCTTGCTGAACTTCCTCTTCCGCGCCTTGCCCAACTGCTCGTGGACATCCCAAAGCTCTTCCCATCCAGGTGCCTGCTTGCCGCTTTCTTTGCCCAATTCGTGCGTTCCACTCTCAATGTTTTTGCCAGTCCATTGCGACCATGATGTTGGGTCCTTGCGCAGGAGTTCGCCGGCGAGGGTGCGGTCACCAGCAGCGTCTTGCATGTTGACGTGAAGATCAGCGCAGCGCATGGCTACGATCACGTCGAGGTTCAGTTGCATGTCGTGGGATACGCCCTTCTCGACGGCGAATGACTGCGAGGTTGTGCCAGCGAACCAGCGCGATATCTCGGACCAGGAGAGGTAGATGCATGTCAATATAAGCGTTACTGTCCATGCGGAGGAGTTGCGACCTTGGACGAGGTATGTCTTTTTGGTTTTCGCTGTAGATAAGCGTCAGCCGTGAGGTGATATTTAGTACGAAGCATGTTGTCGCGTGGGCCTGAGAGGTCGCATCACTACATGTATCTACATATCGAGACCATGATGACTCTCGTTGGTCTGGTCTTCTTCCTGCGATCAGTGTGCGAGAGAACACTTACGGAATGCATCGAAACTTGATACGATTCCACCCTTTGCTGGCCCAAACGGGTCCTCCTCGTGCCCATGGTCGCCGTAGCCGTTCATGGTGGGCACTCAAATGTGCAATCGGGGTACTGCAGACCCAATGTCGGTTCGGTGGACTGTTAGGTAGAGGAAAGAAGCGTAGATGGATTAATGAATGACATTGACAGTTGGGGCTAATGCCGCGTCGCGAAAGGCCACCTTTGGGTGCTGCAACGGCCCGCGTCCGTGCCCGCGGAAGAGGCCCGATTTGGAAACCCCCGCCACGTGCTGGTTTCACCCCTCGAGTTTGTCGCATTCAATACTAACCATCAACTAAGCTTGCAAATCATTATGTGTTCATTAATTATACTTCGCTAATCTATGATAAATTCATCGCTATGGGAAATCCATCTCTCAAGCGGTAGTGTCTCCCAAGGCGCTGAACTTGCTGTCGCCGCCCTGGGCCAGGTCCTTGTTTTCAACCCCAGCACTAGCTGCAGTCCTCTTGGAGAGGTCGAGCTCTGCTTGCCTAGCAGGGTCGTCTTTTGTACCGATCTCACCAAACTTGGTGTTGCCGCTCATGTTGGGATCTTCTGTCAAGTTGGCGCCCTTGGGCTGAAGGACGCTTGGGTCGACATTCTTTCCAGCAGCAAGACCGGTTGGTGCTGTGCCAGCCGCACCTCCTGATGAAGCACCGCTCAGACCCTTGCCTGAGCTCATGATCTTCTCCTCATTCCATCCTTCTTGTGCGTCGCGCGCCTCGGCGTTAACAGCGGCATCGAGCTTAGTGGCGTTGGTAGTGTCGGTGGTGTTCGTGGTGGTTGATGAGGATGGCTGCTTGCTTGCTGCAGCCTTAGGGTTGCCCTCGCCAAAGGAGCCAGAGTTCTTCAGAGACTCGCCTGCTAGAGAGTCTGAAGTTACGGTGCCAACACCCTCATTGATAGGAATCTTGGATGCGGGGTCGGTAGTGACCTGAGAGTAGAGAGTTAGTGAGAGTTTCACGGATGTTATAACATGTCACATGAGGTCATGATAAGACCGCAAGGTACAACACGAAAGCGCAAGGGGCAGAGCATACCTTCTGTCCGTGCGAAGCCGACATATTGATGCGATTATAGGTTCTTGAGAGGTGGTCGTTGAAATTGGGTGTCGTTCAATCGATTGAAATGAAGAAACTATATTGGTTTGAGTGATGTGAAATACTTTGGTACGGTGCAAGCCGTCGTATGTATACCTCCAGCCCTCACGCCCCAGTGTACTTGCGTCATGACCTCGTCACATCGAAACATCCCACCTTGCTTCAGCCCTACCAAAACGACCCCGCTCTGGTCGAACGGCCGTAGATCGGAAACCGGCAGAGAATCCACCGTTCGTGTACTAGACTTGGGCATGCATGCATGCTGCGGCTGAGATGGCGTCAGGAACGGGTACTACTCGGCAAGGCGCTGTTGCTACGTGTGATGCACGCGAGCACTTGTCATTATCTCGTGTATCTGGCGTCAACATCACATAAAACACACGGGATGCTGGTATTAATCAACACACTCGTCATTCTCGCAACTTCATAGTACGCACATGTCGGAATGTTGACTTGTTGATTCATTTCATTCATTGATTATCGTAAGACTGCTCTTGCAGTCCGGCTACTAAACGCAGTGATAGTGGCCATCGTAATCGTGAAAACGCCCATTATGCTTCGGGTATCTTATTACTCCTTCTCGTACAGTACTCTACTGCTTGCCGCTGGGGTCGTTCTTCTGGGGGTATCCGTAGTCCTTGCCAGTTGTGTCGGCAAGACCAGAGTGGTCCTTCGCCTCACGAGAGACAGCATCGTTGGGAATGCCGCCAAGTCCATCCTTAGCCTCACGTCCGGCAACACCACCAGCTCCGACAGCGGGGTCGCGGATGGCACCACCACCTGATGAGAAAGAAGCTTCTTGGCGACCGGAGCCAACGTTTACGGTGCTAGCATCGGCGGAGTTGAAGTCTGAGGCGACGGGGGGCTGCTCGGGGAGAGGGAGGTTGGACTGAGCCTCGTTGACAGCTTGGGTGTTACCCTTCATGTCGGTGGTGGTGTTGGAGTAGCCTTGCTGAGAAGAGACCATTTTGAATGTGTTTGTGCTGTATGTATGTCAGTGTGTGAAAAACAGACGCGTGCATGCTGGTGAGTTTCGAGTCTCGCGCCGAAAATGACAACTTCGAAACTGTCTACCACACCATTCGGTGGAATTAAACTTACGTTGTTGGTATGGAGAGGGAGTTGAAGTCGTAGAGAATTTAGATTTGGTGTTGAAAATGTGATAGAAGTTGTGGTTGTGATACTGAAAAGAAACGAATGTTCAGGCGCGTTGGACTTTTATTATGGTAGCGGGGAACTGAAGCCCCACCGGTGACGTCGAGTTGATGTAATTCTCCATCGAAGATTCACGTCAAACTCTGACCAGGCCCTTCTCACATCATCGCAGATCGGGTATGCTTCTGCAAATCTAGTTAGCGCCGTCTATGCTTCGGAAGGAGCGAGCCGCAAAGTGTCGCGTGTGGTGTTGGCCGAGTGGAGGCGTACCAGGTAGTGTCTCAGGCCTAAGCGACACCAACCTTGGTCAGAACCTCACAACCCTTGTAATGAACGACGACGACATCAATCGGCAACCTTGGAAGGATTAAAGTGATTATATATCGCAATTGCAGACAGAAACCCATCGTCAACACAACCATAGCTTAAGCGTAACACGAAGATTTCGATCCAATGACAAGCCTCAAATTCGTAAACCAAACAGGCTCGAGAATGAAAGTAGAGTAGAAGAGAAGTGAGGAGAGTGAAGTTTGGAGCCCCATCTCAAGTTGTTGAATTTCCAAGGATCAACGGCCTGCCCGAGTTTCAAGGATGTTCAGGGTTGTGCGGGTATTCTTCGGCTTGGAAGTATTGTCGAACGTCCGAAAGGCTCTGGTAACGGTCGCTGCTCATGGGATCGAGGCCCAGTTACGCAGAAACCAGTCCTGGAAGCGAGTTACTTGAATGTCTGGGTAAACAGCGTTGAGATAGGCGGGCACCACGAAATCGTAGCGCCCCTCTGCTGTCGCAAGGAGCGGTGCGAGCCGCCTTTGTCCAGCGGTGTCTCCTCCCAATTGAGCCATTGTCATCTGGTACTCAAGGTCTATGTAGTCCGTCAGCATCTGAGTGTGCGTCTGTACAAGGCTGTTTACTTACTCGCGGGGGCTTGGTAATCGATGCTAGCCCAGGGTCTGTCTAACAATATCTTAGCAAACCGTCTCTTCGGGCAAGGATGGACTATATTTACTTCTACACGCCCTGATGGTTTCGACCAAAGCATGAACAGTCATGCGCTCACCACACATGCTCATCTCAGAAGGCCATGTAGGCATGTCGAGGGCACGAACCACGAATTGTGCCACATCGTACGCAGAGGTTAAGCATATCGATGAGAGATTGTTGGCTGCGTCGTAAATTGGCGCCATGGAAGTCATCTGCCGGGGGTCGGCAATGAACTCCCCCTCGTTACCATAGCCGCTGTTGACCCCGAGGCGATGAGATATCATCCCATTTACAGAGAAGCGCTCGTATAGTATGCCACAAACGAAAACCGTATACTGCATATGGCTGCGATAATGATGCAACAAAGCCAAAGCTGAGTTGCGTCCCCGATCGAGCAACGCATTCTGGCCTCGCAAACCTGGCTGGCCTTCAAATTCTGCAGGCGCAAAGCGGCGTACCCTGCACTGTACAGCCGCTTCTATGAGGCGGAGTTGTGGATTGCCCATGACAGTTGAGATGACTGTGTCAACGCCCATTAACGCGTGTTGAAGCGAAGCGGGGTTATTGTAATCCACAGCTTGACAGTTATAGCCGGACGCTATGAGGCTTGTTTGATGCTGATGAGTATCAGTGCGGCTCCTTGTAGTCAAAATATGGTATATAATTCCCCTGAGGCACTTACAGTCCGTGATAGGATGATCAGCTGGTGGCTCGTCGAGTTATTGATCTCCTGGGCGATCAAGAGTGCTAGGCCAGAGGTACCTGCAAACGTAAGAAGGATGTCTGCACGAGTGGTGTTCTTGCTTGTCGAACGGATGCCTTACCTGCTATTGCGACGCGCATATTGCTGGACATTGCTTCACCAAGCTTTGTTCAGTCGAATGAATATTCTGGGGGATGTGGACTTATGACTTCAACTCTGTAACTTCTGTCCCACAGAGCTCAGACGTAAGTCGGGCTTCAATATTGTGCCCATCAACACCCTCATTGTTATGATATAGAGGCCCGTGACTCACAAGGGTGGCACTGGATCAGTGAAGACGGTGAATGGGACGCACAGATCATAGCAGCCGGCCTGAAATGTTCCAATAATGCTGGAAAGCGGCGTTCATTGGGACATCGCTTACAATGTAGACGTATGTGGAAGTGACGTTACCAATGAGCATGTTTTGAAGCGTAAAGTAACAGACGGAAAGCCTGTTGTGTCAAGAAATCTCCTCAAGCCCAGTCTAGTGCTAGCATGGTGGGAGAACGACTGCCACCGTCTTCTGTAACGTTCAAGGATGTTCGGAGGTAGGCGTGGCGAGATATGGTGAAGGGCTGAGGGCGGAATTCTTAGCCTCTTAGGACCAGTTGCCTATTTCCAACGCCTCTTCCGCTAGAACGCTGGTCGCCAGCCGATATAAAGGGGCCGATTCGCTGGTCTGGTGTGTATGAACGTTTCATGGCTCTTGGCTGAACATGTGATACAGTGGAAGAGATGGCACACCTGTTACGGACGTGGGATAAATGCCGGAAAGAGAGGAATAGAGGCCTAAGCTCTGCGTCTCGCCAAAGGACTAGAGATGAAATCGATGAAAGAAAGCTCTGGCCTCGACGAATGAAAGCCAGACAGGCATTGAGACCGTGCGTAATGATGTCCTGCGATCATGCAACTAGGAAGTGAGCTCCAGCCAATTGAGGTCCTAGCTTAACGTTCAGTCATGGCCCACGTCCCAGTAGTTGAGAGACGGATCGTATCGTACGAAGGAATCCAAAGTCCCGGAATTGTTGCAGCGGAAGCGGAACCTACCTATGAAAGTGGGCCCGTAGGGCTAGCCCTACACAACGATGCGACCGCATCTCTAGCCAAACTGCAGTTTCTCGGTTGTGAAGGCCTCGTGCGAGGTCCTCGGTATAGTAGCTCGGCTACACGAATGAGAATCTAGCGGCCGGGTAGTGTTGCTCTGCAGGGCCGTCCAGACCGACAAACCGTTGGTGGCTAGAATCTAGGTAGGGGAAGCCTCCACCAATCGTTCATTGTAGCAGAGGGCCAGGAGGCAGCGGGGAGTTGCCGAGATAGGGAAATGGGGCCAAAACCGGTGAGGCTCAATGGTTGCATGACGCCACAGGAACCAGGTTAAATCTTCATCGCTAAAGGCGCGAGCATTGGATCTCCAGAAGTGCCATACACATCACGTGGGTGTATGATAGTAAGCTGTCTGACGAATGCTTTCTGTCGACTTCGGTCCGAGGGAAGCAGTTTACTCATCGCCCTAGGTGCAGACATCGTTGGCATGTATTGTTCAAGGCAGAAAGGGGCCGATAGGTCTTTACGCAAGAGAATTGTGTCTCTAAGTTACGGATAACGCCGACTCTTACACTAACACCTTCTGCCTTGTATGGACATCTTCACCGGTGGAGGTGGGGTAACAGGAAAATCGAACAATGAGCGTGGGATTAGACAGAAGTGTATGCAGAAGGTCAGATGCTAAGAAGGACAAGTGAGTACGCGCATCTGCGGGAATAGAGATAGAACGGTAGTTTAGTATTGTACAGTGCATCTTACGGTGAGGGTTGTCGCCAAGGTCGTTAGACTGCAGGCCGGACCTAGATAATCGTTGGATAGCGTGTCGCTGCCTAGACCGTAACCGCGATGATGCGTAGATGGCATCGGAGGTTCCCGATGATAGAGAGTTTGTGTGGAGCGTCGATGTGACTGGAATCGTGAGGTGTTTGACTCGTGTTTCGCGGGCACGATCACAAGTGTTAGCGCGTCACGTGCCGACGTGTTTCACCGCGTTCTTTTTGAGCACTAGCTGCCTCGGCCAAACGCGCTTGCAAATAGAGCAGTTCATCTCCTCACGTCTCATTCACGTGTGCATCTCGCGTAGGAGTAGACGACCTCCGAAGAGGGACCACAATCTACAGCATACGGATGCAACAGCAGGAGGACCATGCTGTGTAATTGATCGTGCCCATACGCGATCCTCGAGCGCGCTCTAAAATAGGGCTGAGAAGACTGGAAAAGCAAGATTTCATAATTGTCGTCCCGCACTCGCGTAGTTCTGCGCAAGGCGCGCCGATGAACCATAAGAAAGACGAACTCGCTCAGAGGATGCACGCGTTCGGATGAGATGCGCTTGGATTGGACATAATTGAGCGTGTTGTTTCCTCAGCCTCAGCATGCTCGTGCATACGTGACGATCTGCAGTATGGATAATGGCAGATATGAGGCTGGTGTGATTGTGTGCACAGACGACGAGTTCAGGCAAGTGGTATGCACGACATAGGCAAGCGCCCGGCTCGGACCAATCTGATACGTACGCGACTGAAGACGCGCCTCGCACACTACTTTCCTGCCACCATATTGAACGCGTTGTGCTTCCTACTATAATATTCATTCGCATGGTAGACCTTCTTTGATAACACCAAGTTCAATTCCCGACATTCGTTGTTATCATCCCATCATGTCCGCCTCATCGCCCCTGCCATCGTTCTCGTCACCTGCGTCATCGCGTCTTCCCACTGCTAGACGCGCCAGTTTTAGTGGTCAATTGGCCTTTCTCGTGCATTCGCAGGAAACCGTCGCGAACCATATGCCGCCGGATGTTGACAACAAGGCTCTTGCTCGCCAGAAGAGAAGACGCACCAGGTATGCTTCTATCCCATTCAAGTTCTGCCCTTCCATCGCATCCGTGTCGACCCATGTTCAACGCGTTGGTTCGTGCTCAACCTACCATCGGGAACTACTTCGGCCTACCCCGCGGGCAAGCGACACTCCAACACCCCATCAGCGCTGACCACGACATCTTGCAGCAAGGAAGACGAGGACGTCCTAAAATCCGAATACCTCAGGAATCCGAAGCCAGACAAGGCGGCACGTCTCGAAATTGTCCGAAAAGTCGCGCTTGGCGAGAAGGAAGTTCAGGTAAGGCGCCAATATTGCTCCACGTCACGAGTGTGCGCGCCCCTGCTAACATCGCGTCCTAGATCTGGTTTCAAAGTAAGTATTACCGTCTGCTCTACGCGTCGCTGCTGCTTGCTTTTCATCCGCCTTCTATTGGATCGCGCCGATATGTCGCGTGTGGCTTAATGGACGCATGATTTTCGAAACACGTTCTGATCACGCTCTGCTTTAGATAAACGCCAAAACGACCGCCGTCGCTCACGGCCCCTCGAACCATCTTCCACGGCATCGCTGATGTCTTCTTCTTCCACCATGTCGGACCCGCTCACCGAGGACGAGACGGTAGCCATAGCACACAATATCGATAACGCGCCGGAGCCGAAAGAGTCGGACGAGTGCCCCAAGTCCGACCCACCAGAGCAGCCTGCAACACCAGAACTTACTTCAGACGAAACCATCCCAGAACCGCGCACCATCGACACTGCCATTTCCGCGCTCGATCCAGGAAGCTCCAATGAAGCAGTCGTAGAACCATCGACCGAAGCCCAAAGTACAGAAAATGCATCTGCTGAAGTAAGCAACTCGCAACAGACTGCACCATCCTCACAGGGCACCGCACAACAACGCACATCATGGATATCCAACCGTCGCAGCGCGTCATTCGTCCGATATCTCGAAGACTACACGCCCGAAGTCATCACCTTTCCGAACCCTCCGCAGCCTTCTGTGTCGCCCGACAATGCGACAAAGACCCCTTCCCGACCACTGAAGCGCAAGCATTCCTTTGTACGAATATCAACCAATGAGGACGGCACAGCACGCATCGTCACCGATCTTGACAAAACCCCATCACCCCCTAAATCAAAGAAGACGCCTTCTTCCTTCTCTCGTGCTGCTGCTGGCCTGCGACGGAGCTACAGCGCAGCTGGACTGAACGATCGCCTAGCCGCTGCTGCCCGAGGAGAGCCAAGCCCAAAGGTACCTAGGACAGCGTCGAACATAGGAAGGAGTCGAGATTCGCGCGCGTGGGAGTTCTGGTGTGACCCAGAGAGTCGGTCAACAACCAGCTTAATAACACGTGCGGAGCAAGAAGAGAGTGGCAGTGCGGCTGACGCGATTGGCATACTACGCGCGAATCGAAGAATATTAGCACAGAACCAAGCTCGCCAAAACAGTAGCCCCTTGATGGCACGTCACAGCTCACACAAAGTGCAGGGCAGCCCACTCGTTAAAAAGTCCCGCGGTGCTATGCAACGCGCTTCGACCATCAATGGTCGCTTTTCTAACGACGACTATGCCGACTACAAGAAGGGTGGTGAGAGCACTGAGTCGGACGAGTTCCCACAAACGGAAAGCGACAAGGAGAACTGGGAGCCTGACGCGCCCAAGTCTGTGCGACGCGATCGCCAGGTCGCCACTACACCTCCTGCTTCCCGTGCAGCTCGCCGGATACTGGGAGAGAACACAGACCTGATGTCACAGACCTCAAGTCTCGGTACAATGCTAGCCAAGGACAAGCAAAAAGGCGGTAAGGGTGTCGTCGACCCAGAGCAAGACGATGAACTGCGGCAGTTTATGCACGGTGACGATGCGAGTGGTCGTTCAAGTATAAACTCTGCAGAAGAGGCGGGATGTGTAGAGGGCCTGCTGAAGCTGAGCCAGGGTCAATGGAGATGATCAGAGTACCTTGGTGTAGCGAATGGCCGCACACATTTCTAACGCAGTTGATGACGGGTTGGCGCAATATCGGTTTCTGGTTCTTTTATCTCCATTGCATTTCAGCGCCACGGCGTTTGTATTGACATGGTCTAGACTAGGGAAAGAGCCTATCATAATGGCAAAGGTGTTTGGGGGTAAAGCTGTCTAGTGTTGCATGTCAACAAGTCAGTATCTTTTGTCAAGCTTCCGCAAGGTCAAGCAACCTTCTGAAATAGAAGCCATATCATTCTTCAGCTCTTGTTCCTCCGTGTTGTGCTTCTTCAGCGTCCAGTATTTGCAGTCAAGTTGGGTGTGGCGCACAAAATGCATCCCTAACCACCATAGCATGGTCAGCCATCTTGGTGCAGTGTTGATGCCATGTCTTGACACTAAGCTTTAACAGAAACCCCCTTCCACGACTAAGTTAAGTCATTACTGAAGTATCATAGTTGCAACGAAAGCGCGTGTTGGAGAATTTACTAGTTAAGGAACTCTATAGGCCGAAAGCAAGGTCTATGATACGAACGGTGCATACAGTGCGCAGCAGGAAGACCAAAAGGACTAGAGCAAACAGAAAGCAACAACGACTAACAAGAGGCAGACGAGACAGATGCGACGCAGTCACAGATCGTAAGGAGATAAGGGAAATCCACAAAAGAAGCGATAACGAAGAAGAATGGTCGGCAGCTGTGAATCAGCAATTTTCGTAATCCACCAGCAAACGCATCTCACCCGTTGCTGTTTCGGACCTACATCCAGTACATAGTCCCCTTAAGATGGTCATACTTAGCCTTGGCGTTCGGTCTGAAGCCTGACTCAGCGAGGTCATGGATGGGCGTGTTCCATCTAGTTTCAACGACTGGCCAGATGTAGTCTCTCATTTGCTGCAAAACCTGTTCCCTATCGGCCTTGTCTTCTTGTATCTCTGCTGGCGTCTTCTTGTGGTTTCCAGTGCGCTGAGGACGATTGCGTGCAGCTTCTACATCAGCTTCGACCTGCTGGCAATGGGTCTCGTAGGCGTTGCGTTTAGTGTTGCTGGGATTGAACCATTCGCGCAAGTAGCAGCGACCCCGCTCCGCAAGTCTATCCGCATAATAAGCAGGAGATGCGTAAGACACGCCTGTGGTAGCCCGGACGTATGTATGGCATAGGTTGTGGGTAAGGTCCTCCAGATCAGATATCTCGATGCCCATTTCATTCTGTAAAACGAAGTAGTGGGACGATCGCGCAGTCCCCTTGATGGCGTTATGGGATTGAAGATAGAAGTCTGTGTAGTATGGTGACGTTATGGAGCTTTCCACAAGAAGTCCAGGTTTACAGTTGCCGTTTCCACGCATCTCGTCGTCTTTTTGACGGGGGAAGAAACGAGTATTGTGCCGCTTGGTGACGATGACCGCAGTTGTCTTGAATTCGGGAACAGGCTTCTTGAACTGCTTGGCAACTCCGATGAACGCATTTTTGATAGTTGAGAGCTCTTTGGTGATAACTTCGTCGTACTGGGTATCGCTCACACCGTCTCTATAATAGAGGACATTCTCGGGGAAGCGCCGGTGGAGTCGACACCACTCTGATAACCCTTCAATCAGCATGTCCCCGAGACAAGGGATGATCTGTTTAATCAGCAGCTAGCATAGAAGCTTGAGATTTGTGTTTCGTTGAACTTACCTCTTGTTTCGCGCTTTGCAACCGCATATTGCCGCGAAACCTTCCGCCATTGGCCTCCAGAGAGCTGACAATAGCCGCGATCGAAGGTGTACCCTGTAACGCTCCGCTTCCTGGATGAGTGACGTCTGCACCAATCACAATGGTGTTTTCCAGCTGCTCTTCCACGCCTTGCGCTGAGTGATTGATTCCAGCCATCTTCAGATTCTCTTTCATAGCAACATTGGCCATGTATTGTCCGAGGGCAGAGTCGTTGCTCCAGTCGAGATTCTTTGGTCTCATCTTATCTTCAGTGACGCAGATCGACTGCAAGATAAAGACGACATCTGTAAGAAACTTAAAGCTGGAATAAAGATGCTGATCCTTCGTCTTCAGGAGTAATACCACGATGTCGGGTACATCTTCTCGATTTTTTCCCAGGTAATTTTCGAGCATCATTTTTAGGGTGAATTCGGTGTCATCTGATAAAGATAGTACCTCATCGGCCCTTTCAGAGGTTCGTGAAACACCAGTCTCTTTCACTTTTCGATCGAAGTTACGGGTCAACGCCCTCACTGACTTACCATTTCGGTCGACACCTTGTCCAGTGATCAAGAGCCATTTCAGGGATTTGGCATTGCCTCTGAAGAATTGGGTCTCTTTGAGATCCCATCTTCCAGTGTTTTCGTTAACGGTCTTGGTAACAGTTGTCGACGAGTACATAATTGTGGCAGGGTTGAGATGAACGAATGGTATCTGGAGCATTCTAGGATCGAGGCTTATCGGATGGCAGTTTTCCTAGACATCTGTTAGTGTATACAATTCACGGTAAAAATAGATCATTATACCAACTGGCCAGTTGCAGTTATCGGGATGTGTCGGAGTCCTTCTTGTTCGATTCGAGATCTTATCTCTCGGGGTTCTCGGCATGCGTTTCGGTGGAAATCGTTTGCAACAAAGTCGGGAATGATCTTCGCATATATCTGATCTGGGAGGATACGTAGATGTTCAGGGGCGAACCATGTAGGTCTACCAGCGGTACCAACATTAACCGCAGGCAAGCCAGGATGTTGCAACACTCGAGCATACTCTGTGACATACGTTAGTAATGTTCTGGAAGATTGAGGGTCTAAGTTACGTCTCTGCTGGTATTCTTGGACTGTAGGTTGAACTGATTGGCCCGTAATGATATTGCCATAGACATCCTTGTGTTCCCACAAGAAGGTTTGCTCGCTACATGCCTTACCAAAACCACGAATGGTCTTGATACGCGCATGTTGTCCGTCCATATTAGAACTGGTTCTCGCGCTGAATTTGTCTGGTGGTATGGTGGTGCTGCAGTTTGGGTCGTTGCATTTAGGATGCTTGCACTTCTTGTCCTTGGTTTCACGGCTGTAGTCGATGTACACGCGTACGCCCCTGAGCGCTCTCTTAACATGATCTTTCGAATTGCCGAACGGACCGCTACCGTTCTGGTAGATTTGACTTACTAACAAAGGTCTCCAGAAGGCACTATTAGCGGGGCTGACATTCAGAAGGATATTTCCCAGAGTGGAATGAACCCTATATGAATAACCGCGCAAGGCACGAAGTGGAGCGACTGCATTTCCTTCGTTCGTCTTAAGGTCAAAGTACGCATTGCGAACGTAGAACTTGTGATTGTTCAGCTGCAAAGTATTACTACTCGCAAAACACCTGGTCATGATGATGTTAAGAGCGTTCTCCGCAGGGTGTGGGTCATGATTAAATGGGTCTGGACGAGTGGTATTGGAGTATTGTTGGAGACCAAAGATGTCTACTGGTCGCAGGTACTGGAAGCCAAGAGGCACCGTCGTATCGCGGTCAACAATATCGAGAAGTGCCCATGTTGACCCAACATCTGTCATCAGATCGCCGGACTGAACCCGCACACCAGGTATATGCTGGTGTAAATTGACCCAGGCTACGATGGTGTTTACGTTATCAGTGGCGAAGACATCCCTGTTGCTGTAAAGAAAGGGCACATTTCGAATGGCGGTGTCCATGTAGCGCTTCTTGCCAGCCCGTGACTCTGAGTCCGGGATGCCTAGAACTTGATATTCGTAGAAAGTAGTCTGTGGATCAATAGAAATTTTGAAGTAGTTGGTAAGTACCTCTCCTTTCTTTGGCCTTTCGCGAAGCGACTGTCTGATGGGATATTGTAATGCGGTATCCTTGAGTCTCTCTAATTCTCCGTTCAATTCCCCAGTGTCCACAAGGTCTGAATTTCCATTCGCGTAAGCGGATGAGCCGGGAGCTCGATTGTAGCGTGTGAGCTCCCCGAAATTAACCACAGGTGCGTCCTGAAGGTTGGTAGTTGGGACAGCAGAAGCAACAGAAGCGACAGCATTCAACCCAAAAGCAGAGGACTGAGTGGCAACTTCTGTATGAGGTTGATCCGACAACATGTTCGGGAGAATGTGGTTTTCTATGACTGAAATCGGGGCAGTCGCTGCAGGTGTAGAACCAGTAGTAGGCACAACGGACGAACTGGCAAAGCCGGAAGAGCTTTGATCGATGGACGTAGATGGGATACTAGATGATACGCCCTGAGTTGCGGAACTAGCAGGTGGTTGAGGGCTCGGGACAGGGATGATGGGAGTGAACGAAAGACCAGAAGGAGCCGAAGGAGGAGCGGGTGCAGTTTTAACAGAAACAGTGTAGTTTGAGGCATGTGGCCGCGAGAGTCCAGTCGAGAAAGTCGTCGCATTGTCATCCCGAGGATACACAGAAAGCTGTTTTTGATGAATATATGCAATTGCAGCACCTTCCTTACCAGCATTGAAGATCTCATTTGAGAGCGAAGTTTGGTCGTTCTCCGCAGGCTTTGTGGTAGGGCAGTTCATTAGGGAATGGTTTTTCTTCTTCGTTTTGGTTCCGCCTGCTTTGCACCAGATGCATTTGGAATGCTTGAAGTCGACGTCGATCCTGCGTGCGAAACCATCGCCGAGTTCGTCTCGTGCTGTGTCCAGACTCATGTTCGGAATCTCAAACATGGTTGCGATGTTGACAAAGTAGAATGAAGAATTGTAAATGAAGAAGGGTATCAGAAGGAAGTGTTGCGAAGTCTTAAGACTGTGTCCCTGCTTTGAGTAGTCAGGTAGAGTCTCAGTTATGCTCGCTGGTTTCTCAGTCAACAGTGGCCTGCGACAGCCTCATATACACATTGTCTGGCGACTCGTTGCTTGCTCATACTGTAGAACAAGCTGACACAATCGTGTTTGGGTCACAACTTTTGAACACTCCTACCTAAGTTGTGGTGTCTCATCGTGACGCAAACCTAGCAAGCTGGTGCTTGAGGCCAGTAAATCAATTCACTTCGCAATCTCACAATTAGTGATGGCCCAGCAATGGACGTCCCCCCGTTTGGGAGCGTAACTCACCTTGGCGTTGAGAGATCGCTTGGCAACATGGCGTGTGAGAAACTACGTGAGATGAATAAGGAGTTATTGCAAGTCCAGTACAATGAGACTCCACGACAGGCTGGAAGCAAGAGAAGCAGTTGGCACTAGAGAATTAGCACCGCAGAACGGCCCACGATTTCAGAATCTCAGAACATGGAGGAATCAGTTCAGTTCGCTTGCGCTATAAACAGATCGCTAGCCAGCCCACCCAGCTTCGGATAGAGAGATCTACAATGTGTACAATCCATGTTGTACAAGACCAAAAAGATGTCTCCAAAGAGACCACTCGTCGGAATAGTCCAGAAATTAGAAGATTACAAGGCGATAAAAGTGACATTAAGTTGTATAGATGGGAAAACCGGGTATATGCAGGAAGAGCCAGAGCAGGTAGTGTGTGGAGTGCATGCAAGTCGTTCAGGTATGGGAGTGAGCAGGAGAAACGCAAGCGGGGGTAGGCGTCTAGTACTACTTGGCGCCTGGTGGTAGCTTGACGTTGTTGGAAAGCCAGGCCTGGTGAACGTTAGTTGATGAAGCTCACGTGGCTTTGAGGGGATTCAAACGTACCAGTCCCTCGAAGATACCCTCTCCTGTTGTCGCGCAGCTGGGCTCGACCTTCCATACGTGGTCTTTGGCGATCTTGTCTAATTGCAGACGGTCTGAGACTTCCTTTGGTCGCATAGCTGTGGGGAGTTAGCGCAATGTCCTCGTTGGTTGACTGTGGTATGTACGCACCTCCGCTGAGATCCTGCTTGTTCGCGAATACCAACAGCAGCGCATCCTTCATTTCTCTATCTTGGATAATCCTTGTGAGTTCCGTCTTGGCCTCGTCGATACGGGCGCGGTCGTTGGAGTCGATAACGAAGATGAGACCCTGGGTACCTGTGGTCGCAGTCAGCACACGGGTCGATCTGAAGACACGGCAGAGGGTCGGATAAGGCAGGGAGGCCATGCGCGGTGCAGTCGCGTGCACACATGTCAACTCGCCTACCCGGAACGGTGCCCCCACGCGCCAACATACCAGAGAAGTAGTGTCTCCATAGCGGACGGATCTTGTCCTGGCCACCGACATCCCATACGTTGAACTTGGTGTTCTTGTATGTGACGGTCTCGACGTTGAAGCCGACGGTGGGGATGGTGGTTACGTCTTGGTCGAGCTTGAGCTTGTATAGGATAGCTGGGCGAGTTAGCGATGATGGGTGCGATGGCACGTAACGGTGGCAGCATACTGGTCTTTCCAGCGGCGTCGAGACCCAGCATCAACAGGCGCATCTCCTTGGATCCGAAGACCTTGGCCATCATCTTGGATATCGAGGCTCCCATAATGTCGGCTATTCGCTATACTTTGCTGGGATGGGCGTCTAAGGTTCCAACACTTGCGGGTCGTCGTGGAGAGAGTAGGCGGTACGTCGGCGATAGCGAGCTGTAGCTAGTGCGCGATTAGGTGCGGATGATAGGAGTCGGCCGTTGTGATGGAGGTGAGGTGAGGTGAGGCTGGTGAGGTTTGTGGGAGAAGAATGTCAAGATGTGCAAGGACGGCAAGGAGAATATCAGTAGCGACTCGGGTCAGGGTCTCGCGTGGGCGCTGGCGTTGTTCTTGAAATGAGGTTTCAAGCTGCTCAGGAGTGAAACCGCAGCAGGCGCGTTGCAGATCCCAGAACAAAGACGTCTGTGCGCGCCCAACGGCTCGATCGTGACGGGTTCATCCTACACGCCAACCACACCACCACCTCTCCTGCTTTTGCCAGACGGAAAAGGGGCGGCACGTCTACAGCCTTTGATTGCGAATCTTGGGTAAGATGAAGCAAAGGGATTCCGCATGCCTTACTCGCTGCGTCGGCATGCGTGCAAGCTGCAGGAAATCTGCAGCTAGACATATAGTTTCCTCCAGGGCTCCATGCGGTGTGACTTTGCCGCCGCCGTTCGAATCGCAAAATGCCGGTACACGCAGCCATGCAGGTACGCGGCGCTACTCCTGAGACTGATGAAGCCGTGGGGTCCTCGCCGTTTGCGTCCAACATTGCAGTCGTTCGCCATGCACATTGCCTGCACCGGCCTTTAGTCTCTTCAGTAACCGAGTCAATATCGTCAAGGCCTGAATAGTCGGGCGAAGTAACCCGATATGCCAAGTTTCCTACCTGCTACCACTTGTCCCTCACATCGTCATGGCCTGCCATGCACATCTTCCGTCGTGTTCCACACAATGGCCCGAGCATTACTGAACCTCGTTTGATGTCGGCCCGCGTACCAATCTTCGGCTACAAGACATGTACAGAGTCGACGCAAATTTGATACCAAAAATCATGACGTGTTACACCGTGCGGGAGAAGGGTCCAAAGAAGCATATCAACCGAGCCTGAGGGATTACTGAATCGGGGACGAACCCTGACGCCAAGCCCAAAGGAAATACGAAAAGCACTACGCTCAGCCGGAAAGAACGGTACTACTGAAAAGGAAGGTGATGGCAAGTCTCAGATGATACCTAAGCTGTTCAGTCCTATTTGTGGAATACACCACCTTCCCTTGGACTACTCAATATTTTTTTTTTCGTGGGTTATAGTCTCCACTCAGCTATCTCTACGTGTACCTCTACTACTCTACAGCTGTCTACGCCCAATTGATACATGCAACAACCCCACTATATTGTGAAAACCTCTAAAATCCATCATCGATACCCTTGCTCTTCTCTGCCTGCCGCCTCTCATTGTTGACCGTCCACCACCACTCATGTATCTCCTGACTGCACTTCCCTGCCTCTTCATCCCACGGCTTCGGACTTAAGATGTAATGCACATTCTTGACCTCTTCGTCCCTCCAGATCGCATCATGCACACCTTTTGACCGCAACGTCTTCAGCGCATTGTAGGTATAGGGTAGCGCGACCCATCGGCCGTTGAACAGATCGCCAAGCAGCGATTGGTCGGCGAAATCGTAGTTTCCCGATGTCTCGTTGGAGAGCTGCTCGAGGATCAGGTTGTAGGTAGCGAGTGAGGGATTTACGACTTGGAGGCCGCCGTTGGGCATACGCAGGCCGGCTGTTGAGGGTGCGCCAGTTTTCTGGGCAGCATCGGGGTTGGAGTGTTGGGATGTAAACGCGCAGTTCTCGGGGATCCTGAAACTGCGTCAGTAGTGTCGCGTGCATGTGTTGGTTGGAGAGACATACCAGTCCTTGGGGTAATGCGGCTTCTTGAGCGGATTGCACACGCAGGCATGGCTTGCGGCAAACACCCTGTCGCCCTTGCCACCCATACTCGGTGCATCCAACTCCAAGTCCATCAGCTCATCCATGTTCTTCAGCACCAACATGTCGCTGTCTAGCTGCACCACCCTGTCATACTCCTCCAGCGAGAAGGGCGTCAACTTGCTCCAGCAATCGTAGAATCGCGGGTCGTTGCTGAAGTCTTTTGACACCTTTGGCAGCAAGTACTTGACATGCTGCTTTGGTATGCCGCGCTCATCAAGCGCCTTGTGGCCTTCTTCAGGAAAGGTGTCCGTGTAGAGAGCGATGAGGGGGTACTTGGAGCCGTGCTTCTTGAGCGCGTAGTCGAGTGTGAGAAGGCCGGTGAGATATGCTGTGTTGGTAATAAGAGTTGTCCATACTGCACTGACATTAGCATCTGCTCTCCAGACGCGCCCCGCCAAACTTCTGCTGTACCTTTCTTCGACTTTACACCCGCCGGCTCCGTAGTCGCGCTTGAAGTTACCTGCATGTTGCTTGTATGTAAATCACTCGAGTCGCACGCCAACAAGCTATCACGCAAGATGCGCAGTCAGTAAAAGCCACAGTGTATTAGTTGGAGGATCAAGTCGCGCCATCTTCGGTCGCATATTATGGCGTTTGTCAATAGAGGGGTCGAGAAAGAGCCGCTAATCTATGAATGAACGATCGTACCAATCTGGACCCTGGAAAAAGCCACTAAAACGTCTTCGGAGGTCCGAATGTGCGTGCGCCGATCGCTCGTCCCTGTCAACATCGTCACCACATGCGATCGCGGACGCTATCACGTTTCCGATATGCACGTTTGACTGACCGCTGCTGACTATTCCTGCGAAACTGATGGCTTGGTTGATTTCCCAACTCATCTCCATCGTTTGTATTGCTATCATCCCATGTCGTGTTGAATGCTTTTTCTTGGGCTAGAGGCATGATTCCGATATTGCATTGGAGAACAGCGACGCGACAATGGCTACCTCAGCCCTGAACCTGAAATCCGGCGACTCGAAGCCCGCGTCCACGGCGCTGATAGCTACGTCTGATGAGTCGAACAAGTCACCCAAGCACTATCGCGGCTTTGTCGCCGGTGTCTTCAGTGGCATTGCGAAGTTATCTGGTAAAAATGCCCTTCCCAAGATATATCCTAAACATAGCTAACAAAAGTAGTGGGTCACCCATTCGATACTGTAAAAGTCCGCCTACAAACGACCGAGAAATCGCATTTCCGGGGTCCGGTAGACTGTCTTATGCAGACGTTGAGGAAGGAGGGGTTTGCGGGGCTGTACAAGGGTGCTACACCGCCGCTGGTGGGATGGATGTTTATGGACTCGATGTACGTCAATCCTCGTCTCCAGACGGCAGTCATACGTCCTTATGCTAACACTGCAAAGCATGTTAGGATCTCTCAGCGTATACCGTCGCGTCCTCAACGATCGAGTCTTCAATCCCCCCTCACATCTCCGACTTGGTGAACAGCAGAGTAAGCTGCCCGTATACGGTCATGCATTAGCAGGGACCATGGCGGGATGGACAGTCTCCTTCGTTGCCGCGCCGGTCGAGCACATAAAAGCGCGCCTGCAAGTGCAATACGCAGCCGATAAGAGCGCACGCCTGTACTCCGGACCGATCGACTGCCTCAAGAAGATATACACTGGTCATGGAGTAAGAGGAGTATACCACGGTCTCAGTGCAACGCTCCTGTTCCGCACATTCTTCTGCTTCTGGTGGGGAACCTACGACCTCTTCACACGGCAGCTACAACAACATACCTCGCTCTCTGCACCAGCCGTGAATTTCTGGGCAGGAGGTTTATCAGCGCAGATATTTTGGTTGACCAGTTATCCGAGCGACGTAATCAAGCAGCGCATCATGACGGACCCGCTTGCACAGAGAAGATTCCCAAGATGGCGGGACGCCGCGAAAGCGGTCTACAGGGAACAAGGCTGGAAGGGATATTGGCGGGGGTTCGTGCCATGTTTCCTGAGAGCATTCCCGGCAAACGCCATGGCATTGGTAGCGTTCGAGGGAGTCATGAGGAGTCTGCCAGAATAAAGTGACGCATTCTTAGGCTTCTGTTCCTTCACGTTTTGGACTTAGCGACCTCATAGCATTGTGATACCATTGTAGACAAATCTCATCTAGCAAGAATATATTCATATCTTGTCATGCATCATGACGTCGTTGTCGTAACTTTTGTCGTATCTCATAGCTTGCCCTTGTTGTCCTCAAGCTCGCAGAATGCCTTGAATGTTACCAAGCCCTCCGCACCCTCCTCGTCTCCAGCATCAACCTCGCTCTTGATGACAACTTCAGCTGTGGCACCAACAAAATAGACAAAGCCTTCCTTGAGTTCTTCCTCCTTGGGTCCCACGCTGATTGTTCCCTTGCCCTTGGTGCAGAGGATGATGCTTGGTCCATCAATCGGGTCAAACGTCGCCTTGCCACCAGTGCGATTGAGTGCCGTCCGTACTACAGCGAACTCAGGGATCGGCGGGTTGTACAGCTTGTTGCTGCTGTTGGAGCTATACGCCGGCGCATTCAGCCTAACCTGGGAATAATCCCTGGGCTCCATCTTTTGCTCACTAATTGGCGCATAGCTGTAAGTCAGCATCTTTGTCAAATTATCAACGTCCTTAAACTTTGGTGTGAAGCCCGCGCGGACTACGTTGTCGGAGCTCGCCATGCACTCGATGATGTCGCCAGAGAGGTAAGCATGGATATCGTCAGCCTTCAGGAACATGGCTTCGCCGACCTCTAGCTTGACGTAGTTGAGGAAGAACTGAACAAAAAGACCGATGTCACCAGGGAATTGAGTGTTGAGGCGGACGACGAGGTCTGCGAGCTCTTTGCCATCGTTGGAGGGTGGGCCGCCGTCCGCGAACTTGTCGCCTTCGGACTTGGCTGCCTCAACAAGCTCTTCACTGGCTGATGATAGTGCGTCCTTTTCCACGTTCATGAGCTTTGTGAAAGCGGATTGTAGGGCTTTCTTGTTCTCCTGCATGTCCTCCTCCTTATCGGAAGTTTCCTTGCCGCTGATGGTATCCTCGAACTTCTTAGCTTCTTCTTCGCCAACAAGTTTACGCAATGAGGGAACGGTCTTCAGGAAGTGCGCGATTTCGGCGAGGGGTCGGAAGCCGCAGAGGCCATCGAAGGGAGTGACCGCGATGGTCATTTCGGGCTTGTGGTTGTCATCTAACGAGACATTAGTATTCCTGAAGGGGAACTCTGGGGTGATGCTGACCTGGGTAGTTCTTGGGATCACTGGCATGTAGCTGCTCAGCAAGCTTCTTGTTTGGGTGTGCCTGGATGCTCAGGGCCTTGTTGATGGACAGCACCTTGAACAAAAAGGGAAGCTTGTTCTCATATTTCTCGGCGATCTCTGTAGACAGCAAGGCTTGATTTTCTTGAACGAGGTCTAGAAGTGTCCGCTGGGTCTCGAGGTCTTTGGAGGGAAGCGACGGGTGTGTGCCCATCCATAGCTGGTAGTGTCAGCGACGCGTCAATCGAACATTCCGTGTTTCGCACCTCGGCATATGGCTTCTCTTCTTCAATCGAGAAATCAGAAGCCGTCGCAGCGTGGAATTTGGCGGCGGCGGAATCTTTACCGACTTTCCCTGGGTTGGTTCAGCATACCGCTGGCGCGAATGTGGGTGATGACGCGGGGCAGCGTACCCCAGTCGTAGCTGTTAACACCTGCGAGTGGTCAATTGATGTTCTCTTGCTATCTTCATTACCGCATTTACTTACCGCATTCTAGTCTGATAAGAGGGTTCCGCATCTTGAAGCCGGTTTCGGTGGATTGTGGATGTTGTGTTGTATAGCGACACCGCGATTTGGCAGAGGAGCTCTCGGCGGGGTCCACTTCTTGGTCCCGCATGAACGTCACCCTTGCTGTTCGATTAAGCTCATGGAACCAACCCCTCTTCCGTAGCTAGCGTATCCCACCCTGCATCCAGCGGAGTACATGCCCCGACGTTGATCACCTGCAGCTGTTTCTCTTTCCTCTACCTCACTTTGCTACTTCCACGCGCCAACACATGAGCTACCTGCAGCGCTTCAGGTAACACGGAAAGAGCTGGGGAGTTGACGGGCCACAACTTCCGTCAACATGGCAGCCCGCAGCAGGCCACGAGGTCAATTAAAGGAAGAGTTCGATGAAGAGAGGGTCATCTGGAACTCGATCAAAACCGATGGCCGACGCGTTGATCAACTCATGGTACGAGATTCATTTTCTTGATTATCACTGGCGTTGGGATCAACATCTCTATTTTCACCGCCATCATTTGCTCACTACAAGCGGAGTACCGTCGAATCTTCGTGACTCCGAAGGACATCTCGACCACAGCCGAGCTGATCATGAACGCCGTGCCCAAATAGACCCTGCTCTACTTTTAGTTGACTAGGCAAAGATTTGCTCCTCTACTGACATACCGCAGAAAGAGTCCGATGTCTTGCAAGAGAAGATCTCCGCTATTGTCGCAGAACAGTCTGCTCGTATCGGTCCGTCAACATCTCACCGACTGTCATGTATCGTCGTGTTGCTGACACTATTAGATCGCGGCGAGGAAACTTCAGCCCGCCTTGACGACGAACTTGAAGACCTTCTACGCGACAACATCCGTAATCTCAATGAGGCGCAAACCCTTCTGCAACCCGTCGAAGGCGGCAATGATGTCCACACCCAGATGACGCTACTGGCCGCCCTCCGCATGTCAGAAGAGGCTCCACCTTCAGCATCACGAGCCACTAGCGTTGGGCACGGGAAGTCGGGACGCGACCGCCAGGGCAAGCGAAAGCTGACCGATAGTATCGATGACCGCGACAGCATGGCTGCGGACAGTCCTGGAGGTCCTAGCCCAAAGGTCGTTATCAGCAGCCAAAAAGATCGACTGGTAGCCAAGTCGGGCAGTAGCAGAGCAGGATCAGTACCTGTTGCGAGAGAGGGCAGCGTAAAGATCGATGAAGACGATTCGGGTAAGGGTAAGATGGTTCTTCCTCCTTCCAAAACCAAGCCCACGATCAAGTACAAGACCAAGCGTTGAGCTGTACTACACTATCGGCGTTCCTTCTAGACGGCAGATGATACCCACTCTGGCAAATTTCCTTTCGGCTTGTTCGAGGTTTGTAGTCGGATAGGCAAGCTCATAATTTCACCTCATCTGATCTCATACGTCTTTTTCAAGTGCTCATGCCACATGTATTATCCTTCCTCTCATAGCGCCCGCTTCACGTTCCCGTTTATCATCCCATCTCCCTTCGAACATCACGACAGCTGACGACCATACTACAGAAGTCCGACCTCGCCTATCACCACAAACAGAGGTTCTCTACCGGAACAACGCAAAGAATCGCTCTTCTTCTTCTTCCATGTCATTCGAGGGTGAAGGCATTCTCTGCCGCGTAACGTCGGTGATCGGCGAAGGAAAGCAACGTCGGTACGAAATTATCGATGCTGATCCGGATCCCCCGACACCATCAGTACCCTACCGTGCTTCCGTAAATCATCTAATTCCCATCCCGCCACCCTCTTCCAACACCACACTGCCTGACCTTAGTAAAGGGAAGAACGTGCTCGCTCTGTACCCTGGTACCACTACCTTCTATAAGGCGGAAGTAGTAGCTGTATGGAGACAGATCGACGGCAAGGTCAAGAAAGAAGATGGGAGTAAAGAAGGAGAGCCTGTGGATAATCTCGTCAGATTGAGGTTTGAGGGTGAAGACGAGGCGGACCGTGAGATGAGTGTTGAGAGAAGGTATGTACTGCCTGATAGATGACCGGGTAGTATCGTCCATTTTTCAAAGAGCTAGATGATCCCAGTTCAGGCTGGCGATATACGAGATCTGAATACGGAAGTTTGGATAATGGTGATATGGAGGGTGTGGTTTGGAACGGACTGGTTGATACCGCGCATGTTGCATTTTTGCTTTTGAGACTTTTGCATACTGGAGTTGAGCTTTTTTTTTGGAACGAATATCGTCATCGGTTTAGTATCTGGAATCTACATCTTTCTTGCAAATAAATCGCGGTGTTGTCCACCTGGATAGCCAGAAGGCACTGCCAAGCCACTAGCATCAGCGTCTCGACCCTAGGATGCACGTCGCCAACTTGAAGGCTTCAAAGACTCCGCAACTTAAGTCGACGTGACCCCGCACACGACACAATACGCATTCTAACCTGAAATCAAGTGTCGCGTCACTAAGAGGAACTTGGTGTGCGCCGAACATCCCACCAACAGACTCTCAATCCAATCACACACACGACTATCGACGCCTCTAACCCGCGCCGCACGCCGACTCCACCAATATCCGCAGCTATCTAATCTCCACCACCCGCACACACCGACATCGCCATGAACAACTACTCTTTCCTGGAGTCCTCCCAGCAACAAGCCGCCCAACAACAGCAGCAGCACAATCAAAACCGCCCACCACCTTCTCCTTCACATTCACAAGCGGGCAGCATAGCAGGTTCGCAAGTCAACGGCGGCGGCCAGAACGGCATTCCAATGGTCAATGGCTTGCCAAGTGGGGGCCAGCAGACGGACATGAACCATCTGTGGGCGGTGGTGCAGCAGTTGAGTCAATTACTAGAGGAGAACAAGGCGCAAACGAGGGGCATTGTGGAGGGTGTCGCTGCGATACAGGGGAGGGCTGCACAAGAAGAGGGAGGCGAAGTCGGCGGTGGACTTAATCTGAGAGGTGGAGGAGGGGTGGCCATGAGGGAGGTTAATGGCGAGATAAATGGTATGTTTAGTCTGCTTGGAGACAATACAGACAACCACATCCGACTGATACCCGATAATCACACACTGACACTCCTCACAGCAGCAACAGTCGCAAATCTACAATCACAGCTTACGGCCGCGCAATCCACAATCGCATCCTTGACCTCCACGAACTCATCGCTCTCAACCCTCCTTACCGACTACGAATCTGCCTTGACTCTTCTTCTCGATAAATTACGTCCTTATGCTTATTCTCAAACCTCAGCCATGCTCGCCCTTCACAAATACTATCAAAGCCTCCTTGATCAAGAACGCTCAACATCCATGGGGCTGCGGCTCGAACATGCAGACTGGCAAGCAGGGTTGAGTCGCGTGGCAGAGAACGCAAGGAACGCACTGCGATGCCAGAGTGAAATCGAGCAAGGCTTAAGGGGTAGATGCAAAGAGTTGGGCGAGGAGAATAGGGTGTTAAGACGTATGGTGGGGTGGGAAGAGAGGGAAAGCAGTGATGATGAGGCCGAGGACAAGGCATAAACGGATTGTTGCGAGGTAATCACGAGCGGTACACGTACGGAGAATGTTTGTTATGCATAGCGTCGGCGTTTGGGGCCTCACGAGACACCCACGGTGTTCGAGGTGAAGTGCTATGGCTTGAGGTTCGCCTTTGACATATCGGCTGATACTTGGCTTTTCATTCCAGAGACATTATTACATGTACTTGGATGTTGTCGAGGAAAGCTTGTTTGGACTCGAAGTTGGTTCGAGAGTAATCCGAATACTAATATCATGTTCAAAGTCCCATTGATTCTTGTGAAAGTCTACTAACCCCTGGTGGTAGTAGACTAATCAGCAATCTAACGGATAAAGGTCACATCCGCACGCTGCCACGGCTTGCCCAGACTCCCGTGGACGATTCCCTCGCTTACCCCAACACTACCCCAGAAATCTACCTCGGCACAGCTAGCACTCCCCCGCAGAACCCGCCTCATCACCTACACTTCGCGGCCCATCGGAGGCCTTGGCTAACGCGATGAAGCCATTAATCTTGCTATCATGGTATAGCGTGCTGTCTGTGCAGATATGGATGCCTCGGGGCATGTTTAAACCGGTGGGTATTGGATAGACTACATGATGCAGCGCGTTGTAACTTCCCTCCTGCGACGTTCTCATCTCAATCCAACGCCACGATAACGTTTACAAGGCGAGTATTATACTGTAAGTTACTGCTGAGCGTACGCGTGTATCCTTGAGTGGTCATTGATGCTGATGTGGACCAGGGACCCACGCCTACTCCTTCCGACTCCGCAGGAATTCAGGAAGGGATACAGCAACAAGCTCGGTGTCCAAGGGATCAATCGGCCGAGGACCAAGAACAATAAGACCACATTTTAGGTGATTCAAAGTGCTGCGCCCTCACCAAATATTCGACAGCATTACTTCCTCCCTAGCATTCAACAAATCGAACCGCAAAGATGGTCATCAAGTCTCGCTGGTCGTTCCCTATACCTAGCGTTTCCCTACCAACGTACATCTTCGACTCTCCAACTGCAGAACTACCGAAGACTCCACTCTACCTTTCTGCAAGCGAACCCGACAAGTACAACATTACATTGCACAGATTGCGGCACGATGCGCAACGTCTGGCTTCAGGTTTGCGACGCGCGGGTCTGCAACCAGGTGATCGCGTATTGCTGTACTCAGGAAATACGCTGTTCTTCCCAATAGTAGTCCTAGGTGTCATCATGGCAGAGGGCGTTTTCACAGGTGCAAACCCGACCTACATTGCTCGAGAGCTAGCGTACCAATTGAAAGACAGCGGAGCACGCTTTATGATATGCGCAGAGGGCAGTCTGGACACGGGAATCGCAGCTGCAAAAGAAGCGGGCATGGGCGCTGAGCGCGTCTTCATCTTTGACGATGGCCTAGCGACGTTTGAGGGTCGGAAAGTGGAGAAGAGTACCGAATTGGGACATATTCGCCATTGGACTGAACTTCTCGACACCCCAGAACGCGGTAGCGCTTACTCTTGGCCCAATCTACAAACACCAGAAGAACTCGACCGAGTAGTAGCGCTCAACTACTCGTCGGGAACGACTGGTGTTGCGAAAGGCGTCATGATAACGCACAAGAACTATGTCGCAAACACCAGCCAACAAATTCACATTCAAGCCACCGCACCGGACTACAAGGAGAAGCTGAAGAAGAAGAGGTATCTCTGCTTTCTCCCCATGTACCACGCTATGGCACAAGCCATCTTCTGCTTCGGCGCTGTCAAGCAACGCGTACCGGTCTACATGATGCCCAAGTTCGACTTCCTAGAGATGCTGCAGAATGTGCAGAAGTACCATATTAGTGACATGGTGTTGGTGCCGCCGGTCGTAGTGGCCATGGCCAAACACCCAGCGACGAAGAAGTTTGATCTGAGTTCTGTGACTGGTGTATCGTCCGGCGCCGCTCCTCTCGGTCGAGAAGTCATTCGGGAATTCGAAAGTATATGGCCGAATGGGCAAGTCAACGTTAAGCAAGGCTACGGTATGACGGAGGTCACATGTGCAGCAACTACGTTCCATCCTTCGATCTACTCTGATAGCTTCTCGGTCGGTGAGATTCTGGCAAACTGCGAGGCGAAGATTGTATTGGACGATGACGGCAAGGTCGAAGCGCCACAAGGCGAGAGAGGCGAAATCTGGGTTCGCGGGCCGAATATCATGAAGGGATATTGGAACAAGCCTGATGCGACGAAGGAGACTATGACAGAAGACCGATGGCTGAAGACAGGAGATGTGGCATACGTGGACAAGAACAACCACTTCTTCATTGTGGACAGGAAGAAGGAATTGATCAAGGTGAAGGGTCTACAGGTCGCGCCAGCAGAGTTGGAGGCGCTACTGCTTGATCATCCGGACGTGCAAGATGCTGCCGTTATCGGTATTACAGCGTGAGTTTACGCGATTCTCTCAATCTCACGACCGCTAATCATAGTCAGTAACGGTGATGAACTGCCTCGCGCGTACATTGTGCCTCAGTCGCAGGAAAGTGCGACTCCAGAAACCGCGGAGAAGATCAAGAACTGGCTGGCTGAGCGCGTCTCCAGACACAAGCGGTTGGAAGGAGGCGTGAACTTCATAGATGCGATTCCGAAGAATCCGTCTGGAAAGATTATGCGAAGGCAGTTGAGAGACAAGGCTGCATTGGAAGATACCAAGGCGAAGTTGTAGATCGGATAGATTTAGCGTTCACAGCGAGGGAGGTAGATATCTAGCAAGGCAGCGAGTGAGCATTCAAAATAGGCTGTCCAACTATTGAAGCTTTGTGTTCAAGTCAGCGCTGTGGTCCTCTTGCTTTCATTGCCTGTCGTTCTCCACAACACGTGGACGTCACTCGTCTGCCATGGCTCGAAATTGATGGCTCGTAGTTGTTGCTGCTTTGATATACACATGCAGCGTTCTCCGCTCGTGACTGACATGACGATCTGCCATTTCCGCATAATGAAACCTAGTTGCTTCGCTGTCCGTTCTTGGCTGCCCTCAGCTCGTCCATCTTCTTTACTCGCTCCTTGAACTCGTCATATTGGCACTTTTCGTAGGAATGTCTCTCGTTCTAATACTCTGGTCAGCCGCCTGTCGTCGTCTTTTCCTTGACCGGTTCTCCGCGTACCTCGCACTTCCATGGTAGGTAGTACTCCTCGTACCGACACCGGTTCAAGGGGATAAGAAGATGTGCGCATGAGTCTCGGTAGGCCAGTGGTAGTTTGGCGGCGCTCATTTCCTCACGGGTAGCCTCTACATTCCCGTCAGTCTTTATTCCTCATGACCAATTGCGTCAAGATGATTGGCCCGACGTACTCCTCGGCTCGCCGTCAAGGCCGACGGCATGCTTGATGGTATCGGTGATGGTCATAGTGGCGGCCCTCGATGGTGTTCGTCTTCAATGGCGCGCGGGGGGCTGGTGGGCGGAGAGTCGTTTGCGGGCGAGCTTGCTGAGGTTCACTTGCGGTCGGCAAAGGCAAGCTGACCACCGCCGGACCCCGACGCTTGGCAGGGCAGGCGCGAACGCGGCCTTCCAACGCGACTTCCCCCAGGTCTGACGCGAACTGTAGACACGCCCTCACGAAATCACTTGACACGCCTCCCAGACGCCTTGTTACTGCTCATCGAATGGTGAAGATGCCCCCCGCGCCCGATGGCAAAATCTATTCGGCAACCTACAGTAATGTGCGTAGCAATCACCGCTTGCGACTCAAGTCTCAGCCACCACTTTGCGACAATGCACTGACAAACTGCAGGTTCCCGTCTACGAGTGCAATGTCAACGGCAACCATGTCATGCGCCGTCGCGCTGACGACTGGATCAACGCCACTCACATCCTCAAGGTAGCCGACTACGACAAGCCTGCGCGTACCCGTATCCTTGAGCGCGAAGTCCAGAAGGGCGTGCACGAGAAGGTCCAAGGTGGATATGGTAAATACCAAGGCACATGGATACCCCTCGAGGAGGGGCGACATCTGGCAGAGCGGAATGGTGTGCTGGACAAGATGCGCGCCATCTTCGACTACGTCCCTGGTGACCGGAGCCCTCCACCTGCGCCCAAGCATGCGACAGCTGCCTCAAATCGCATGAAGCCTCCAAAGCAAACCGCTGCGGCTGCTGCTGCCGCGGCCCGGAATGGTAAAAATGTCTATTCGCTTGAATCTATGCAATGTAGGAGGTCACTCTCATTGGTCATTGTTCAAGCTTTAATGCGCGAGACATGAAGCTGACTTGCATCGCAGCCTTTGTAACTACATCCGCGCAGTCTCAAGTTAGCGAAGAGCCCTACGAGGCCTCTCAGATCAGATCGCAGATCTTCCGCGAGGAGACGCCGGACAACGAGACTGTCATTTCGGAATCCATGTTGGGTGACGCCGATATGCTGGATTCTTACTCAACGGGCGGAGGCAGAAAGCGCAAGCGGGGGATTGACCAGATGTCTCTTCTGGATCAACAACATCAAATATGGGCCGATCAGCTACTGGACTACTTCATGTTGCTAGACCACGAATCCGCCGTCTCCTGGCCCGAACCACCGCAGAGCATAAACCTCGACCGGCCGATCGATGAGAAGGGACACGCAGCTATGCACTGGGCAGCGGCGATGGGTGATGTTGGGGTAGTAAAGGAGCTGATACACCGAGGAGCACGCATCGATTGCCTGTCGAACAACCTGGAGACACCCCTAATGCGCGCCGTCATGTTCACGAACAACTTCGACAAGGAGACCATGCCCAGCATGGTCAAGATCTTCCAGCAGACGGTTCATAGGACAGACTGGTTCGGCAGTACCGTCTTCCATCACATCGCGGCGACCACCAGCAGCTCGAACAAGTACGTTTGCGCAAGATGGTATCTTGACTGCATCATCAACAAACTCTCAGAAACCTGGATACCAGAAGAGGTTACTAGGTTACTTAATGCAGCAGACCAGAACGGAGACACAGCCATCATGATTGCTGCGCGAAACGGCGCGAGGAAATGCGTGCGAAGTCTGTTGGGACGCAACGTCACAGTCGACATTCCTAACAAAAAGGGTGAGACGGCAGACGATCTTATTCGAGAGCTCAATCAACGACGACGAATGCATGGACGCACAAGGCAAGCTTCATCGTCACCTTTCGCGCCACCACCAGAACACCGACTCAACGGACATGTACCGCATCTAGATGGAGGACCACTGATTCCAGTACCATTCCCCAGCATGGCTGTTCGAGAACCTGTTCAGTATCGCTCACAGACGGCCTCACATCTCATGACCAAAGTCGCGCCAACACTACTTGAGAAATGCGAAGAGCTGGCTGCAGCATATGAGACGGAACTTCAGGAGAAGGAGGCTGAATCCTTCGACGCAGAACGTGTGGTGAAGCGACGCCAAGCTGAGCTTGAAGCCGTACGAAAACAAGTAGCTGAGTTACAGGGCACATCAAATGGCCTACATATTGACCTCAACGACGACGAAGCAGACCGGCTGCAAGAAGAGGAACTGCGGTTACTGGTGGAAGAAGCCGAGTCGCTCTTAGAGATTGAACAAAAGGCCGAGCTCCGTCGACTGTGCAGTAGCATGCCGCAACAGAATGCCGACAACTCGCCTGTGGATGTCACGGAAAAGATGCGACTAGCATTGTTGCTACATCGCGCGCAACTCGAGCGGAGAGAGCTGGTCAGAGAAGTTGTGGGTAATTTGAGCGTGGCAGGTATGAGCGAGAAGCAAGGCACATACAAGAAGCTCATTGCGAAAGCACTGGGTGAGCGCGAGGAAGATGTCGAGTCCATGCTGCCTGAGATCCTGCAAGAGCTGGAAGAGGCGGAAACGCAGGAAAGGGCTGAGGGACTGGATGGAAGTCCGCTATAGGTTTTGTTACCTAGTAGTAAACCCGTGATGGCAGGACAGTGATAACGAGTATTTACGACCAAGATAGCGAGCATTTACCTCTTAATGTATACATGTTTCTGGCTGGCCGTTCCAACGATGACGCGAATTGTTCAAGGCTGCGGCGTGTATCTCGAAAACATCCGGCCGCGCTCATGGGATTCGTGATGGTGGTCTCCACACGGCTAATGCGTGTCAGTTGCTTGTGCATGCGTGGGGTTAACGACTTTCAGATGACCTTGGTATGCAAGGCGGCTGGATGTGACTGGATCACGCATGGGGCTAAGCTATGACGTGATTCAGACGGGCTGGTCGACACCCAACTTTCCGCACCTCAAGACGGCGGACTTGATGGAGCCGGAGAGCATTTGTCGAGGAAATGGCGTGGATCAAAGGGGGAAATTTGGTAGTCGCCAGGCTGCGTATGCTGGGACGCGTAGCTCGGAGGTGAGCTTGGCCGCGATTGGACCATGAGGCGGAGTGTACGGCAATGCAGGGGCTTGGCTGTAGGGCATTGCACCAACACCTGAAGACAGATATCAGCAGTTCGCAACTGTCCAACTGACTAAGACAGCATAGCCCGCCGCCGCCTAATCCCAATACCATCACACGCTTGCAGCGGTCCCACCCACCTGCCATTCGGTACTGTCACTCGCTTGCATTCGTCGCCTTATGCCTGAGTCCATTCCGCTGAGGAAGAAGCCTCCGCCGCATCCTCGTACCCTCGTCCACACCCTCTCGGAAGACTTCAGCCTCGAGCCCCCAAATAGAAGCACCTCGCCCGTCGTTGCGTCCGGGTCCAATTCCCGACAGCTTCCACGAACACGCTCTTCGTCGCGACAACATCGAAAAGCGAACGGCAAGGCCGTTTCTGCGCTCAAGGAACCGGATAGCCCAGCCAATTCAGAACTCGAGTTTGACGACTGGGATGAACACGACGCCGCCATGCCCTCAGATCTCAGACCCTCCATCGACGTCAGAGATGGACGCGCGAATGCGCCCCTGTTAGGGCGCAAGACCGAGGACGACAGCATGGATGAAGGCTTATTGGGGAGGAGCACACATCACTTCCACGAGCGGGATCCAGAGCTGCAAGCAAAACACGAGACGCGCAAGAAGTACACCTATGCCGCTTTCCTGCTTGCGCTGAGCCTGGTCAGCTTCACCGTACAGACAGAGACGGCCGTATACATCCAACATCAATTGAAGTGGGAGAAGCCATACTGTATGCTCTACATGACCCACGGCTCCTGGGTTGTGCTCTGGCCAGCAACTCTCTTCTTGCTACGTCTCCAGCACTGGAGCGAGCCATGGCCGACGTTCTGGCGACGACACGTCCAGCTCCTCCGCCAGACCGCTCTCATGGTCCAGCACCAGAACCTCCACCCAACACCCCGCCAATCCCAGGTCTCGCCTGTACGATACATGCTCAAGATGACGGCCTTCATCACATGCGCCCTTACACTTGCCGGAGGAAGTTGGTACGTGGCTGTGAACCAGACCACAGCCAGTGACCTTACAGCCATCTACAACTGCTCTGCCTTCTTCGCCTACGCCTTCAGTATCCCCATTCTCCACGAGAAGGTCCGCGCCAGCAAGATCATCGCCGTAGCCATCGCTATTGTGGGCGTCTTCGTCGTCGCATACGGCGATACCTCCCCCGCAAAACATGGTTCCAAGTCTGGGGGTGGGGCCGGCGGTGATAAAGCACCCCCGTCGCATGAAGCCGAGAATCGCGCTTTTGGTAACCTCGTCATTGGCATCGGAAGTGTCTTGTATGGTCTCTACGAAGTGCTGTACAAGAGACTTGCGTGTCCACCCGAAGGCGCTGCACCCAACAAGGGCGTTATTTTCGCAAACTTGTTTGGAAGCTTAATTGGTGCTTTCACTCTGGGAGTCCTGTGGATTCCGTTGCCCTTCTTGCATTACATGGGCTGGGAGCTGTTTGAGTTGCCGCATGGAGAGCAGGCGTGGATGATGGCTATCAGTGTGTTGGCTAATGCTAGTATGTTTCCCTCCTCCCTGCAACCTCGTGAACAAAGCAGCGTACTGACCCCATCCCAGCCTTCTCCGGAGCCTTCCTCGCGCTCATCTCCCTCACCTCTCCCGTCCTCTCCTCTGTCGCAGCTCTCCTCACCATCTTCATTGTCGCGCTCGTCGATCAGCTTCTCCCTCCGCCGCTCAACTCGCCTCTTACACCTGCTGCTATCGTTGGCGGTCTTCTTATTATTGGGGCGTTCACTTTGTTATCATATGCATCATACAAGGAGATGGACGAGGAAAGGAGACACAAGCTCGAGGAGGCACCTAGCGAATTGGATGATTAGGTGTTATCGAGGGGTATGGACAACTTTCTTTCGCTACATAGAATTCTCCATTCTTTTGGGAACTGTTTCGCATACTACACATTTAGGAGTGGTTTGCTGGGGCAGGCTCTCATGCAGACCCTTTTTTCTTCTTGGGTTTATCTACGCGGGCAGGCCGCGTTAGTTTGTGTGTTTTGGCATTGCGTGCTTTGACTCGCATTAGCATGGTTTGCATATATGGCGTCACTGGAGTTGTTACAGGGTAGACCAAATGGTCACCTTGATGCTAGAATGAATCCTTGTCGTTTTACTACTTTTGAAACTTGATTCTTCTTTGCGTTCAACGTGTTCACTGCAGTAAGCTTCTTGTACTCAAAGCGTAAACGCCATACCGGACGCACTGCCGGCAGACGAGAACTATTCGGATAATACCACAAGTAGAAGATGGTGCAGTAAAGATGACGCGAAAACTTGAATGATGCTGTAATAGGGTCACGGGTTACTCTTTGGCATTGGCCTACCCTATGTAGGTGGTGGAGACAGATTGAGGAGAAATGGACCCTTCGAAGAGGGTCTGTGAGTTGGGAGGATGTATATCACTGAGTAGTCTGCCGCTCATGCTTTGCTTTCGCAGAAATCTCTCTATTTAACAATGTGTTCCTTTGTGGTGTTCTTTGTAGCCTCAGTTGAGGCGTATTGTGTGGGCAGGAGGTCATTGTCTCCAACCCACATCGGCGGACTTGATCAAGAACGGCTTCTGTTGAAAGCCACGGAAGTTACTTTAACAGGGAAGTCGACCCTGGCTCTCAACAGTACCAAATGTGTCTTCACCAGAGACGGTCAATTGGCGAATGTCAAAGTGTAATATATGATGGCAGGACACACCTGCGTATTACAACGAGCAAGAATGAACATCCAATAGTACCCTAAAATACAGGCGCCACTTGCCTACAAGAAGACGTGTGGGCTTGGTACCTGGGGATTCCAAAAGACTTCTCGTTTCCAGACACATACAGCCTGCCATTATTATTACTTGTGTTCCCAGCATCTATATACCCTGTTGTTCAGCGACTGTTGTCAATACCTCATCTTAGCCATGCCCCTTCTACAGCCTTCATCATCTCGTCACGAAGTCGAGGTATCCAAGCCGTTGCGTGTCAACAAGCCATCAACCTCTGTTTCCTCTTCTTCCTCTTCGCTATCGCCACAGCAGCCTCGACCGGTATTGAAACCAGAACCAGACCTACAGAATCTCGAGTATCCTGAGCCGTTTCGTATCAAAAGGTCAACAAGCACTACCGCTCCCGTGTCTTCACCATCACCACGTCCTCGTACTAAAAAGTTCATTCGGCCGCTAGCTACGAATGAGCCATCAATTTCTACTCCGCTACCGCCGGAATCAGCTCCATATCAACATCGCCGTCTAGAGATTTCCCCCTTACCACTACGACCTCGTCTCACTCCACCATCAAAAGAGACGCCAGTCGACCCTGTTCATCGAAAGTTGGACGCGAAGACTCCTTGGTAAGTTCTCCTCTTTATACTTCCTTCCTCGAAGCGCTTAACTTGCTATAATCTATATCTAACTTGAGTCTGCTAGCATCCCAAACTTACTCATCAGACGGAAAAGAACGTATCACATAACCAACGAGCCAGCAACAGCCGCCCTCCCTCCAGGAACCCATGTTTTGATAACGACAAGAAACACAACTCCCTCAACGTCAAAATCATCTAGCTCCCTCTCCGTCCCAATCTCTCCCTTCCGAGACCAAGAGGACCCACCTCTTCGAAGCAATTTCAACACCGGCGTCGACGCCATCCTTCCAGCACCGCTAACGCAAACCCTCGCCAAAAACAAGGAAATTCTTCAAATCCCTCAGTCCATATTCCCATCACCCACAAAACGACGCACAGAAGTCAAGAGGAGATTGACAGTAACGCGGAAAGCCATTTCCTCTTTACTTGCCCGGAATCTCGATGCAAGATTGCACAAGGATCTCGACGTAATAAACGAGAAGCTCGAAATAACTGCACAGGCGGTGACCAAGTCAGGGGAGGAGTGGAGAAACTATGCTACTTTCGTGCCGACTAGAAGTGATTTTGGCGTATCTCAAGGGACCAGGAAGGAAGCGTTGAATGGTGCGTTGGAAGTCCACAGGTATACTGATAGAAGAACTGGGGAGAGCGAGCCGGTGCAAGTGAGAGACACTACTGTTCAACAGATAGTTGAAATCAGAGGGTTGACGCTGGAACACATCAGGTCGCGTGGGCGGCTTCACAGGACGCCGTAGTCTTTATTAATGGGTTCAAGGCTACCTACAGGAAGCCAGTTGTTAGTCATAATTACATATGCCAATCCGTGATGATCATCTACCTAGATATACTCAATGCCATGTATACCCAGTGTCATCTTTTCTGAACGCCATTGCACCCTCTGTCCCGTTTTTTTCCTCTAGTCAAAAGGCACTCTCCGCAACCCCCTAGCACCACCTTTCCGCGCTTCACTCTCGGCACCAACAGCAGACGGCACGGGAATGCCGCAGCAATCTCCCCAGCCGACACTTGCGTGTACATGTCTCTTTCCCATCTCATCATCAAACACTTTGACCTCTCCACCCTCTTCCTCCTCTTCCTCCTTCTCCACACCCGCTTCCTCCTCGGTACTCATTCCATCAACAGGCGGCACCAGGCTGCCAAACAGGAAGTGCTGCATGACAGGCAACTTCTCCAAGATTTCCTTGCGGAACATTTTGCGCATTCCGGATTCAATCTTTGACCAGTTCTTCGCCGAGGATATGTCGTCAAGCATAGGTGAATGCCAGCGCAGACCTTCAACATTCTTGACCGAGTTGACAAAGGAGATTTGGTCTAGGTAGAGATAGTTCTTGCTCTCTTCTTCTAGTACCAAAGCGTTGTGTATGCTTTTCGGTGTGATGTAGGGATGATGAAGGAGTTGGGCTGCGCCGAATAAGAAGGGGAGGAACTGGTAGTCATCTAATCCCCAAACGCCATGAGAGCCCGCAGGCTCGAGGTAGTATTCTTCTTGCACGCGACGCATGAGGCGCAGATATGCAGGCAGGACGACGAGGGCGAGCGCGGGGAAAGTTGTGTCAGGGAGTATGCCGATGCGATTCAAACAGAGAAGCCAGAGGAAGAAGTTCAGCTCGTGGCCAGATCCGTAATCTATGCGTCGCTTGTTTCCGAAGGAGTTATGGAGGTACGTTGCCATCTCATCGACCTGCGCCTTGTCTTTCAACCCTAGTTTCTCGTGCCAGAGTGGCAATGACATCTCAACTTCGTCGAGAAATGTGCGGAAGACTGGGTTGCCGAACCGTGACCCTGTGTCTTCCCGCGGACATCTTTCCAAGACCTTGTCCGCTTCTGCTAGTATCTGGATGACTGTCTTGACTGTGTCTGTCACCTCCTCATCCCTGACGCTCGAAATGCTGCGGTCGCGCACCGAATCTGCGATGCCGAAGACAAAAGCTTCGACTAATGTGCATGTTTTACTCTTGAGGAAGAGTTGGTGATCTTCTGGGCTCAATATACGCCTCGAAGGTCGTGTATAAGCATGTCTCTCTAGGCTCGGTGGCTCAGGTAACGAAGGCGTCGGTGGGGGAGGGGCAGAAGGCGGTTCTCGCGATGTGGGGGCGCGTTTGCGGGGGATGAGCTTGGGGAGTCTGGCGCTGAGGTCTGGCGGAGGCGACGGAATGGGCGGCGATTGTGTTTGTGTCATCATGCTGTGCACTTTATGTCGTGGTCGTTTAGGTGTAGGAAGCTAAGGTGCTCAGGGTCGAGATGCATGGAAAGTGGAGGAGGAGCGGGCCGCAGCTCCGAACGTCATTCACGACTTCACTCAAGACATTCGGTACACCCAACTAATTTATTGCGAATACTATGGCAATCTTTGTGTCACTCATCTTCGGCAAACATTGATTGATAGATGCATCGTCGGGTGCGAGGGAACGCCTCCGTCGTACCAACATTCCAGGCAGAGTACAACTGTGATGTCAGCGCGTTGCAACTTACTACGTCCTAGAAGTATGTCATGCATGTCTCGGCTTGATGAGTGTTACCCAGGTTGCAGCATGCACAATTTCGTCACTCTTGTGAGCACTTCCAAGGATTCTACGGAAATAACTATCCCATGCGGGACTTGGGTACCAGCGTGTATAAACGAGCTTGTATTCCACTCAGGTATTCTTCAGTGCGTAAAATTGCGCTACTCATCTCTCTTCTCCAAGTGGGTCATCCACTTCACGTCACCGTCTTACAGCATCATCCGTTCCTGATGATGCTATCAAATCTGTATCCTTTCGGAACTTTTGCATGGATTTTGAGTTTGCGTGGCGGATCTCTTTCCAGGACGAAAGAGGCCCAACACGCGTAGCTCTTCAGGTAATAAGCACTCTACTGCGACAGCTGTGAAGCAAAGACAGCTTCATTCTCAGTCATATAAAGAATATCCAAATACACAGCAGATCCTACATACAATGTAACAGCGCTCCTTATCCAACACATTCCATTCATCCGACCCAGGGGTATCAACATCTTCCCAACGTGACATGTGCCTTGGAGATCTTTCCGACCCTCCAAGCCATCCTCTCTCACTCTGCACAAGAATGGACCGACTGAGCCCTTACATGACTGTGCAGCACTTGAGCATCTTAAGCAACTTAGGCAAGCCCTTCTTGACCATCTGCTCAATCTCATCGTTGTTATCCTGCTGTTGACCATGGTGTTGCTGGCCACCATGCTGTTGACCACCATGCTGCGGCTGACCTCCATGGTGCTGACCGCCATGTTGACCACCGTGCTGCCCTGGGTAACCACCATAGCTCGGTGCCTGGGGAGGCGGTGGCATCTCGTGGACATCTCCACCTTGGAGGTTTACGAAGATCCTACCCTCGTTCTCCTCGGTGCGGTACTGCAATCCCAATTCACGGCACACTTGTTCAACTCTTGGCTTGATCTTCTGGACATGGTTCCTGCTATGGTTGCCTTTGCCCACAATGACATGCAGATGGCTTTCTCCCCTCTGCCTGGCAACCCTGATCCTCTCTTCCAGAACATCCTCGGCCTCTTCTACGAACAAGCCGTGGAGGTCAATGGTATCGCCAGCCACGCGGCCCTCGGCGTTGTTTTCCCTGAAGATGTAGTCGCGCGCCTGGTTGTTGTACTGGTTCATTTTCGCTGCATGGGCTTTGCCCTCTTCAGAGAGCTCGTGAGCACGCGCTCCATCGCCGGATTCGTATGCTTGATGCGCGCGGTCGAAACATGAGGATCGCTTCGCAGCCTCCTGGCGCGCAAGGTCTCGGAGACGGTCGTACTCGGCTTCTGTATCGGCGGACGCGTGGTTCAGGGCTGTAATAGTACGTCAGCCAATGCGCATTGTAGGTTGCGAGCGACAAAGCGTTGGTTCGTAAAGTCATGTCCGGCATCGAATACGTACAGCGCGAGCCCAATGAATGCATTTCCATGGTTGCCATATTGTCGCGACACTAAATATATCAACCCAATGTGTGTGTGTAAAGCGTCAATGATACAGTGTGTTGTTGTTGTCGAGGCAAGGCACATATTAAGATGGAGCTCGGAGCCGCTAAGCGGCTGCATGCAGCTTGCGAGATGGCGCAGGGTCCAGATTCGTCGTGGCTCAGCGGTGAGGATCGGGCGGCCCGATCATGGCTGGAGCGTCCAAGATTGAGCGATCGAAGTGGAGAACAGTGAGCTGTACTGCATGTGAAGCAGTATGAATATTGCGTGGATTGGTTGTGTCTTAGCTAAGCGTGTGATGCTGTTCCTGACGCTGGTGTAAGGTACCCGCAAAGCTTTGCGTGTGACTTCACGATGCGTGCCACGTAAAACATGGTTTGACAGGTTTGCGACATCCAGTGATGCCCTAGAACCGAATCTTCGGCCCAACGAAGACAATCAGGAAGGCGATTAGCCATAACCCAGCGATCATGCAATAGAGCTTGATCCTGTCCCACCAACCCTTGCCCTCAGTCATCCTCCGCAGTGCCCCCATTCTTCTGCTGGCAGCATCCATGTTCAATGTGTTCTTGTCCAGCCCAGCAAGCGCTCGATCCACTACGCTTTTGTCACCCTCGAGCGTGTTGCCAAAATGTATCGACTGTTCCTTCAACTGCCGCGCCATATCGAGCAAGTCTGTCGTGAGCTCCTCTTGTTCGTTGCGTTCGTGAGAGAGGAGCGACTCGGTTTTTGCGAGCGATGGGTCGCCTGTCGTGGGCTTGGAAGGAAACAACGAGTTGCCGGATGCTGATTGCGCCCCCGCTGTATTCGCGTCCGCCTTTCCCCTTCGGCGGAGTTCTGATGCGATGCCTTGTGCTGCATTTTGGAATGCTTCGTTGCCTTCTGTCGCTGTCGACACATCCCGTCCGGCTTCCGTCTTTACTCTTGGTGCGTACGACGGGAACTGGTCTGCGTCTTCATCGTCGGAATCTGCAGACCCCTCCGAATCCGTGTCGTCCAGCTGGTTAAGCTCGTATATCCGCTGATTAAGCTGTTTGATGAGTTCGCGCTTCTGTTGTAGATCGTTTTGTAATTCGGCTTTCTTCGACTTGGAGGGTATCGTGGAGGCTGAGTGTTCGAGACTGAGGAGTAAGGTGCGTGCATGTTCGATGTTCTGCAGTGATATTAGTACATACGGACGGAGATAGAGAAAGGCGCGTGAAGCTTACCGCACTCACGCGTGCGCGCTCATAGTTTGACTTTCGCAATTGTGGTGATGGGTCGACCAGTACTAGGCGGTCTAATCTGGACAACAAGCGGTTGAGATTGATGCTCGTTGTATCGCCAAAGCCTGGTGAGCGAGATCTGGCAGCCATTGTTTGACTGGGCGTGCTATATTGGGACGTTGGTGCAAAAAGGCGGCAGGAGTGATGAAGATGTGCGTGTTGGTGGGGTATCGTGTTGGCACTCGCTCCCTTGACGTGTCGGCTGTCAAGTCGAGTTTTATTAAGGTCTTCGTGAAGTCGCTATAGTGGTACTTGGTGCCGTGCCTGTGTTGGTGCAAGATACCGTCATGTGAATTAACGTGTTCTGGCCACGACGTCACTTTGGCGAACACCAATCGGTGTTTGGTGGATCATCCCCGCATAGCCTAAGCTTTTGCTAAGAAAAGAACCCGCATACATCACGATGTCTTCAGAATGGTGAACGAGACAATTGTTGGCAGTACAATACATCTTCTTACTATGGTACATATCCTATGATCGTTTGAAAACTGACCAAAATCATCGCTATGCTGTTTTTGCGCGAATGCAGTAGCTGCAAGCTTGAACTCCAGGCATAAACATGCTAAATATTCCTAACCACCATGGTGTGTTAAAGTGGCTTTGAGGACCCAAACAAATACCAAAATCGCTGAACAATCTACTTCTGGCCAGGGGGGCTAACGGGACCACGAGTGAAGCTATGCAACATTAGCCAAGTATCGAAGCAAGCGGGTTGGGTAATACGTACTTGTTCCACAGGGTTCCAAGGAAGCCAGGCTTTCCATATGCGTCGTGGAAAGATTGCCTTCGGGCCATGCTCTCCTCGTCCTGACGACGCTTAAGGGCTTCTAGATTTCCAAATCGCTGGGCGGCAGAAGACTGAGAGGTGTTAGAACGTTTCCGGTAAGATTTGTAGCCATGGGCTACGAAGTTGCTATGCATACCCTGCGGCGTCCATCGTAAGATGAGGAGCCGACTGACGACTCTGAGGAGCGACGGTCGGCCTCCTGCTTAGGTGCCTCTGGCATGGCTGGAGTGGTGTTGTCTCCAAAGACCTTGTGGCTCTGGGTGGAGTACTTTTGCTGGAATGGAGAAGGCATTGTGGTATGAGGGCAATTGATTGAAGTGTAAAGTTGTGTATGGATGGAACTTGGTTACTTGTTGTTGGAGGATGGACTGATGTGATGATGAAGATTAGACACCAGAGGAAATCACAGCTTCATATAACCGTTCTCCAGCTGAGTGTCTTCGAAGGTACGATCGCTCGTGGCCTGACCATTACGCAGACGATATGTGATCGTGCCAATCACAAGGGCGCTGAGAATCCCCCGCATTCCAAACGTGCAGCTTGGACCCTGAAATCTGTAACGATGACATGAGAGGGTAACGGATGAACACCAACCTGCTTTAGACCTCGCTGTTCGAAGCTAAGAGTTGCTATCCAGCGAATGAGCTCTTGATGATTCATACGCCTCATGTACGGCTCGGGATCCCCTAGCATGAACCGCCGATAACATACACCCCAGAACATGACGTCGATCGATGCTAGCAGTCGTGGTCTCGAAGACAGCTTACAAGAGTCCAAACGCGGATAGCTTGTCTAGAACGGTAGCTCATAAGGCACGTGTTTGTGCCTTTTCATAGTATATCGATCGCGCTAGCTTTTCGAGGTAGATCGGGACAAGACCGACTACTGCAGGATCCTGGGGTAGACTGGGCCCATGACGGCGTGGTCGACGGTGTGTTTGAAGATGGAACCGTCAAGAAGCCACGCGCGTTGCCTTATCTCGCAGATCGTTTTGATATGATGAACACGACCAAATCCTTCATGTGCAAAGCTTCGGAGCTGACAGTGCCTTTATCGCCATGGTTACATTCGACGTTGTGCCTACCTGACGGGCCACAGGGACACTGACTGGACTCTCGGAGGATACAGATTTGTTTTGTTTTTTGAACGTCGCTGATGTCATTCCCAACGGCATGTCGGACTGCTGCTCATCGTGCATTGTGTTGCGTCGTACCAGACCCTTTATCAAATTCACGGTCGGCGAGCCGATGGGACGCTAAGCCTGAGTGGTCACGTCACGTGTATGACGTAGACGGCTGACTAAGAAACACGCCATACTCTTTTTGATAAGCGAGAAATGGAAGAAATGTCTTTCGCGTTTGCACCGCAGTACTCTTCCTCACCATTAAGGCCACTTGAATTCTCGATTGCAGGCTCTCGCCAATCTTTCCGCCATCGGCGCAACCTGAGTCAACCTCGCCATCCAGAAGGACACGCGTCTTGTCCCGTGTCTTTAGAGTTTGAGGCTCCCCGCTTTTGGGTAGCAAGCTGTTTCTTGAAGGTGAAGATTGGCAGGTACTCATGCCGATCCTTCGGGCATAGAAAAGCCGGGCCGATGAGAGAAAATCTCGTCCGCTCCGTCTCCTTGCTCATGTTGCGGCTCACCCTCCCTTCCCTTCAATGCAGCCTCAGACAGATTTGGCGCAAACACAGTGCGTATCATCGGTTGCACTGCCTCAACGTCCGCTTGAAATTAGCGACTACGAGGTGACATTTACTCGGATTCGCAAACACTCAGCAAAGGTACGTGAAGCAATGATTCTGATCGCCAACCCCTTTCCTCTTTCCTGATGATACCACAAATTTCAAAGCATAGTTCATCTTAGTCTTCGGACAGTGAGGAACGAATTCAGCAATGTCTTTCGCTCCTATCTGACATCAAATCTCTCCCTTGCATATTTTCATTCGTTGTGTGAACGCATTCTAACAATGAATAGACTTCCCGAACATTCCATATCGCTTGAGTCTTGTACCACAAAGTAGGTCATAGTTACTATGCAGCGCCTGGCAGAAGCTCGTTGCATGGTAAGCGACGTATCGGTTCGAGACACCTAGAGGCTAAATGCTGTGCGCGGTTTCCTACACAAAGCCGCCGACGATGTGTGTGCTACAGAACATGCTTAATGAGGCAACCGCAGTGGGGTTGTATCACTGTGATGTATGCAGGTGCCGCTGTAATCTGTCGTGAAGCCATGTCAGATGTAGCCCTATCGGTAGCTACATGCACGCTTTTACGCGCGCACACTGTCACTTTCCTTTACGAGGAAATTAAATTCGAGGAGGCAGTCAGTGCGGAGCGTTGCGGGTGAGCCGGCTGAAGAGAGGGAGGGACACCGTTGTCCCATAGCCCAAATCGTATCAATCACAGGTACCGGGCTATTGCGCGTTCGCCGGGAGCCGCGCAACGCTCAGCCTCTCCCTGCTTCGCTGCAAATCGCCGCAATGATTTGTGAGCATTATTGCCGCGGCAGAGTTTAATTCTGTTGATCGCGGGACTACACGAGAACCAAATCGATCTTGTGCACCACCGGCTGCCAGAGTCCCTGATTTTGCAGGTTTGACGGCGCTGTCGAGCCGCCCTCCGGCGTCGCGGTTGGTGGTTGGCAGCAGCGATCGTTTCCCACTTTGCAAACCCGGCATTCCCCTGACTGCAATTCAGTTTAGATTCCCACATTTCAACCCATGAGCGACAAGAATATTTCGCCGACTCGGAACACTGTCCTCCCATTGTGAGTCGCGAAAGGCGCAGGGTAACTGGAGAACCGAGCTCCATGTCTGTGACGTTAGCGTTTGACACAAATTGATAAGAAGTGCACCCGTCCCTACCCAGCCGCAAAAGAATTTTGGCCCATTGGTTTTGGAACCGCCGAAGCACCGCAACAGGATTTTACTCGTGGGATATGCTTGTGGGGCTCGCTCCTATGCGTTGGCACTCGTACTAAGCCACCAACCGGTCAGCACTCTTGCCCGCCCACACACATTCTTGTCCCGCTCGTTTCCTCCCTCCCTCTTCAACACCACACCACCAACACACGAAATCGACAATCGCCTCTGCCAACAAGCAACCCCCAGCGATTTTTCTTGCACAATTTGCTAGAAACGAACATCAAAGTCGACGACCACAAAAAAAGAGCCCTTGCTCAGGATGACAATTCGGAGCCCAGACGGAGCCCTATCCAGGTACTTACTGCCCAACGGTTTTCCCCCAACTCATGTTCTGCTTTACGCGTTTCCTTACGTTTGACTACTACGACATCCTGTGTTGCTAGATTCATGTGTTTCTTTCCTACTGTTGTTTGCTTTTTGCTCTGCCGCCATTACAGCCCACAAAAGGATGCCCAGAGGATGCCACAGGACAACCTTCCAGAGGATCTACCGCCCCGGTAATGGAATTCCACATGGCCACTTTTCTTCAGTTACCAAAACCGGATGCTTCCCTGGATCAGCCTCCTAGGATTCGAGAGACGTAGCACACTGCCCTTGCAGTGTTTGTAGAAACGACAACCACGAGGCCTCGCTGCCCCGACTTCAGAGCAATGATGTAATGCTCTCGAAACGGCGGTGAACGGACACGAGTGGATCCTCGCGCTAGTCACATGCGCTACGACGCACTATTACGAAAATGATATACGACAAAGGCATGCAACCCTGCATCGCCTCAGGACAACGTAGGCAACTCTCAGCAATGTCGTTCAATTTATGTTGTTGTTCGACTGCGCTAGGCGACAAACGACTGGTAGTATCAATGTACGCAATCCATTCCAAAGGAAGCCACTATCCTGATGAACCCGTTATGGACCAGACCGAGGAACTTCTCTGCCAAGAGGAACAATGACATGGACACCTTGACCTGGACTTCCCACCGGACGCTAATGAGACCCTTCCATGGTCTTGGAGTTGATTTGGAGACAGTTGGACTTACGAAGTACGTATTGGAGGCTATAGCTCTAGCCTATCCACATCGACCTATTGATCCGAAACTAACTTGAGTGGTGTTAAAGGAGCACAAGATGTTCTGGATGATCAGTCCCCTTCATTGTCTCTGGCTTTCCTCTGGATAATATTGGATCGAACACTGGATTACTATTCTGTCGCCTTGGGACTTCTGGATTCATCGCAACTCACCATGCAAGTGGTGTTTACTCCATAGGAACCTCGCCGTCACTTCGCCAGCCATGGACAGTACCGGTATCCTCCAGGTGCGTGCTAACCATACTTACCCTTCTGCATTAGCTGACTCAGTGCTTATAGGTCTCGCTCGGACATACTAACATGGCGTTTTCCTTTTCTGTCTTCACGAATATGTCAGGTTTGCAGTGCGAATGCATGGAGACTAACTTTTGGCGTCTAGCGACTCTTTCTTCGACTCACCACCGGAGACTGCATTCTTCATCTCAAACATCACTGAGTGGCGAAAGGAGATTCCAGCACCTGTTGTTTCCGTGCCGGACTTTCCTTTCTCTTCAGACTTCCAGGACATGCACACTTCAGACTTGTTCGAATTGAAAGATACTGCGTCTGAGTGCAGCATGGACAGCGCATACCAGAGCCAGAGTGGCGCCAGCCGGCGCGGAGCCCAAAAGCCAGAGTTACACCGCCAGGGGAGCCGGATGAGCAACCAGTTCGTTGGCAGCGATATCTACTCGCCGACCATGAGCTCCGACAACTACAGCGCATTCCCAGAGAACCTGGACATGAGCCACATGCATCAGCCAGCCACATCCGGAACATGGAATGCCACAGAGGGACCCCTCTCGTATGCTAACTATTCTACTGCTCAGGACTACACACATTACTCGACAGCGAACATGCCTCGCTTCGGGCCCGCTACCCTCAGCGACTCACCACAATGGGCTACACCCGAGACCAACTTCCAGAACAACCCATTCACATTCACATCGTGGCCTACGAACGACAACATGTTCAACACCACCCCTCAACGAAACTGGCACAGCGCCTCTTTCGATACTCCAGAACGTCCCGCTACCCTGCGCAACTCATCATCATACTCTCTTCAAGAAGAGTCACGGCGAGCGTCAGCCCAAGATGTCGGCTTCGGCGCATTTGTTGGTACCCCTACCAGCACTACTAGCGTTCATTTCCCCCAGCCAATGAACAACACTATCGAAGATGCCAAGCCTGCATCTGTAGCGCAGTCAGTTGATGATAACGAAGACACCCTTTCCCAGTCTGAGGCGGCCGAGACCAAGCTTGAAGAAGAGCGTACCAAGGTTGCACGCAGCCACCCACTCTACCAACAAACACCAGACAAGGATGGAAAGTATCACTGCCCCGAAGAGGGCAAGGCAGGATGTACACACAAGCCCACAGCCTTGAAGTGCAACTACGAGTAAGTCATTCACCCATCACGCAAATCATATCGCAACAGAAGCTGACCCCTTCAACAGCAAGTACGTGGACTCTCATCTGAAGCCGTTCCGCTGCAACAAGAAGACGTGCGTTGGCGTGCAGTTCTCTTCTACTGCATGCCTCCTCCGTCACGAGCGTGAGGCACATGGCATGCACGGTCACGGAGCCAGGCCACACCTGTGCCACTTCCGCGATTGTGAGCGTGCCGTGCCGGGTCACGGGTTCCCTCGTCGCTACAACCTCTTTGACCACATGAAGCGTGTCCACCAATATGACGGGCCCACCACAGAGCCTTCGCCGCCAGTCCAAGGACAAGCTCCTCGCAAGTCGGCGTCTCGCAAGCGCAAGGCGTCAGCCGAGGAGACTGGCGAGAAGCGCGTCAAAGTCGTCAAGCTTACTGCTGAGCAACAACGCCAGCAGCGCCGTGAGGCCCTCACCAAGGAGTTCTTGAGCAAGAAGCAACACATCATTGATGTCTTGACTAATCTCAGCACTCCCAGTGATCTTGGGGACGACATTCAGCTCACAAAGGAGGTTGTTGGTCTTCACGACATCTGCACTCAGTACCGGGATGTCTTCGGCGGCTGAATGAAGCACACGTGTCTGGTAGACTTCGTCTGCTGATACAGCCGCAAGCAGGTTTGTCATCACACAGCCGGACCCCTACCCTTGTTTTTGCAATACATATACACACATCGCGTTTGATTTTCTGCGTTCTCCGAACCCGGATGGATTCCCGCGTGCCAGCGGATGAAGGACCATGACTTGCCACAAGTCTCGGATGGATGCCTCTTGCCCTGGTTGGCCACAACTCCGGAAACAGACCCAGGATACAGAGCCAAGGACATGTCCCAGCCGTGGACTGGATGCCGCAGGATCGCTAGTCGACTCTTAGAGCGACAGCAACCCCGTTGAGGGGAGATGGACTAAGGTCATACTCATTGCAATATGGTTGGCATGAGTTGGTTGATGTATCAGATTGATCTATTGTTAACGGAGGAGTGTAATTAGTGAAGCTGTATTTCTTTGGATATGGAGTTTTATTTGGATACGAAGAAGGATGACCATGGAGAGAGGTCGGTCTTGTATCGCCACCATTACCCGCCGCGCGGACGTTGGTGGCTGAAGGGGGACGTTGTTTTTGTACATAGTATTGTTACTCATGCTGTTCTTGTTATACGCTCATATCTCAAAATCAATGTGCATAATTGCTTGCCAATGTGGTGATAGTGACAACGCGCATGCGGTCTCCTTCACAGAGGGCTTCGAGGATGTTCGGCATACTTCGGCAACCCCTCTATGCTTCCAAATACCTTCTTCCAAGATAGGACCGATCGCGTCAACTCCCAAAAGTAGGAAGCAATCACCGACGTTTTGAACGGCGCCCCACCGCAGTTGGGTTTTCGTCCGTAAGACGTAGTGGGCGGGACAAGCCGAGGTTCTGTGGCAGGTGGCAGCCCCCCAACCACCCAAGCCCAGAGCCAACGATCGGGTCTCCATCAGGGTCTTATTTCGTAAGCCGCAAACTGTCAGCCAAAAACGTGCAAGGCCAGACCAGTGCCTCTCGAGTAAGCAGAAAAAAACGATCAACGGAGCTCCGTGTTTTGTCAGTGCAGGTCTAAGATCACATGTCATGATTCGATTGGGAGGGGCGACAAGCACAGCCCCACGTATCGCGACGAACTTCAGGCCTGTTTTGCGACACAACTTAAAGCACCGAAGCTTGACCACCACTTTTGCACCTGTCTGTTACTCGATTTCTACACGTTCCTACACACCTAGTACCGGAAAGAAGTTTGACCACGTAACAAAAGAAAGAACAGGAAGAAAGGCGCTTTACACAACCATGGCTTCCGCTACCAGCTTCTTCGACTTCAAGCCTAAGGACAGTACGTTTACTAATCACACCACCTCTTCTGATGCACTTCAGCCGCTAACAACTCACAGAGAAGGGCTCTCCCTACGACCTCAACAAGCTCAACGGCAAAGTCGTCCTCGTCGTAAACACCGCCTCGAAATGCGGCTTCACACCCCAGTTCGAGGGTCTGGAGAAGCTATACAAGGAGGTCAAGGGCAAATATCCCAACGACTTTGAGATTATCGGCTTTCCATGCAACCAGTTTGGTGGCCAGGACCCAGGCTCCAACGATGAGATCCAGGAGTTCTGCCAGATTAACTACGGCGTTAGCTTCCCAGTCCTTGGAAAGATTGATGTAAGTACGAGTAGAACCCTCTCACACCACATTGTCTTGATATATATACGAACTATTCCCCATACGATGACTGAACACTGGCTAATCCTTCCCTCTACCAACAGGTCAATGGCGCACAGGCAGACCCCGCATTCGAATGGCTTAAGAACGAGAAGCCCGGCCTCATGGGCCTCAAGCGCGTAAAGTGGAACTTTGAGAAGTTCCTCGTCGGCCGTGACGGAAAGGTCAAGGGCAGGTGGGCAAGCACCAAGAAGCCTGAGGACCTCAAGGCGGAAATCGAGAAGGAGCTGGGCGGCAAATAAATGTTGAGCGCGAGTTTGGAATGATTGCGCATTGACGCAGGTCCTGTGAGCGCCGGGATACATGATGGAGTATTGATACCACTTGCATTGAATGGAATTAATGGCATTATCCATGAAGTGGCTGTGCATGGTTATGGCCTGGTGAATACCATGAGACAGAAGGAGGTGACATGCTAATGACAACGAGGGTTATATATACCCCTCGAGTATGTATCCCGCATCGTAACAGCCCCAGCAGTACAGATGTACCAAGCTTTAACCTCACGCAAAATACATGCATAAGTGGTTTTAATGTCTGCCCACACATCATTCAGACCTCGAGGCTCTACAAAAAGTACAGGATTCTGCTTGCTTGTCACTTCCATCCGCTCCTTGACCTTGTCATCCAAAGAGCTGGCGAGTATCGACATGTGCGCTGGAGCTGGCATCGATCTTACTTCCGATAAAGAGAACGAGAGCAAAAACATGTCCCAGTTTCATGGACAATACCGAGCAAAAGATGTTTGGACAGGACAATGTTATAGAGAAAACTCGTAACGGAGAGTGGTGGTGATAATTGTCATCATCGTCAGTATACGCATGACAACAAAGGTCGATAGATGAAGTGCAGGACGGAACAAAATGTAAAGCAAATGTTTTATGATTCTCTAACAACAACTGTAATATGATTTTCTCGCCTTTTTCTACGTACAAAAGCTGTGATAAGCCCAAGAGGGCAACAAGGAATGTGAGAAATTGAATGCCACTTCTTCAGGACAGCCGACGAAGCCCTCCGCACTGCAGCCAGGGTAACCCGTCTTACGTCATGTCCTCCATACGACTTTTCACTGCCCATGTCGAAGTGTGAAGTCTCGGATTCATACGCATGGCGGTATACGGCCGCGTGTTGGCACGAGTGCATGAGCGATGGCGCCTGGAGGATAAGTGCCGTGTTGGGCTGCAGTACGGACTGGATCCAATATTGATATCGGTGCTAACGCACTGGCAGTCGCCTTCTTTGGTTCTACCAACGGAGCGCACTGTAGATTGGACGGCTCCCGGCGAAGCATCTTGCCCCAGTGGGTGGAAGAGAGGCTCGTAGCCAAAACGTGGAAAGAAACCAGTAGGAGTAGTTCCCATGGTATCAGGAGACAAGAGATCAGTCGTATCCGTTATTACCAGTGCCTATCTGGCTGGCAAAAGCCGTAGAAACGCTACGAGCATCGTCATCCTCGAAGCCACCAAGCCCACGTGGCAGACCACGACCAGCGCCGAAGCCAGTTCCAACATTCGGGCCCTGGCGGGTGTTCTCTACGTAGCGGTTGAGGCGGTCAGACTGGCTGAGTGAAGTAGGCTTGTTGTAGTCGTTCAAGCTTAAACCAGACAGGCTGATACCGCCCGGTGCATCGCTGCGAGTATCGGTAAGCTCACTGGCGGCGATTGACTCACCAGCAACGCTTTGAGGTGCGCCGTTCTTGCCCTTGCCATTTGGACGACCAGGAAGAGGCCAAGACTCCTGGAAATTGGAAAACATCGGAGGATAGTTGGACGGGACACCAACACCACCGAGGGCAGAAGAGTGGACTGAAGAGACGTCGTCTGGGATGTAGCCGACAATGGATCCGTTGTCGTTGTACTCCTGGCGAGGCTTGTTGCCGTTGAAGCCAGCCTGGCGACCAGATGTCATAGCGTTGGCATGCTGGTAGGCCATCTGGTAACGCTGAGGTCCACGGTAGGTCTGCTTTGGGCGGCTGAACTGCAGAAGCGAGACCTGCAAGTTGGTCAAAGGACCCTCAACAAGGCAGTTGCGCTCCTTGAAATGGAGAAGAAGGTAATGCCACAAGGGGTGTTTCGAGAGAACCTTGGGGTTACCCAGGATGACAAGACCATACTTGGCACGGGTCAAGGCAACGTTGAGACGGCGAGGATCGCTCAAGAAACCAATACCCTGGTGGTCGTTGGAACGAACGCAAGACAAGATGATAAAGTCCTTTTCACGGCCCTGGAAAGCATCGACGGAGGCAACCTCAACTTCCTTGTAGTTCTCTTTCTTGAAGCTACCCGTTGCCTGCATAGAACTGACAACGTAACTGCGCTGACCTTCATATGGGGTAATGATACCGATATCGCCAGGCTGTACACCAGCCTTGAAGAAGCGAGTGACGATCTTCTCGACGTTCTGGGCCTCGGTACGGTTGAGGTAGGATGTACCGGACGCTGAAATCTCCTCTGCGCCGAGGTTGGACCAGAACATCATTGGGCTGTCAACGACAGGCCAGGGGAAGTCGACGTCGCGACGGATGCGTTCCTGCATTGTGACGCCGTTCTGGAGAGAACCTTCGTAGAACATGTTTGAAGGAAATTCCGAGAGACAGGGGTGCATACGGTACTGAACCTGAAGGCGGATGGGTGAGCATCCCAAAATGACCAGACGCTCAAATAGGGACTGGTTGAGACCAGCTGTTGCGGCCTTCTTGTTCATGATGACGGGACCAAGTTGCTGGTGATCACCAACAAGTACGACCTGCTTGCATCCGAGAACTAAGGGGATCATACACTCTGGCTCAGCTGACTGAGTCGATTCGTCAATGAGGACAGTGCGGAACTTCATCTTGGAAAGGCGAGGATCTCCGGCACCAACACAAGTACAGCAGATGACATCGGCTGCGTTTAGAATCTCACGCTCGGCTGCACGAGTGAGCTGCTTGAACTTCTTCTCGTCCTGACTTGACAATTCGCCGACATCGCTCTTGAGCTGGTTCAACTTGTTGAGCTCAACGTTGGTGTCGTTCATGCGGACTTGCTCGTGAAGGGAGAGGAAGCCAACTGGAGATTCGACATCCTCCCTAGATTTAGCGGTGACACGAACGGTCTTCAACCCAGTAAGATGAATACGTTCACACAGCTGGTCAACAGCAACGTTAGAGGGCGCGCAAACTAAGACTTGACTGCCGCTGATCTTGCAGAGATGGTAAATAATGGTGGCTGAAGTGACAGTCTTTCCGGTACCTGGAGGACCCTGGATCAAGCTAAGTGGCTTTTGAAGGACGCTCTTCACGGCGTTGATCTGACTAGCGTTCAATTCAGGGAGGCCCGGTACGCTGAACTTGCGGGGAATCTGAATCTTCATGGGTGCAGCAGCAACCTCATGGCCGAGAAGACGGTGGAAGATGTAACCTGATACGCTCATCTCGTCGATGGCAAAAGTCTTCATGGCGTGTTGCATGCGGTCGAATGAGGTAGCCTTCCAGACGTAATCGGCGCTGAAGTTGTGTGTGCATTCGGTAGGAACAGACTTGTGATCGCCCTTGGTGCGCAGCTCAATTGTCACCTCATCGGACTGGTTGTTGGGAATCTTGATGACATAACCAACACCCTCCCAGTGTGGGCGGAGTTCTCCAGTGTAGCGTAGTCGCATTTCGTCGCCGACTGCGAGTTTGACGTCGCCCAACTCAAGCTTGGGGAGGATGAAGCTAGCGGTATGCTTGTTGTTCAGGGCCATATCCCAGCGAACCACAAGATTATCCTGCGATTGTGACTCCTTCAACTTGCGGTCGTAGTCGGCCTCGATCTTAACCAGGGGACCAAAGACGTTCTGGTATTGGAAAGCGTCATCGTATCGGAGCAAGACCTTGGCAATAACCTCCTCTTGACCAGCGCCCTTTTCAAGATCGGCAATGGTGGCATTTGCGTTGTCCTTCCACAACTCTTCAAGTTTGGCAATGGTCTGGGGGCTAAGGTGGCGGGCGCGGAGTTGCTCCTGGTCAGTTGGGGCAGGTACAAGCCAGGGAAGGAAGGAGCGGTCTTCGATCAGCGGCTGCCAACGCGAGGTATCCCAGTTCATGTCTTTTTGGGAAGGCATAGCAGCGCATGGCTGACGGCACAGCAGAACAACGACGGTGTCTGATTTGGCGGGGATGAAACCGAGGAGAAATACGTTCTTGGTACCGCAATTATAGCATTCGAGCGTCGTGTCGCCGAGCGAAGAGGCGGGGTGGAGCTGGACTTCCTTGTGACGGGCGCGAACGAGATGGTTGATGATGTGCGACGACGAAGAGTTGCCACGAGCGCTGCAGAACCACTTGCTGCATGCGAGACACTTGACGACGCTGCCGGCATTGTGAATACCACAGTATGCGCCTACCCAGGAAATTAGCATGTCTCCCATATCCACCCAGACCGTGTTTACGTACAAGCATGTGCTGGTAGTTCGACCTCAGCATCCTCCGCCCGCATAGCAGACTGGCCATTGCGCCCACCCACCGGCATACTGGCCATGCTCTCCAGATCGTCTTCATCGTACTCCTCGTCGTCATCCGCGCGTCGTCTACGAGAAAGACCGCCGCGGGAAAGGTCGCCGTCTAGGATGCCCTCGTCTACGTCGCCGGCATTGATGGTGGCGGCGGAGTCGGACACCAGGTGGTTGCCCATGTGCGTAAAGGCGCCCTCCATAGTGAAGGCTCGCGCCGGAGGCTCTTTGGTTGATTCGAAATTCGTGGGGTTGAGATTGGAGTTTCGAGGGCAGTTGCTGCCGGAGGTGTTCAGATCGGGGTGTAAACAAGTCTCGTGCTCACACCATTTCCAGCCGGGATCTTTGGTGGTTGCGCTTGGCGTGTTTGCGCGCGAAAGTGGTTGGTGTGGCGGAGAAGATTGTGTCTCAAGGTTACAGCAATTCAGCGGGGGTCGGAATATCGGAGCACACGGCTTAGCGCACTTTCACCTGACGCAGTCGCGACTTCCTCCACAAAACACTCACTCCACGTCAAACAAACGAATCTCATTCGAATCCCGCTTTGCCCTCCTGTCCTTTGTGGTTCCGGAACACCACCATGCCCAAACTCTGTGGCAATGGCAGCCTCTCTATCCAACCTCATAACGAATCTCGAAACTCAGTTGTCGTACCGCCTGCAGCAGAGCCGCATTTGTGGATCGTCTACCCTAGTGCCAACGTCTTTTCGTTGAGGATAGTTGAAAGTATACTTTCCTCATACACGTTACCGCAAGCATCTTCGAGCCACAAGACCCTGACCAAACATCTCCCGGAGTCTCTTTCAGAACGGAACGCTATTAGGTATATCAACAGCCGCAGCTTCTGAAGCTTGCACACTACCAAACCCCTAAAACGCTTTCCTCACACCAACAACATGCACTCGCATGTGCGGTAATCAAACACAACCGTCACTCGGAAATCTGCGAACTTTGCCAAACTACGTATTTACCCTAGTCGAGCAGAGAAGGATAGATTGTCCCGTCGAGGATATTCACATCATCCGAAGAATATGCTGAACTTATAAATCGCTGGATAATCTATCAAGAGCACTCGATTCGATGATATCATTCGGGAAGTCAGCCCGCATGTTAGCGATAAGTCATTGGCGAAGGTTTTTGATATCTAACCCCCACGCCTGTGGATCCAGCTACAGCAATCAATGTACCGGCATATGTTGATATATCCAATTCTCCATTTATCAAGGCTGGGTTTTTGCCGACGCGATACTATAACAAAACGCCGAGCACTATCGCCGGAGAGCATCCGAATGCCCCACAGTACCCGCTGGCATTGTTGTTGCAGCCGCTGCAACCACACGGGCAGCGCGTCGGTCCCAGGAAACAACGAGGCAACGTGCCGCACGGGACTGGCCGAATGATCGATCAACGCTTGTGTATTTTATGCGGGGCGCGCTTGTGACAAGACGTCCATGCATTGTCCACCGCTGCAATCGCCTTCAAAATAGTCCGCGCATACTGTACCAGCCAGCCTATGACATAGTTCTGGGAGTGGTCGCGTTTTGATCAAACTGAAAGCCGCGAACTAAAAACCTCGATAACATGGCAGTCCTTCTGGTAGGCAGGGAGACGAGATCACGAGATCTTACGGTCTGCACCCCTTCAAGGTCGGAAATCCCAGAAGTAAAGGACTGTGGTATCTATGCCCAAAAGGCATCAAGTGGGTGTACCTCCACAGGTTTTGGGCATGAGAACATCGCGGTATGACGTCGTATGGCTACGTGTACGTCTCTTGGTCCACTGGAGCTCGCCTCGTAACTTCTATGGAGAAAAGATTCTCGACTACACAACTTATGATGCCAAAGAAGTGAAGCAAGATGATCGGCTGAAATGTTCCTATAGCACTTAGACGCATCAAATGCCAAGCTATGCAACTGGCTCCGAACAGTCGCTCTAGAAAAATTCTGTTACTGTAGTCCAACGAGCTCATCCTTGAGGGTGTCGATCGCTACTTAAGCCGCGGGAATAAAGCATTGTAGGTTGGTTTGTACTCTTTTCGCGGCACTTGCGGCTATAGTGGTAACGCGATATGCCGACTATATCGACGCATCTTAGTAAGCTTTTCCGAGATTCTGGCTCACTGACTTGATAGACATTGAATCATGAAGAATATCAGTTCATGCTGCGCATCAACTCGGTTCAGGTCATCCGATCACCATTGCATTGAATGTATCGCATGTATGCAAGCCTACTACTAGTCAGCAGCTCATGTGGTCCGCTCGTCTCGCATTCTACACATGGTCGAAAACTCGAAGCGACGAATAACACTATCAAAATTGAGGCTTGCATACGCTTGCCCGTGCATATACGGTCTGACTCCGACTCTATCAGACGACAGTTTCCTGCACTTGGTCATGCAGGACGCCGCATTTGCAAGATGAGCACCTCACCGGAAGACCCCAAAGCTGACATACAGTCGGCTATCCGTTCATGCGCAACCCCACAAGAAGTACCACGTTGCTCAGCATCCGATCCACAGCAAGTTCGCATGGTCACTGCATGCCAACTGCCTAGCCGTGGGACCCTGTTTTGTGACGAGTTTAATAATGGAGTCTTTATCAGCCGCCATTTGCGCCTGCGGAGAATCATCGGCAAACCCGTTATACAAGGGAAGAAGTATGCAGCCTCATCACACCGCGACCTGATGTTCAGTCGGAGAACGGCGCCACGTGCGGAAGAAACTATATGCACGTTTGCAGCCTCACATTCTATAACGTAGTGGGTACCTTGTCCCTAATACCGAGTCGAGCGCGCTTATCCTACAAATGACAGAGTGTTACCAAATTCATGAAATCCTTACATAGAAGTTTTCACGCCCCACAGAAGCGAGGCGCCCCCATACCAGCGCCCTGACGCTTTTGTGGCCGAGGAGCTCAGCTTACAATCATCTTCACCGATAAACGACAGTGATACACTCCGATATGAATCAGCTTGCCGAACTTTCTCTTATGCAACGAACCTCTGCTTTCAGCCTCGTGCATGCTGCAACCTCCGCTCCGTACGTGTGACATGACATGCAAATAGCCATAGATAGTGCAATCGGCCCTACTCCATGGCGTACAGCATCGTAAACGCAAGGCACACCACCACGTTCCGCTGCTAAGTCACTTCTGCCATCACATGCATACTCCTTCACTCAAGAAGAGCCTCGGATAAGCATCCGAGCAAATAGACTTTCGTTAATCGCGCATTTCATCCTTCTCAGCTCCGCACCTGTCTGTCCTCACAGGGCAGTCGTACATGAACACGTACGTACAAGGAGGTCGGCCCCGCAATCCTTTCCAGGATTTTCTCAGGCGATCAGATTCGTAGCTCATGAACAGATGAGCCATTCATGTGGTCAGGAAGAGACATCACTCGCGATGTCTCGCATATGTTCTGCATACCTCGCATCCCACAACATCTCCGATGCCCAATGTTGTCCTCATGCCCAAAGTATTATGCCCGAAACGCTGTGAGCGCAACCTTCTTCTTACCCACTACATGCGTGTCTTGCGTGCAGCTACGCGCGGGCGCGAAAGAAAGCCAAGTTACCAGCAAAGACACATACATTTGGCAAAGGCGCGAAAGCAAACGCTCGGACACTACGTATTGCGTGCATGCTGTGTAACATACATACAGGGATAGAACGGAGGTAGCTGCGTGGCATGACTCGGTACATATACAAGGCAAAGCTGCACTGCTCCGTAGTAATTCCACACCGATAGTGATAGGTCAAGAAATGGGAAGGTGAGATGGAAGGAGTGGAAGGATTAGGCAGAGAGCACAGCCGCAAAAGACCAGAGTTCGCGTCACACAGCACAGCCGCAGAATTATTGGCTGTGATTGATGCATTGATACGTATATATACGGCTGTGTAACGTTACTACGGTGATCGGATCGTGCCGTGAGGTTCCGTCTTGGATTTGCTTTTTGGCTTACCAGCCTCAACCGTCATTCCATGACGAAATTGCCCATTTTCCAGATGCGCATCTATAACATGTCAGTAAAGTCCTATCTATGAGTAATCCCAGTCTATCGGCACATCTCCGTCTCCAATCTCCCCTGTTGCCTCACTTCTCTGAGCAATGACCAAAAGCCCAGTCCAGCCCATCCGCATCTCCCGCAAGACCGGGTAGTGGCTTCTGCTCTGCGGGGAACAACCAGCCCACGCTTCCGCTGCCCGTCAGAACCTCGCATCGGGCGCGCGCCTTGTTTCCCAACCAAATTGCCCTACCCGTCCGTTCGCTGCAAATAGAGCCAGCGAGCGCCCGTTCCGTTGACGCCACAGCGGTCCAGATCGACACAGGCTTTGCTCCTTTACTTTTTTCTTGCAGACTAGAGAATTTCTCCGCACGTTAGTATCGTTAACTCTACGTAGATGAAGTCACGACATCATGATTGTTTGAAACACACAAGGTGCGGAGTAAGTGCATAAGCAATATGTGGAGTGTGGGGTTAGGCGGCCGAGGTAGGAGAGAGCATGTGTTGGCAGGAGTCGAGTGATCATTCTGCGAGCTAAACACTGCAAGTGCGGAGAGTAAGGAGGTTAGAACGGAAGCTAGCCACGTCAACGTGGCAGGCAGGTTTAGCTAAAATATCATGTCAAATTACCATGTTACTGTGCCATGCGTGCGGCGTTGCGGCTCCGAGGAAATGGTTCGAGGCAGCGTAGCGCATGCTCTCGAGGCAAAGATCGTGAACGGCAGCGTCGATCGGGCTGCAAGGCAAGCCGCTTCAACCCATCGCCCCTTTCCGTCAGTATCCTCTCCTGAGATCAGGAAAAGTTTTCACCACCGTGGCTAAAGCATAGAAGCATCGAGAATGTGTATGTGTGGAAATTTGACTTCCAAATTCGCGCAATCGTAGCGCCGAAGTCGTATGGTATCATTTCTAAATAGTTGTTGAGTGGTATCTTCCTGATAATTAACCTAGGTATCCCACGCCATGCCATGCCCATAACCCACACCAAGCCAAAGAGGTGAGTATTGGCCAATGCACACCCCTCTCTCCTTGCAAGACTAGCATGCAAGCCGGGCCGGCCCACGTATAGAATTGAAGAGAAAAAAGTTGCACCAAACCATGTCCTGCATTGAAGCGAAATTGATCGTCCTCCCAACCGCTCACAGGCCACCGCCGGAAGGAGGAGACGAAATAAAGAAAATAAACGAACCGAAAACCAACAACCGACCTTCCCATGCGAAAACCCCGCACTGCAGGCTCGGCAAATGAAAACAATGCTATGCAAAGCAGTTTTGTGTTGTCGTAGCGTCGTTATGAGGTTGCTAACAAAGGAAACAAGAGAATACAGGTAGAAACTTTGTACAGGGTAATGAACGAGCAATGAAGCTCAAGAAGCAAGTCTATGGGATATCGCCAAGATGCAGTTACTAAGGTCAAGGTTTGCTCGCCGGCAAACCATCCTTGTTGCCCCCATAGTTGAGTATTGCGCCAACGACCAATGAAGAAACAAAGTATTGGTTGAAGAAAGGGTATATGCTAGAAGAGAAGTGTAATGAAACGATCGACGTCCAACAGGACAGGTGATCAGCGATAACTTTTGAGTGCCGAGGCCATGTTGCGGTTCGATGAGGATTTGATAGCCGTCGGAAGCGAGCTTGCCAACGAGGCGGTTGAGCAAGGACGCGATGTTCTGTTTGAGGATAGGGTGCGGGATTATATGCCGAATGCATCAAGTCGAACCGAAACGCCTTAGGATACCAGAGTAGAGGTCGGTAGAGGATAGAAATGTATAGTACAACTGCAGCCGACGACTCAAGCCGAGTTGACGCGTGGCGGCGTCGTCAGCTGCAAAGAGTGGCGTCATGTTGCAAGCTCACACTATCGCTCGAATGTGCTGGAGCGACTGATAGAGTCTAGGTCAGACTCGCGCGACTCGCTTCCCGCCCGTTGTAGGTCTTCCTTGCGCTTCCTACGCTCGCTAGGTGCTCGGCTGATCAAGCGTCTAACAAAGCTGCGGCTCGCTTTGTTGCTTGTGGGTTCTTGAAGTGGGCTGGTAGGCTCAATGGATGACCCGCAAGAAGCGCTTGCGGAAGGTTCGGGCGCATCGACAATGTCCTGCTTCTTGATCTTGCAGAAGAGGGTGGAGAATAGATATTGCTCGCCGTTACTGTCGTAAAGTGGAAGATGGCGGTAGCCTTGCTGGATGCTGTTGAGCTTGGCTGTGAACGTAGCAAGAGGGGCGTGGTTGGTGGTTCGTGCATCGAGCGAGTTCCAAACAGTCCAGCGCACGAAGACAAGGCTTGGGTATCTAGTGGTGACCGTCATATCGATCTCGTTGCCGAACTCAGGGTTGTAGCCATTGCCCTCTACGATGCGTGTTCGTTTGCGCAGAGGGTTGCCGATACCAGAATGGCCATTGCGAGCTGATGCGTCTTGTCCACCAATTCCTGTGGCATTCGCACCCATATCCTCTGCGCAGTACATCTCAAACTCGACGTACGGGTTGATGTTGGCTTCTTGTCCAAGGCCGCGGGGGCGGGGTAGCTGTTGAGCGGAGATGATCTGCACAGTGAATTTGACTTCTTTCTTGGGTGCCTTCCTGTAGCTAGTGGCTGGGGCCTCTGGGTCGAGACGAAGTGCAGCCGGCTTCAGCACGTAGCCTGTGCGGTCTTCACCACCAGCGAACATGGCTTCGTTCAACTGTTGACCAAGATCGTAAGTTTGCCAGTTCAGCGCAGCCATTTGGACGCCGCGACGCCAGAACTTGAGGGGATCGAAGTTGGATGAGTTGATACGGAAGGCGTGAGGGTAGACGCGCATCAAGCAACGCATGTTGTGTGCCTCGAGCAAGTGCTTCTCACGAGCTCCAGGCTTAGTGAGCTTTTCGAAAGCTCGCTCATTGATAGAGAAGACATGGTTGAACGTGTTCGCATCGATGCTGCCAAAGTCTGTGAACTTGACTCCGCGTGTGTAGACACCGAGGTTGCCGAGCTCTTTTGTGATGTTGCTGGTCTTAGTCTTCTTCGGCTTACGGCGATCATCCACTATCTCTGCTGTCTCGGCAGTGGTTGCGTTAGGGCTATCGCTGTCTTCAGCTGAGCTGACCGCTGCCGATGTGGGTAGCGTATTGTTTGAAGTTCGTGGTGTTGCCCAAAACGACTGGGATCGCTCTGGCGGGCTCATTGAAGGGGGGCTGGAAAGAAGAGGCGAGTCTGGGACGAGCTTGTCATTCAGCATCACAGGACGTGACCAAGGAGAGCTGAAACTGCGCTGTCTTCTTGAGGTGATCTCGCCCATGAGGGCCCTGGTATCGATCTCGTCACCAGCAGCTCGCTTGACCTTGATAAGAATTCGGTACTTCAGTTCCTCGGGTGTAGGCAGCGATTGCGAGTCAAAGTCTAGCGGCTGGAGCACCAGCTTGTCGCCGAACTCCTGCATCATGATCTTGACCATGGCAGATTGTTGAATCGGTGAGCAGTGCACCTCAAGCGAGAGGATGACTGGGTAAGGTGACTCTGTGAAGGCATACTTGTTGATGACCTTGATGGTGTCTTGGAAAAGGATGCTCTTGGTCAAGGTTCGGCCGTGCATAACAACAGGGATGTTATCGGCGCCATCCCAACAGTCGATCTCAAGGCATCGGCAGCCCTTCTGGAGCGCTGTAATGTAGGCCTCTGTGCTTGACTCGCCTGCGACCTGGCGGCCGAGCAGGTAGGTGTTGTGGGAACTGGAGATGAAGTACTCGTTCAATGGTCGGTTGAGTTCTTTTGGCTGACCGACTGGCTTGAGGATGGAGTTGGCGGCAGATGTCAGGTACGTCTGGAAAGCCGGGAAGTTCATTGCCAAGGGCAATGGGATATCCCCACCCTCAGTGGGAGTAGCAGCCATCCTGGGTCTTGTCGCGCGCGCAAACTTCTCGAAAGTGTTTGTCCAGTACTCAAGGTCTTCGTTCACGTCTACGCCCTGGTCCTGACGCAGAAAGGTAAAGAAGGTGAACTTGTCCATTTCAATTTTCGAGCCAGATGTGTAGGTCTTATAGATGGCCTTGATGTCTTTGCGCTCCTTGAGGCGTCGGACGAAATACAGAAATTGCTGTTGGTTGAGTTTTCCAGCGTCCAGGGTATCGGCTTTTGAGAAGTAGGCGCGAAGCGTGGCTTCTGTGCAGTTGATGTGCAAGCTTCGGCACAGCTCGACAGTGCTTGGGAAGTCGAGAGACTCGTCGCCTCCGCCGCGCTTTTTCATTGCGCGTTGCCAGACAAGCTTTGCGCTCTTGTCCGCGAAGCCAAGTAGGCCGGCCATGAGGTCAATGCGGTTGCGCGACACAGACTCAAGTGTTTGAGTCCACATGTTGAAGACACCGACGTCGGGCGCAATCAAGTGCATCGTTCGTATCCGGCCTTTGGAGCGAGTTGTGTCGGTGTACACGATGGTAAACCAGTAGGGTGCCCAGTTCTCGGATAGGCCGCACTCTTCGCGGTAGTGCTTTGCTTCCGGTCCTGAGCGGATCTCCTTCACATCATCGATGTAGAAGGCTTTGGAGGGTCGCGATGGATCCCAGAATACCTTGGCCGATTCCAGATCGAGCCGCAGGTTGATCTCCTTCTTCTCCTTCTTGGTAATCTTCCTCAAAACGGTGCCTTGCTCAAGGCGAGAGTTGCGCACTGGGGCGACAACTGCGGCATCTGGTATCGAGCTGAAGCTTGGGGTCGGGTTCGAGATGCCAAGGCCGTGGATGGGCTCAAAGGGGTCTTCTACTGCTTCTTCCTCTTCAAAGGCGTCAAAATCGGAGATGCCAGTGTCGGCGTCGGCGGCAGTCCTGCTGTCGCTGCGGCGGCGCATGATGACGGGGCCGGAGCTCTTGTCGCGTAGTGCTGAGGTGTTGCCTCGGCGGAAGCGGCCTGGAATGTTTTGGGCGCCCCGGCTAACTCTGCGAATCAAGCCCGGTCCCTTTCCCAGGGCCTCGGCCATGGCCGAAGGTGAGGATGTGGGCGGCGACTGAACTGGTGGTGGTGGAGGGGGAAGGAGCGACTCCGGCAGGGTGTAGGAGGGAATGGCGGGTAGCGACGACGAGACGGGCACCATGCCCTCGGGAGTAGATTGCAGGGAGCCATTGAGGTACGAGGCCGTCAGGGCGGGACTGGCACGGGCGGGAATGTTGATGGCGCGGGCGTAGCTGGACTGGGGTGAGGGCATGCGCGGTCGCGAGTAGGTGTCGTGTAGCAGCGACATGGTCGTGGTAGTGTCACTTGAATCAGATGGAATCGGGGCGGGCTAGTAAATCTTCATGGCGCGGGCAATGCTGAGTGAGAAGGAGCGTAACGGCGTGCGGGCGCCACTTGGGTAATAAAAGCAGACAGGATCAACAGCCTGCTGGGTCCTGGTGGAAAAGCTCAGGCTAGGAGCTGCTTTGCATCGTGAGACTGACGGAATGCGTTTGGGCTATGACGAGTTGGGACTGGGAAGCGCGCGCTGCGCGAAGATGCAGACGCAGGTCAGCTGGGATTACTGGAGAATTGACTTGCATGCACTCTGCATGGATAATTTGGGATTCTCAAGTACTCCGGAGCAGTCGTGGGGGTTGCAAGCGATTCGGCAGACCAGGGCGGGCGAAAATCGATCAGCGCGTGGATTCGGTGCTGCAGGAAATGCGGAGAAGGGTGTGGTGAGGCAGCGTATCGTCGGCCGTCGTCTATATGGTCGTCGGTGGTGTGAGTGTGGGAGGGCTTGACGTGGACGAAAATGTTTCTTTGTAATTGGTGGTTGTGCTGGATAGTGCGAGGAAGGAGTGGGCTGTAGGGCAGACAAAGTAGTATATGGGCAACGGCTGCGCTTGGCGGCCTTCTTTAATCCAGGAACAGACAAGGCGCACACCGAATTTTCAGCTAAATCTTACAAGCACACGATTATCCCTTGACTCCTAGTCATTCGGGCTTCCATCCGCCTCCGCTCAATTCGGGCTCCGAGGGCACTTCCCTGTTTGTCTCCTGTGCTAGCGCTGGACAACGAGAGCCGCGACGCTGGTTAAGGCCCCACTGAGCAACGGTGTCCTGTATGACGCAGCCCATGGATATACTACGGGGTCCGCCAATCATAGTCCAGGCACACTGAGCCGTCGCTGTCCTGGCCTGATGATTTTCAGGCATCCAGGAAGGCAGTGGAAGCACTGAGGAAGCATATGCTGGGACAGTGAACAAGAACAGGACATGCACTGCCCTGCCGTTTGTCAATCGCCGGTTGCACTACATCAGGCCTATCATGGCCATGCCGTGCCTTCCGGCGAGGGGATGCAAGGCTGGCTCGCAAGCAGAAGCAACTTCAAAGGCCCTGATGTTGTTCGGTTCGTTGTCGTCGATCAATTCGTTGACTCACCGGTCCTATTGCGCTGGTCGTGCGATGGCCCTGTTGCGAAACCTTGACGAGTACAGGCCGGCTTGGTAGCATTGGCTATACCACAGGTCGTCATGTTTGCTACATGGTATCCGCATTGCCGACTGCGCGCGGTGCTGCTAGTTTCTGACTGGTCTCGCGCGACAATACGGTGTGTCCGAGTAACACGAAGCAGCAAGCGTATACTGCATCTTGCTCGCTCACTCACTTCACTCGCTGAGTCGCAGTCGTGGCAGACGGACATCAGACGTGCCCATCCAGCGAGTCGCATCCATCGAGCAGGCGCCCCATGTGTGGCGGTGACAGCCCCCATCGCATCGCATCGTCTCACACGTGGCGCGCGGGCAAGTGAAACCCAAGTGCGAAGCCGGCACAACGGTACCACCATCATAGGCGGCTTCTGACGGTCGTGACGGCGCAAAGTCAGGGATCCGCCCTCGACTCGCTCTAGGTTTCCGCTGGCCCCTCAATTTGCTGCAGCCGACTCGGCTGCTTCACAATTACAGCACGTACCGCTTTTTCACACAGAATGGCGCGACAATGCTGTACGCCCAATGCTCGTATCCGCATCGCCCTGCCCACTGCGAGTCGCGTGATTGTTCCATGGCTGTGCTCCAAAGTTTCCATGCCTTCGAGAAGGAAGGATTCCTGCCCCTGACAGCCACTTGCCAATCATACCACCGCGCCCCCGCACATCAACCGTAGTGCCAACGTGCCGGACTTTTCCAGCTCATCCCAATGTCCATGTGACTTGCTGGCGGTGTGATGCATCTTTGTTCATCGTCGCGCTTTGTCCAATCGTTTCTTTGTTGCTGCTGTATTCTAAGCGACCTCTCTCATGCCTTGACTGTGTCTCCAGCGCCGCATTCGGCCCTTGGGCATCAGCGTCCTTTCGTAGCTCATCGGGCGCATATCCGGTAGGCTCGCCGTTGTCAGTGATTGCCGTTTGCTAAGTAGGGATGGCCGGCACTGTGTTGTCACAAACTCATAGGGCTCACCCGAAATAGCGCTGCACGTAGCCCCGCCTGCTCTGAGCCACGCTCGAAACATTTGCAATCGATGACATGCATGTACCCATCACCCCGTACGAAGGCGTCATGCCTGCACCTATTCTGTCGCTGTCTTTATGTGTGCTTCTGCATTAAGCTTCTGCATTGAGCCTTTCTGGCTGTCTGCGGCTCCAGTCGTGCTGCAATGCCGTTCACAGTTTGATCAACGTGGGCGATCAGAATCTTATTCTGCGTACGAGCTGTGCGACTCGGACTGTAGCTTGAACTGCGCATCTTGTACAATTTGCGCCAATGAGAATCTGTAAGCCCCATAAAAATGTCTGATTCGCTGATGGCAGTAGGTTGTACGCCGTTTACTTAGCCTACCACGGTACTGCAATGCCATATCGATAGGCAAGAAAAGGCGAAACTGTGTTACAAGAAGAGCCGAAACCTCGATCAAATCTCAGCCTCAGGTATCCCGCGTTCGCAGTGAGCCACCCATCTAGCATGTACCCTGTCAACGTTTGTCAGGATCGACGAGGTGGAGTGCCCCCATCACGGCTTGTTGGGATATCGCAGCCAGAAGAAGACCCTTTGAAATTTCGGCTCAATATGGGTCCGCTCGCCCTCGCTGGTTCTTGTGCAAATGCATGTAACTTCAAGATGCGGGACGTTGTTATGTTACTAGAACCTTGGATGAGGTGAGACCTGAAGATGCGTTGTTCTGTAGAGATGCATGGGTCACCCACTGCTTGTCGGAAACTTTGCGCTCTAACATCTCGTCGCCCTGTTCACCTTGAGTCAATCTCTCAACAAATCCGCCGAAGAGTAGTGGACTGGCGTTACGGGATCTTAATGGTGGCGCAAAGCTTCTTGGATCTGGGGCGTCGTAGCCCGCGTCAGAAGCAAGTTCTGATCCAGACTCGTACACTATGGGGCTGACAGAGCTGACTGCGCGGGATATTGGCAGATACTCTGAAGATGCATTTTCAGAGGACCTTGAAATCAGTGGAGATGTTTTGCATGCATGGTCCTGCATCCCTGGCAACGAGAGTTTATCATCGCTCTGGAACACAAATGCCCGCCAATTCTTCTCGTCCTCGTCCAGACTTCGCAAAGCGGTGGTCACCGGTTCCTTTCGACGAATGGCGATCACGCCAGAGGGATGCGTCAGTATTGGTTCTCTAATACGCCTCGTCAAGGAAGGCAAAGAGGCGGAAATTGAGGACGAGCTGACGCGGCTCTGATCACCCTGACCGTGAGTGGCCTGTTGTGACCAGTTCGTTGCAGCTTCATTGTCCTGTTTCGTGGTGGGGTGATCATGCAAGAAACTGCTTCTGGCTGTATCGGAGTGGCTTGAATCATCGGAAATTGCGAGATACGTCTTCCAGGGTCCTTCATCGACGATTGCGTGGCCTGCCGAAATCTCAACATTGACAGGATGCTCCATATCAATATCGACCTGATGCATATGTTCCGTCTTGGACGGGAGCGCCGAGTCTGGATTGCAAAAAGGCTGTGTCTCACCGATCTGGTAGTCGTCCGATGCAGTACGACTACGGCTACCTGCAGCAGAGTTGGAGCCGCTGAAGGCGAGACGGAAAGCGCGCTCACCGTTATGAAGATGATGCGTAAGTCGAAATTCATGTGTAAAGCTCCCGGTCTGTCGCGAGGTTATTGTCGTGGGTTGACACTGCAGTCCAAGCTGATCACCGATAATGCCCCCTTGCTCAGAAGCACCTGAAGATAGACTAGCTACGTTGCGCCGAGCAATACTATAGCACTGAGGCTGCTCACCGGTCGACGGCGCATGGGAATTAACACGAGCTTGCTCAGAAGCACTAGTTGCTGCATGAAGCTGAAGATTAACAAGTGGCTTCTCTGAGCGTTGCTGTGCAAGAGGTCCTTCCTGGTCGAAGAGCATTAGCTCAGAGGAAGCATGCGACTGCGCATGTTGGTTCAGCTGTGTAGAGTAAATGCTTGTCATTGCATCTGTACCAATCCGGATTCGCATATTGTCGACATTTTGGTGTGGACCACTTCCTCTGAGCATGCGGGAAAAGTTGTCGTTTGCAAGTTCAAGGTCTTTATCCCTGAATTCTTCATTGTCCCTCTGTCTTGGAGCTGCGCTGCGTCCTTTTTTCGTTCTCCTACGCTTGCCGATTCTGCTCTTCTCCCTGCTTGATTGGAACCGTAGGCTGACCGGTTTCGCTAGGTCAATGCCGACCCAATCTTGCTGTGTTAAAAGCCTCTTCCTGTTAGCTTCAAGCCACTGGAGGTCCATGTCCATCTCTGGGGCCCTGTGTTTCCCGTCATGCAAGTCTGTTGGGTTGTTAGTCCATCTTCACGTGGCCCCAGCAAGTGAGCAGCAAGTCACCACTAATGCCTCTATGGATGCGAACTTTTGCATTCGAGTTCGAAGGAGAACGGCGCAAAAGATTTTTTGAATGCCTTTCATATGACGTTCTTGTCAATCGTCTCTTGTCTGGCGTGGGCTCACGCTGCGTTCTCTCACTTGGACGCTTCGCTGTATGTCCTGTAGGCCACCGCACTGAGCCTGAGCCAAGCGGAACTAAGTTCCAGATATCGAATTTATCGTTATCTATTAGATGGTTCGGTCGGAGAGGAGCGACATGTGAGTCAGTAGCATTTTGTAGCTGTGTGCGCGCCTTAGCAAAGTACGCTTTCTGCTGTTGGAGCACGCCTGCGTTGGCTTTCTTGGTGCGCTGCAGCGAGCCGCCTGTCCAGTTCATGTGTATAGCATATCGGCACTGTTCTATAACTGCACGGGTTGAAGGAGAATCATGCGAGAAGAGGTAATTGGAAGGCAGTGGATGCTGATCGAAGCTGCGGCATGCGCTTGCCTGCTGAATATGGGCAGCTCCTTCCCCAGCTACGTCTCTTTCCTCTCCGTCCGACCAAGCCCTAAGGTTGGAACACAACTGCAGCACTCCACACCTCGTATTGTGCACCCGACCCTCCACAGCGCTGGCTGACCCATCTTCCTCGGTTACTACTCAACGAGCGTCCTCCACGACTCATGCTCGGATCTGTCTTGCCGGCGGAAAAACAAGAACAGATGAAAGGGTCCAAATCGTTTGATCGATCAGCGCCTCCATCACTTCCCTCCGCAAGAATAGTGGAGCGCCGGAGAGGTACCGAGACCCTGCGACGGGATCCCCGTGGGTGTGGGAAATCTTTAACAATCATGGCCATAGGGTGTGGGGACGGTCACTTGAAGGATGCATCGCGTTGCTACACCATAATCCACGAATATAGCAGGATATGCGAAGTCCATGAGCTCTGTAGGACCGATTTTAGAGCTATCCACAACTCAAACTTTGGGGTCACACCTGGGGAAATCGTGGAGACGTGGAGAAGAATGGGGTTGACAACCACAACCCCATACCAGATCCACCACCGTTCCCAACCATACTCCATTTATCCGTCTCTTCAATTCCAAGCCTAAACGCCGGTCGCAATAAGTGTGCTCCGTACATGGCGCTGTCTTCTCGGCAGCTGCATCAGATCATTGCTTCTTGCAGCGTGGAGTCCGGTCCTGAACGGGTCCTGCGGCATCTGAAAGCGCCCATGTACACAGGGTCCGCGACTTGACTGGTCATTGGGTGCATTCTTCCTAACTGACCAGGCATCGGTGTTGCATTTTCGCTCAAATGCCTCAATTTACTTCCACCCGCCATTCGCAGTCGTTCGATCGTCCTTCCCGAAGGTTTTGGAAAATGGATATTAGGTTTGTTTATGGCGCAACACCTGCCAGCCCATATCCACGCTTGCAGCCTGACCCTATAATGCGAAATGATGGCATACATGCTGCCGTAGCCCTTACTGCAGCTGCGCCGCCAGTTGCGGTGTACCTTCATGTACAGTTACGTCAAGCGCCATGGCCTGAGACTCTTGCTGTGGGTACTGGTTCTACTGGCGACCCACTCCATGTAAGCTGCGTAGATATCGCTCAATGCACGCGCCTACAATCGGAACGATGGTGCATCGGTTGTTACATTCGACATGTGAAAGGCAGCGATAAGGACCCCACCTATAGTATCGCAGACGTGTTTCGTTTCTGTCGAGGTGAGCATGTTCAGTCGACTGGCCACAATCTGTCTTACATGTGGTAACGGTAGACAAATGCTAAGAGGCTAAGACGGATTGGCATGTCTGCCGAGATAGCCTACGTTTGAGGCTCAAGTTGCCTCATCTAGCTTCCGATACTTGGCGAGAACTGTCGGCCGGCTTGTTCTCGCCGGAAACGAGGAGCTGTCGATCGGAGGTGGTGGTAAGCTTCAACAGGGACTCATCACCAAGGCCTGCCCTGAGTCCCTGAGGCTGTTCATTTGCGGGCGCCTCCAGCCGATTCGAATAGCCATCCTAAGGCGCCGAAGCGATATGCGAGCTAATCATAAATGACATCACTAGCGCAGATGGCCTCAAAACTCTGCAACACCGTTCCACAGCAACACCAGCCGCGGCCGTCTACCACATGGCGCGCATGGGACGGCAATAATCCGAGACCGCCAGAGATGCAGGAGACCCTGTACCGTGACTGTCATACCCACTCTTATTGCAACATTACCGGACTACGTGTCGAATGGGAATCGAGAAACATGCCACAATCTCTCACTCCATGGCGGAAGCGCACGCCTGGGCACTCTCTACCGCTATCGATTAGTATCGCGTTTGGTGTCGCAAATGTGTCCCTTGTTCTGGATCTGACCGAGTGACGCCATCGATCTACGCAATGCCATCCAACAGAATCCCGAGCCATACCCTTATCGCTCAAGGTCCGGCACATCGACGTAGAAGTGCATTGTACCTTGCCGCTATACTTGCAGTACGTGTTTGAGTAATGTAGGGGGGCGAAGTAAGGACTACTGTATGTCTTCGGTATAAATGTCTCGGTATTCTTCGTACAAACCAACCATCTATCATTATATCCACCTCCACATATCCACATACCCACATACCCACAGTTCTCTCCGCTTCTTTTGAGGGGTTACCTGGAGTCTCGACCTATCTACCGGGCTCGTATACTATAAAGGCTACCAGAATTCCAGTGTTTTGAGATTTCATCAAACCAGGCTCAACAAACTCCTTCATTCGCAGCAAACAACATAAGTTGCAAGACTCTCCGTTGGAAGATCAGTCTTCATATTATCCTTAACAATGTCGGCGCCTTCTCTTGCAGTCCCTCCCTCGACGGGAAACCCTCGACGTCTATCTTCCAGTGAAGCCACCCGCGAGAACATCACAATGGGTCCAACGGTCGTCGTACCCCCACAACATCTCATGGCCCCGTCAAAAGCATCGGAGATTGCCAGCGCTTTCGAGACTGCCAGACATCACCTTGACTCTGCCGCGACTCCTGGGTCGCCTGGTTATACTCCTCCCGAAACTTCAGTCACGGACAAGTATGCTTTCGCTTTTGGTAAGTCGAACTCCATTAGTTCAAAGTGAATTTACTCTAACATAGCTCAGATATTGACGGTGTCCTCATCCGAGGTGGTCGACCTATTCCAGAAGCTGTTGAAGCCATGAAAATGCTCAATGGTGAGAATGAATACGGTATCGTAGTGCCATACATCTTTGTCACCAACGGTGGTGGAAAGACTGAAGCCGAGCGCTGCGTACAGCTCAGCAAGCAAATGGAAATCGAAGTATCACCTGGTCAATTCATCTGCGGACACACTCCCATGAGGGAGATGGCAGAGAAGTACAACACTGTCCTCGTTGTCGGAGGCGAGGGCGAGAAGTGCCGTATCGTGGCTGAGGGCTACGGCTTCAAGGATGTCGTTACCCCAGGAGATATCATCAAAGACAACCAGGACACTACACCCTTCCGCAAACTCACAGAGGAAGAGTACAAGAACTCACGAGCGCGAAACTTCGCTGAAGTCGAGATCGAGGCGATCTTCGTCTTCGCCGATTCTCGCGATTGGGCGTCTGATCAGCAGATCATCTTGGATCTGTTGATGTCAAAGAAAGGTCGTCTTGGAACCCGATCCGCCAACTTCGACGAGGGTCCACCAGTCTTTTTCTCACACAACGACGTTGTTTGGAGTGCTTCGCACGACCTTACCCGCATTGGTATGGGTGCCCTCCGTGTTTCACTTGAGGCTATGTTCAAGGCAGTCACTGGCCGAGAGCTTAAGACTACCGCATTCGGCAAACCTCAAATCGGCACTTTCGAGTTTGCCACTCGTCTTCTCAAGGAGTGGCGAAGGGACACTCATGGCATCAACTCCGCTCCTTCAACCGTCTACTTTGTAGGTGACACACCCGAGTCGGACATCAGGGGCACCAACGAGTATAACGCGCACACCGACTCAGCAAACTGGTACTCCATACTGGTAGAGACAGGCGTCTACCAACGCGGTACTACTCCTCGCTTTGAGCCCAAGGCTATTGTGCAAAATGTCCTCGAAGCTGTCAAGCATGGTATGGAGCGCGAGTACAAAAAGGCTCTAAGGGAGAGCATGATGAACACTGGTGTGCTTGAGCAGTAAGAAGGATCTTCTTTTCCTTCTTTCTCTTCTATTAGTTTTCTGCATAGCATGGCGCATGGGTATTACCTCATTTGATTTCATTATATCGCTGGCAATAATGGCCATAGATCATAGACACTTAGCTAGATCACGAAATGGTAGATACAAACACAACACATGATACCAGGCAGGCATAATAGCCTTGTCACATCATTTACAATTTTCCATTGTTCTTTCTCAGATTAATGAAGACCAACACATTGAAACGTAAACTACCACTACCACTACTCTGACTAACTACTGACGTCTGCATCATCGACCAAATCGATCCGGCCATATTCAGGCCGTCTCCTCGCCTCGAAATGCCTCACGTCGACACATCATACCCGTACCAGCGCGTGCGGCAACTTCCGATTCTGATCATTCACACTTGAGATGACGAAAGTACTCACGCCGCGTTACCCGGCATTTCCCAGGCGACACTACTTTGTACGCGGCACACAACACCGCGAAGCTTGTGTTGCGAACCGCCTTAGTCGGGCCGAGAAGCTCATAAGTCGCCGGTTTAGTGCGGCCAACAGCACTTACGATTACGACGGCCAACCACACCATCCATCATGTCAGCCCACACCTAAGCTACGAGAATGGCCGAGAATACCATTGCCGATGGGATCGCGATCAACGTTGTGTGAGGTGCAATATGTGGGCTGTGAGATTAAGGATTGTGGCATTCGCGGCTATGGGAGGTTAATTGTGGGTGGGTGGGTTGAGAGGAGTATTGTAAGAGGATCGATCGTGATAGGTGTTTCCATTCTGGCGGAACGGTTTCCGCATCTGTAAGAGGAAGTTACGAAGGTCTTGTCGCACCTTTCATCACGATTTCCTACTCTGGCTCCACTATAGCGTACCTACTGACACGACGTTACGGTACATCGCACTCGTGCACCATCTTTCTCGGCACGGATAACATATCTTCCTGCGGTACCGCATAGTAGTCTGCACATGTTTCGAATCAATCACCAGGCGACGTTGCAATATGGGTCTCTATGTGGACCCTAAGGCACGCGGTTGACCAAACAGCCCACCCGTCCGCGCAATCTTATCGTTTGGACGGAATGGAAGATGTCGGAAACAATCCTGAAACCATCGACACGTCTGTTTCTAAACTCTCAAGATTTGCCCGAAGACACGACACTGACAAGTCTGCACTCGTTGCATGAGTCATGGCACAACACAGGTGGCCCCGGACCCCGCGAGTCGTATTCCAACGGCTGATTATCTGGGGTGGCCTGGCGGGCTATGCTAGGTGTTGGTGACGGGGACGGCCTTGCTCGTCCATTGGAGCATGCAAGTTTGGGAATGGCTGGTTTACATGAGACTAGGACCCTGGTGGACAGCGATGTCTGATACTGAATATCCTGTCTCTTTCGCATTCTCCTTCTAGCAGGTGAGCAGATTTCCGCTTCCCCGCTGGAAGAGGCGTTGTCTCGGCGGAACCGTAATGAAGCCAGGCCGCAGGCTGTTCGACCTGCTGCAATAGGCATACTGATCCCTGCAGTTGAGATATGCAGATGAGCGGTCGCTAATGCTTAACGCCGATGCTTCGTTTGGCTCTCGACGTACGTGTGATGGGGTACGAAGTCCGTATGGCGTGGGAGAATTCAGTACGAGATTGACGGTCGTAACGAGATGAACACATTTTGTGTACTCTCTCGGTTGAGACAAAGATCTTTGCGGATGTTCGTATGAACCATGGTAGTTATCCCGCGTGGTTGATCACTTGCTTCGTATTTCGTTGGTGGTATGGCATACACTACCTACCCACCTATGTCTTGATGACATGCATTAGCTTGAAGACTGACCTCCACACTATCAAGTCCAGAGTGTATCAGTAAATTATGCAGAGCAAGTAATATTGATATATGATGAAAAATGAATGATGATAAGAGAAGTGACACATGACCGAGTCTGATCATATATAAGAGAACCATCATATCTTTATTAGGCACGGTCCTCCTCAAATTCTTGCTCAGAGCGCTCGTTGTAGGCATTGAGGCTGTAGAACCAGTCTAGCTTGCTGCGTATAGCCTCTTCCGTGTAATCCGCGGTGTCAATGTTCTTCGGTCGGAATTCTGGCTCCATAGGATCTATGAAGACCGTAGTATTATCGTAGCCCCATTTTTCGAGGTTCGTGACGTTGAACGCAACCATCATGCTATTTTTTGTTAGTATTAAAGCAATGAGATGATAATCGTGAAAAGACTTACTCATGGTCTTCATGGATAAGGTTGTGACAATGGAACATGTAGACACCCTCCCATGGTGCGTACCTAGCCACAACACGGACGGATTCACCAGGGGCTATCCAAACGACATCCTTTTCACCCGCTGCCTCGTATGGCATCACATCGTTACGGCCGCCAGTGCGAGAAAGCACCTGGAAATCAACGAGGTGGATATGAACAGGATGCGAGGCATTTCCACCTCCGTGTCTCAATTCCCAAATCTCGTCCTTGCCTAAAACAGGTCTTGTCAAGATTCGGTTCTCGATATCCTCCCAACCAACTCCATTGATGAGCCACTCGCCATCAATTCGAGAGAAAGTGAAATTCTTAGTGACGTTGGTTTGTGGTGGTGGAGGAATGTAGCGAAGGTCAGACGGCACGGGGTCGTTGTTGGTGCTATCGGCTGCAGTGTCACTGACTACGAATCGCATGACACGATCGGTTGCAGCATAATCAAGATTGCCCGCCATCCCACGCTCGTTGAGCATTGTAATGTTCTTGCCCTTGTAGTTGGCGAAGTCGACGACCATCTCGTAGCGTTCGCCTTCAGCGATCGCGAAGCTCTTCGTGTTTACTGGATGAGAGAACAGTCCTGACAATATGTTAAAGAAACCCCAAAAGGCGGTCAAACACACATACCACCATCCGAGCCGATCATGTCGAAACTCAGTGACTCTTCAGTTTCATCGTCTTGTAAGTATAGATTGTAAGAACGACTGACGGAACCATCAAGGACGCGAAAGCGATATTTACACGGCTCAACGTTCATGTACGGCCAAGGCTGACCGTTCACATGGATCACATCGCCCCAAAGTCCAGTGTTATTATGTGTATCGAAGAGAAGGGAGCCATCGGCGGCGTATTGTTTCGCACTCAAGGCCAATGGGATATCGTAATCGCCAGTTGGTAAGTCGAGGGCTTGTTCGTCTTCATCCGTTAAAAGATAGAAGCCGTATAGACCCATGTAGACATTCTCGCCAGTTTGACGCTCAGTGTGGTCGTGATACCAGATGGATCGCGCATTCTGTGCATTTGGATAATAATAATCCTTGTACTGGCCAGGATGAGCGTAATCGGCAGCCCAGCCATCGAAAGGGGCGCGGTTATACTGTCCATGGACGTGGACAGATGAGTTTGTGGGACTGTTGTTGGTGAAGCGAACCACAGCCTCTGAAGAACGTTGTCAGCATCGACCGTATCAACCAAACCAGCTTGAAGCTTACCTCGCCCTTTTCGCATCATGAAAGTTGGTCCTGGTGACAACCCATCATATGTGTATAAAGAGGTAGCTGGTAGATTAGGGTATATTTGTTTCGTGGCCGACTTGACTTCAACCTCGTAGTAATCGATAATGGCACCGGTAGTCTCATTGGTATATGTACTACCCCATGTTAATGCTAAGCTATATTCAAGGTACTGCCTCACTTACAATGTCGACTTCTTCACTGGGGGTACAGGTAGAGGATACTGGAAGATCCATGTGTATTCTGGACTGTCCCATCTTTCCGATTTGTTGTTCGGTGGTATCGTGTCGTATGGTGGCACGCTCGTCTCGCTAGGGAGTGCAATGAGAGATGACAAAGTCACGCTGGCTAAAGGAGTGGCATGTATGCTGTGTGTCAAACAGCTAACGAAAAGAAATGAACGAGTGACAAAGGGAGAAAACATATTGAGATGAAAAACCTACCAACTTGACGACACGTCCTCCGCGGCATCTCGAAAGCTTTAAGGGGAGAACGATAGCACATCTCATGCAACCACACTAGTCGTTTTCATTGACGTAGTATATCAGGACCAGTCCGTTCGATGAGACATGGCCAGCTGATAGATCCTGCGTCTCTGGCAGAACGAAGGACAGACGCAAGGACGTTTGTGGCTTACTCCCAGGTGCGTTTATCCGTATGTAGTGACTCCGAAATAGAAACATGATTCACCATCTCGGGAAAGGAAGTTCACGGAGAGTTCGCCCCATCGAAGATGCATGCTTTGGGTGATAAAAGCCAAGAAAAAGGAAGGCAAGGGGGATCTTCAACCAGTACGCCACAAGAATGTGGTGAGCGCCTGAGTATCTTCGGCATCAACAAATGTAGATGCGAGAAGATCAGCATGTGGCTTTCTCGGTCACTCAATAGATAAGACGGCTGTACAATTAGCGCGGTGGAAAAGTTGATGTTGTGAACGGCAAGCTGTGATGATCCGTGAACCCTTCTCGCGTGCAGACGGCGTCTAGTCCCAAAGCGACCGCACTAATGCTTTCTTTGGTTCCGCTTCCTCCTTACTTCACATGCTTTCCTTAGGGTAACCGGATTACTTCCAGCGCGCGAGACGTTGGCACTGCCTGTGCATGTGTGCTCTTATCTTTGGTTAACTCTTACAAGGCTTATGATTATAATGTCAGTCGCTCTCTCGTGCTATCCCATGCCCTCAACAACCTGGTTTTATATGCTGTGGCGCAGGCTAAGCAGCGCTATGCGTTCTCCGTTGCTCTTACTTCCACAAAAAGCAGATTCGCATCTATTCTCGAACATGGCCTGGGCGCTAACATGATGACGAGGCTGGAGGAGATCTCCTGATTCATTTGCATCTCTTGGTATGTCATGGCTGCCACATTCACGCCGTGCTTGTTGCTACACGGCTTCGGATACTGCGTTTTGTGGGGTCGCACAGCATACTCTCTGTACGCGGATCCGGGAGTTGCCACCGCGGACTGATGCAGGTGATCTATGAAGCGGCAATCGAGCATGGGAATCAAAAACGCATGATCGTCAGAGATGGACGTTGCCACGGTAGTGAACGCACACCATTATCTCCGGAGTTGGTGTATTGGTCTAAGCGATAACACGGCTATTGCCTGTGTTGAGACCTCTAAAGAGCTTATTCAACAGCGCGGACAAGCTCAACAACACGCACCCTTGTAAAGCCACTGACCAGTACATCGATTCGGAGAAATGCGTAATAAAGGTCAACAATCGGCGATCCGGATGACATTCTGACCCATAGACTGATCACTTCGTCGCTTCATTACTACATTCAGGCCAATCATGAGGGCGATACGTATTATTCTGGAATGGGAAGTACTTGGGCAGAATAATTTCCATGCATCAGACGTAATATTAAGCATAGAGAATTCACTGCTGAAGTCTGCTGAATCTTAAGCCGGATGTTAATTATAGTCCAGAGTGTACGCAAGAAGTTTCCCTCACAAGTAATCACCATGACTCTCATCAGCATGCCTATCAATATCCATGACCTCCATGATAGTAATCGCCATAGCCTTGGTCGTGTTCTCCATCATAGCCTCTACCATAGTATTCGTTATACTCTCCATCGTGACCATTGAATGCGCCACATCTTTCATGAAAGTCGGCGTCGTATCTGTCATACTAATCTCAGTCATCGAAGTGATCTTCATGGCCGCCGAAAAACAGGCCATACCCAGACCCTGTTTCCCATGCTTGACCTCGTATCTCTGCCAGGCCATGACCGTCTTCAAATCTTTGGGAAAATCCCATTTCGTACCCTTCCTTCAAACCAAAAGCACTACGGAAGGTGGACTGACGACCGCATGTACGGGCTTCGTCGCATTCCGGCATAGGGGCGAGGGGGAACTTGCCAGCTGGAGCAGGTTGTTCTGGAAGCCAGTACTGCGCTATAAAGTTACCATCTTTCTCGTCTTCCCAGTGGTGTGCCCATGGACCTTTATGGAAGGGTCGCGATGGCCGACTTGGTAAGTGTCGCTCATGATATCCTGCGGATTCGGTTTAGTTTCCATTGCTACTATTAGTGGCTTTTGGACAGTGGTATGTAACGATAGTCGATGATCAGAGAAAATGTTCAGACTCCCGCAGTAGAACTGCGATTTGATGGAAAGAGAAACAGTTAGAGAGTATGCATGCTATCAGCGTTTATATGATGATGCCACAAATTAGTGACTTTAGGATGTGCGGCAATGCTACTGAGAACATCGTACTATGCGTTGTGTCAACTTTGACTTATGTCCAATTTGGTGCCTTGATTTGATCGATAATTCATATGCTCATGGACCCCTGTTGCCAAATGTTGGCCCTCATCACAGTTCCCCTTCAATGTATGCTCAGTCAAAGTCATCGTCTACAAGAAACAATAGCTGACTACTTGTAAGTAATGGCGGATGTTGGTGAACACTAGGTGACCTGGAGGTTAGTAGCTTCATCTTATCAAATCGAGACATGAGTACCAAGACACTGAGTTGCAAACTTGATCAATGGAAGGCAAAGAGTGCATTTCGCAACCCCAATCTGTGGCTAGACTATTCAAAACAAGATCTCAGTAATGTGCATACCTGTCATACCCACCATAACCTGCATAGCCTCCAAAAAGTCCACGGTTTTCAAGTTCATCAAATCCCCATCAAAGTCGTGTAGATAATTCTTATCGTAGTTTGCGGAAGGGTCACCTAGGTTTTCCTGCTTGCGTTTCCGGTTGCAGCGGCTTCTGCGACCCATATTTTGGTTGTGTCTGTGAACAACAAAGGATAGCTAAGGTATCTGTTTATTGATGCTATAGAAATTCAACCAGCTAGTAAAAGCTCCCGAGTTTACGTAACTTGTATAAGCAGTATCATGATGAAACTGCGTCCGCTGACAACGGAGCTGAGATCTTGAACAAGTGACGGACACGGCGACCTTCGAGTACCCATTGATCATTTGTCCTCTCTTTTTGACAGCACAGCGGTATACCTGGCGTAAGTATCGAAGAGGTGTGTTAGTCATATTTGTGGTTAGGTGAGGCATATTGCGCACTCACTCAAGGTGCTTTGTTGCCATCTGTTCGCCGTGCCTCGCGCTCGAATTGACACTTATCTTGTTTTGGGTCGTTACTATCCATGTCAGCCTCATTCAGACGAATGCTGACTGAAGTGCTTTGCCACAGCCATCACACACACGCGGCTGCCGCGTCTCCTCTCGATGCCTCATAATCGTTCACAGTACGCATATCTGCAGCATGCCCTTCATGATTTTCCATGTGGAGACACAACCGACATCGAGCAACCCTGCCTGAGCAACAAGCAAGCTTGCCGCGATTACGACGCGCGTCGCCTTAGGTCTTGGTCTTGAGGCTGTAAAGGATCCAACGCAATCGTTGCAAAGAGAACGCAAGCCTTGCCGTCGGCCTCATAACCAAATGGAAACTATTCCCGACCGGAAAAAAACGAGAAGCTTGATTTCACGCGTAGTTGCCGCAAATATCCATGTCTCGTTCGTGCAGCGCGGGTCCATACGGTCCGAATATAAAGGCCCGAGGCGGCTGATCAGTCCTGGCGATCTCGATCGTGGAGTCACGATACATGTGACCTCACGTAATACTGCGATCGAAATTCGTGGGTTCATCATACCGAACAGCGGCTGGGCTTTCTTATGACGATGGTAAGCATAGTAGTACCTGATATAGGGCAGTCTACCTTGAATTCATCCTGGTGAACAAGGTGCCATGTCAGCTCAACCCAACGTCTGGCTTAGCATTTTGCTTGAATTCCTCGATCATGCAGTCTTGCACATCCCTGAGGGACTGGTGATTGGCTTCAATACCTGCCCTTTATGGGCAGTGTCCGTGGTTGCATGCATGTATTTCCCAAAGCACTTAGACGAAAAAAAGTTGCCGTAAATGTTAATTTGACTACACCAGGAGTGAGCATTAAGGAGCAGGCTTTGTGTATCTTGTTTTTGACATGTACCATATACCCGGGAGTAGATTGAGACTCCACGGTCACGCTCAGAGAGACCTGAGTTTCGTTGTCGGACTGGACTGACCTTCGTCGTCAGCAATGACAACGCCCAGCCGCTCTACTACCAGCATTGTAGATTGCACATCGCCTAACTTGACCAAGCCACGGAGGACTGAGTGTGGTGAATCGATGGGAGTATTCAGCGATAAGTCGGTGAGAGGATTGACCACACCCTCCACAAAAGTCCAGCGCGGCGTTGCGGGGTTAAACATGTGCGGCTCTGATGTGGGGATACGAAGGCACCTCGTCGTCATGTACATTCACTGCCGTCCTGGTATGATGCATGCCTCGGCATGTATAAGGCAGCCGTGGCTTGACATGCAAAAAGTGTTATAGACGGTACACTAGCGTAGCGTGCTTCTGGACTGTTGCGCCTGAACGAGTCTAGATATTTACATGGTGTTTTCGTGTTGCTAGGTATCCGTCCCCAAAAGAGCGGCGGAACGCAGAGGATATCTAACCAGAAGGAGTTAGCTCGTGGTACAAATCCCGGCGATGGCAGCCCAACCGCCACTGACGTAGTTTCTCTTCATCGTCATTTTGATTTCTCGATCTCCAGCCCTTTTCACATGCGAACCTAATTGGCGTTCCTGAAACACATCTCCACCGTTCCTGGACGTTCCTGGATTACGTTTCGCTTACAAATTGTGCAGAATGTAGAGTGAGGAGGACCTGATCTTTCACCATGATCGAAATTGACTTTTGTGAGACGAGAAATCAACGGCGACCTGATCCCTGGGCCGTGATGAGCCATGACGAAGGGGGTCGTCATGCCGCCGATGCATCTACGCTAGCTGTGGTTTGAACCAAAGTTCTCAAAGTTATGGCGTGAGAAGTGGCTTGTAAGGTAAGCGGTGAAAGAACGGCAAGCCAACGGCCACGTGCATCGAGGTTTGTATGCTAGCAGCTGACAGCCGTTCAGCGAGTCGAATTGGACAGCTTACGCTAATGGCTTTCGCGGCATGTCGAGCGCTTCATGAAGTGGAGGCGAGTGTTGATACGACATACCGTATACCGTAATGTGCGACTTCACAAAATACCACCGGTTACTCATCATTACCTTGACTATACATACTAAAGCACCAATCGTGCTTAGAGGCTTGAGGTGGGCCGTCTTGCTCATTGCATTGTAACCGAACCTAGAGGATTGGGTAATAGAACGGCTCGCAACAGACGGAGAACAGTGCTATGCAAGCGTTGACTAAAGGCGCACGAAGGACCAAATGGAATCTTCGAACATTCGATTTGATATGATTTTCCTGATCTCCATGAACGGCAGACATGTGATCTACAACGTTATCGAAGGTCCACGAGTGAGAGATCAGGTCTGCACCACCCTCTCAGTCTCCAAATTCCCTTGGTTCTCACGGCAGACACATACTGTACAGCACACCCTGCATCATGTCCGTCAGCATGCGCTATCAGGATGCTACAACCGTCGCACACCACTCATCCATTCTTCACAACATTATCGATGACCGGAATCTCGCAAACAGCCGATGCCGAATCCCTGCATAATTCTTGACCCACACACATGGCATTTATTCGGCATCTCAGATCCGTGAAGGAAGGGGGCACGGGGCACAAACCTACCACACCACACCAACCAACGGCGCTCGCATCAAAAGACGCAGGGAAGCCGAACCAAAAACGAAATAACACGGCGATAAGGAAGACCCTGTTTTTTGGTGGAAATCCTCTGAGATCTTGAGCGGGCTGTGCAAAAATAGCATGCGCTGTCAAGCTAAACTCGGATCAGTTTTGTTGTTATCAACATTTGCGAATTTGTGATTCAAAGGATACGAGTTGTCGCTGTATTGGTGGAGTTCGGCACAACTACCTAGCGCCCTAAATCACAACAACCCAAAACCATGCACAACGTGTATGCACATTCCCGCGAAACCAGAAACATGCGCAACACTCGACAATCGACGGTTCCCTTCTCTATCCAGCATCTCCCCCAAACACCACTTTCAGCCAAGATCACCACCCGGTACACTTCACCTCATCTAGCAACATGTTATGAAGATCCTTCAACCGGCTGCGGGGCTATCAAGCACACAACGAGTAATTAGCTTGGCAAATCTCCGTTCTAACATAGCCGTCAACAATTCAGATATGTCGATCTTTCCATCCTCCAGGGATACCTCTTTGTTCGACAGTTTTACGCGAACGCCAACGCCGAATGATCACCATCAGAAAATCTCAGGTGATGGCAGTGGTGTGTTGGCGATGATCAAAAATGCTGCCAACGGCCCGTCTAAACCTGCTTTTTTTCTCCTTTTGATGATTTGATCGCGATCAGCCAGTCCATTCAGGCATGGTAAGTGCCGCTGTAGGCGAAGCGAGAGTGCAACTGCAGCCATAGCGTAGCGTACATGCCTTACAGTAGTCCATCGAAGTATGCAAAGTGGGTTGGAAAATGAAGAAGATTCAGGGTCCGCTCGCACGGCGCACTATATGCGTTGGTCAACGTTAGTAACGTGGAGTGATGTGGGGAATGATTTGTTTGTGCTGGATGCATTAGGAAAGCACGGAGAGGCAGGAAAGTCACGTTAGCGGTCGTTGCGACTCGTACAACACACATCACACCCGCTCTTTTCGGCCACTAGTACATGGCTGAGTGTTTCAGAAAAGCGAATGCGGCCGCGCTGGATACGGGGTGGTTTTCAATGGGGCGAAGAATGGGGAAGGTCCTGTTCGGGTAGGTCGGCATCTCGCGTGGTACCATTTGGATACAGCGGAGAAAGGTACGAGGTATGTGGTGGCAGTGTTGAGAGGAGAGAGTGAATTGTAGATGCTGTGGTATATTTATGACGACGTAGGCGTAAGCATTCTAGAGGAATTCCAGAGACTTGTTGGGCCAAAAGGCTACTGGCACGATTTGATGTAAGATGATGTGATATGACTAAGTTGAATTGCTAGCTACATGAGAAAAAGACCCGTCATCTGTCCAGCTCAACACCACTGGTGGAGCGCTTACAGTGAAGCTATGGACAGGCGAGATGCTATACGTATATGCTATCGGGGAAAACGTATTTGGGTATTTGATAAAAGCGACTGGTGCCACGCTCCAGCACTTGGAGGTGATTGAAGAAGAAGAATGTGCGAGTTCGTGTTTGCCAGAGCGACCGTTCCATCCGTCTACGTCTATGTTGTGTTCGATTCGAGTGCTAGTTTTCGTGTTTCTGATGGTAATGAATAACGCCGTTCATGCTCCATGCCGTGGGGTAATATGACTCCGGGAATGTATAACAAAAGGAAAAAGGAAGAAGTGACTACTTTTCTCGGTGTCGTGTCCGAGCAGCAGTTACGGAGTGGCTGTGTATTTGTTGCTGACCGGTGAGTCAACTGCCACCAACAGACGTAGCCCGGCCAGGGGAGTACTCTCCTCTTCGACGAGCTTCCTCACGGATGTACTTCTCAACGTGCTGATCGGCCTCGGCTCGGCTTACACCAGCGGTAAGGTAGCCGCCGGCATCTTCTTCAAGTTCCAATGGAGTGACTACTCCAGGGCTGGCTAGAGGCTCTAGACGAGGGCTGGTCGGCTTTGGTCCAAAGCCCCTAGTTTGACGGCTGGTGTTGGCGAGAAGTTGTTGCTGGTAGAGGTACATCTGTCTCTGAACCTCGTACTGTCTGTTGCTTGATCGAGGTGACGCGGGCGAGTTAGGGCTGTCAGGGCCAGCAACGGGTGTGTTTGCTTGACTTGAGCCTTGCGAGGAGGCATAGTTTGCTGGGTGGAAGCGGGGCAGAGAAGGGAGCCTCAGATGTGCAGCAGGCCCGGTGCTGCTGGATTGTCGTGGGTTCATTGCTGGTCGACGTCTAGCCTGAGAGGGAATGTCGAGAGGCTGTGATCTGGGCGAGAGAGGCGAGCTGATAGCAGGCATGCTGCGGTCTGCTGTTCGAGAAGACATGTTTTGGTGGGAGGTATCAGATCTAAAGATGACTCGCGAAAGGGAAGGCGAGGTCGGCGGAGATCGCATATGACGTGTGGCGAGGAAACCTCGTGTGTACTTGGGAAGTGAAAGGGTGCGGCTCCAGGGAGGCTGCTATATGAATTCCCCTCAGATGATGTGAGGAGAGAAATGATCGAAAGATAAAGTACCGTGCTTCCGAGCAACAACGCACAGAGCAGCGGCGGTGTCTAATATATCTAACAGCGGGAGGGTCCAGCAAGGCTTGGGACTTGGTGGCAGGCCTCGGGGATGGTAGCCGATCTTATTGGAAAGGTACAGCGTTGATCTTCCGCTTGGAGGCGCACCGTCGTGCGGTAATCGTTCCTGAGAGGGTAACGACGTGATGCACGGCTCAAGTGGATCCCGTTTCAATTTGGTGGAAGCACGAGCGCTTGTTACTGGCAGCACACCAAGCCGGTGTCTATCAGTTGCAACAGGTGGCTGCGGGCCGGTTATGGCGGAGTACAGATGGCGCGTGTGTTTTCCCGAAACTTGGGGTCCACAATCAAAGTAAGCTGGAGTGCGTCGGCTAGTTTGAGGATGGCGCAGATGATTGAGAATTGTTGCTGGGCTGGGAGAGCTAATCTAACAGGTGAGTTGGAATGTGTGTGGTACCAAGTCCTCCTTTACATATCAACGGAGGACGAGGCCGTAGCTACGAGGCGCGCCATATTTGCAGGCGCTATTATCTCGTCATTAAACTTCGCAGGCCTTGGTTTCGCTCTTTGAGCGGGGCGCTCTTTTCCTGCCTCGCTAACCATGCGAATCGTCCAACACGCCTACTTGTGCAGCATGTCCATTATGACGCAGTGCAGCAACCGGCTCCTTTCTAAGACCGAACACGTGCCAGCCTTGGAATTCCCGGCGCTAAACGCGTGGTGTGAACACAGCACTGCAGACTTCGATCAATTGCCCTGCAGCTCGACCATCGTGTGGTAGGGCACCGTTGCATCTGCACCGGAGCCCTGCCGTAGGTTGCAGAAACGTCCTTTTTATTTTTCGCATTAGGCTTCGCGCGCGTGCTCCATCAAAGTACGGTCTGATGAGACAAATGGTAGCGCGTACAAGACATGACACCACCACACTGGCAGCAACGCCAAGTTGCTTCGACCTTGTGAACGCCCAACAACTGCGGCATTCTTCGCAAACAGCTGTACGGATATTGGCCTGAATCAGATCGCGAGAACGGGTCGTCATCTATAATGCGTCTTTTTCGCTGTCTATCCCGAAGTTGACCCTAACTTCGCCGAAAAATATATAGGCCATAGTGTTTTGAGCGCGAGCCGCTCGCACGGTACAAACAAAGCTGCACAATCCCATAACACCCAACATGATGGAACTACCGTCTAGACGGACAGCCGCTGGAGCCGCTCCTTCGCGCAATTCTTCCATCCTCTGCTGAGCACTTGCACTGACCGATGACGCCCATGCAGAAACCTTGATGTATGTGGCATTTGCTAGAGGGATCCGGCTATCTTCGCCGCACTACAATGCCGTCACTTAGTTCTGTCTCGGGCACAAGGAGAAGAGGCTTAGCGCGGCGACTAAATGGACCATCTAATCAGTTCAGTCATGCATCTAGTTGCAATGGAGAGAGTAGTACTTCCAGCCGTGGTAAAAGTTGCACCACGTGGTAGATCTCCCGTACGCGGCCGAAGGCTATATAATACTCTAGCCGCCAGAGTAGCCCGGGCAAATCAAGTCAGCACAAACATTACTAGGGGGAGCAAGAGCAACCAAAATTGAGGTTTGATGCGAAACACCGAGGCAAATTAACGGCAAACAAAGACTGCGTTGAGAAGGTGACAAGTGGTGAAGGCACCAACGAAAATGTCTTGGTCACTCATGCTACCTGCAGAAGGCCAGCCTTGCCATGAAATTGATTGATTTGTTGGTTGATGTCTGTCTCTGCAAGCCTTGCTCAGTATCATCTCGCGCCCAGCTTCTCCAACGCCCTCGCGCCTTGTTCCTCCCACTCGGCCTTTGATATCCACATGTTCTCTTTGTCGGCCATGATGTTCGCGAGCACAGCTCCACCGAGGAAAACCATGTGCCTTCGCCGTGGCGGATCTTCGATGCGGACCTTGAATTTCTGCCTCCATGTTAGCATTGCTTAGCTGGACACGTAGATATGTACCTACGTTGAGTCGCTCCGGGTTTCCGCCCAGAACCTTGGTGAGCCATAGCTGCTTGAGCTCCTTCTCAAGCCGACTGGGAAGACCTGGGTACATGCTGCTACCACCGCTGAGCACAATAGCCTTGTAGAGACTGCTCCTGACATCAACATCGGCAGCTTGGATCGTGTTGAATAGGAACTCGGCGATACCGGGCTGCTCGACGTCCACAAGATGCGGCTGGAACAGACATTCGGGAGCCTCAAAGCGCTCACTGCCCACCCGGATGACCCGACCATCTGGTAGGGTGTAGGACTCTACCAAGACGGTCGTGTCTTCGCTAAGGCGCTGGTCCAGCTCAAGGTCGTATGAGACATAGCAAAGCTTCTCCTTGATCTGACGGACGGTCTCGAAGTCGGCAGTTCGGTTGAGGGCGTAACCTCTCCGCAGCAGAAGAGCGATGAGGTTGCGGGTCACGTCGCGTCCGGCAACATCGAGACGACGTGTGAGATGATTGAGGACGGTGCTCTCGTATACGGGGACAATATGCGTGACACCATCTCCTGAGTCGACTACCACGCCGGACGACAATCCTTGGGCGTATAGAGCTAGAACGGCCTGGATTGCCACGTATACACCCCCAAAGCCGTAGCGCTCAAACATGACTTCACACATGGTTTCGCGGTTCTTGAGCGGGTTCATGGGCGGTTCGGTGAGGAGGATCTTGCGGCCGGTAGGGTCAAGGTTCATCTTGTCGTAGAAGGTGTAGTCCCAGACGTGTTGCATGTCATCCCAGCGCTTGACGATGCCATTTTCCATCTATTGGGCGAGACACTGTTAGCTCGCTCATGGCATGCAGAGGTCCGGGTAGTGCACATACAGGGTACGTGATCTGAAGCATTGAGCGCGCTGCCGCTGCCTCGTCACCGCACATTATGTCCTTGAGCTGGATGTCACCGCCATCTCGCTCTTCGGTTCGTAGGATAGGTCGGCCGACTATTGAGGGAAACTGGTGGTCGGGGAAGTTCTAAAGAGTAACATGTTAGCTTTTGCCATGTCACGTCTGGCGCTTTGTATGCCACATACCTGCCCGGCGTAACCCGCCTTGAGGAAACCCGTACCGCCATCGAGGACTAATTGAAGGGTAAGTAGAGCTCCGAACACAGAAGAGGAAGCTGCGCATACCAATGGGAGCTTCAGCCATCCTGTACAAAGCTCGAGAGGGTTGTTGAGGCTGAAGGAGTGGATGTTAGAAGCTGGCCGTAGCTCGGTGTTGCGTGCCTTGAGGTTGACGACGTTGGCGGGGCGCATGGTTGGCTAGGGGTCCGTGAGCACTCAATCGGGCAATGCAGATGCTCCCCTACAACTTGAGATGCGAACTTCACTTCAAGAATGTTAGAGTATGCAAAAGTATTACAATAGATGCACATGGAAACAAGACGAGTACAGTGCAGCATATATGATATGTCACGTCCCCTAAGGCCGCCGGTCCGGTGCACAAGAGACGTGTCTCTACTACCTGCTTCCTGTGCGCGGAATAACCAAGTCACTACACCTACAAGCCCTCTATTACACCAGAGCCTGTAAACATCATCTATGCTTGTTCCAGTTTTGTCGTTGACGACCGAGATGGTGGTCACCCATCTCATGCCACTTGCATGGTCACCCACCTGGGAAGTCGCGACTTGCGCATCGCTTAATACATGGTCCGAGCGTCCACTGCCCACTTCAATATCGTCTTGCGCCATCACGAACTTTCTCCTCAGCCAGTTCAACTAACAGCAGGTCAAGATGCCTTTCGTAAGTACGCCCTGAATTGCGCCCGCAATGTATCCCTCCATCCTATTGCCATCACGGCATCCCGCTTCGACGAAAGTCGAGTGGAGTCTTTGCGAGATGCTTCGAATGCGGGTTTGAAGCGCCAATCGCTGACTCTGTCAAAAGTCCAAGCTCCAGAAGAACGACGCCTACTTCTCGCGGTACCAAGTCAAGTACAAGCGCCGCAGGCAGGGAAAGAGTACGTATCCAACGAAGTGTTCAAATTGCGACGGCATCTAACAATCCGCAGCCGACTACTATGCCCGCAAGAGGTTGATCACCCAGGCCAAGAACAAGTACAATGCGCCCAAGTACCGTCTCGTCGTCCGTTTCACCAACAAGGACATCATCTGCCAAATCGTCCACTCTGAGATTGGCGGTGACAAGGTCTTCTGCGCTGCCTAGTATGTTCCACGCGACTCTGGCTCCGTCTAGCCCACAACTAACAAATCACAGCGCCCACGAGCTGAAGGCTTACGGCATCACCCACGGTCTTACCAACTGGTCCTCCGCATACGCTACCGGTCTGCTCCTTGCCCGCCGTGTCCTCAAGAAGCTCGAGCTTGACGAGGCCTTCACTGGTGTTGAGGAGGCTGACGGTGAGTTCACCCTCACCGAGGCCGCCGAGGTTGATGGCGAGGAGCGCCGCCCATTCAAGGTCTTCTTGGATGTCGGTCTCACCCGTACCTCCACTGGTGCTCGTGTCTTTGGTGCCATGAAGGGTTGCTCCGACGGTGGTGTCTTCGTTCCTCACTCCGAGAACCGTTTCCCCGGTTACGACATTGAAGGCAAGGAGCTCGACGCCGAGACCCTCCGCAAGTACATCTTCGGTGGTCACGTCGCTGAGTACATGGAGACCCTCGCCGACGATGACGAGGAGCGCTACAAGTCTCAGTTCAGCGGCTACATCGATGACGATATCGAGGCCGACGGTCTTGAGGAGCTCTACCAGGACGCACACAAGCAGATCCGTGAGGACCCCTGGAAGAAGGAGGATGGCGATGCCCCCAAGAAGTCCAAGGACGAGTGGAAGGCCGAGTCCAAGAAGTACAGGAGCAACAAGCTCACCAAGGCCGAGAAGGAGGAGCGCGTCAAGGCCAAGATCGCCGAGATCACCGCTTAAGCTGTTGCTTCCTCTTCGTGATAGTTTGTTTTACCATAACAAAAGCAAGGCTCTGGCGTCTGGGGATGACATGGGAAGGATGCCTGCCATAGCAGGATACAAGTACTGTACTTAGCCTCACGACCTCAATGAGATGATGAGACGGCACGCCGACATTGGCTACCACAACAAGATACCCCCTCAAAACAAATGTGCCCCTCCTGTTCAACGTGTGTGAAGCTTCCCCAAATAGCAACACGTGATACGCCCATGTGGACCGGCGACGGCCGACACCACATGGCGTGCTGTCGCGGGTTTGACCATGGTTGAGAGACCAACACGGCTTGCTTTTCATGTGCTGCCATGACGGTCAGCTGTTTCAGCGGCAACGGTAGCACCTGCGAGGGACATATAGCAGTCAGCGCTTTATTGGACGCGGTGCATCAGGCTGAGGGAGAGTGAGAGTGAGGCATGTGGATATGTGCCGATTCAGGGTGTGCGATTCAGGGTGTTTCAAAGAGATGTAGCCCACAAGTATATAGGCAATCCTCGCAGTCGATCATGATGTCCCGCAGGATCTTTGACGCGATAGAGCTCGGTGTGGAGAGGAGAAGGAGACCCGAAGCAATCAGCCGACACCTTTCGTCATCGCCCGGCTCTCGCAGCTTGCACACAGCAGCGCACGTTCGCCCATAACATCGCATCGGCCGAATATCGCACAGAGCAACTCTCAGAAATCGCGCAGCAATTTGACGTGAGCGCAACGAGTCGTTCAGGTCGCATCTAGAACGTGGGCAACGGCCATATCTTGAGGCTTTGCAGCATTTCCAATCGGCGGATTCGTGTGGACGCCCAGAGACCCCGCTGACTTCCGTGATCGCCTCACGGAGGCCATTTGCTGCAACAACCCTGACGCATGGCGAGGCCCCTATGTACGCAATGACAGCCATTCAGACACCCGTCGACACTGCGTCAGCCATGGAGGACATTCACGGAGTCGATGTATCGTGGCTGCACCACTCAACTAGAGGTAAGTGAGGCCCGCTTACCCTGGGTGGAGACGTCTCGGCTTCGCGGCGCAACCCTGAGCTCGAGAGGCCGTACTAACATGTTGCGCCTGAGCAGACCATCACCATCGCCAGCAGGCGCCCTCGTCGCCAGGCCTCACCAGAGATGCGCCTCCAAAGACATCGTCGCATGGTGGCATACCCGCCAGGCCCCGCCACGACGAGCAGCAAATTCCTGAGCCGACACCGGCGACTGCGAGACCCGCATCACCGCCGCGCCCGCCCCCAGCTGCTGCATCCAGCGCGACTCCGCCCCAGAAGATACCACCAAAACGTCCAGCGCTGCTCAGCCGAGGCAGTGCCGACAAGAACGCCAGTGGGACCACGCCACCCGACTCAAAGAACAACTCGCGCCGCAACTCGTGGATGAATAGCATCAGCTCAAAGTTCTCGTCGCAAAACTCGCCCGCGCAAACCACACACACTCAGGCCCAGGGATCGCCTGCCGCTGCCAATAGCGCCACTCATGCTTCTCCCTCGGCCAACGGTGCTCTGAACGGCATCCAGGCGGCATCGGGAGGCAGCAATGGCGCCCCTGAGCCCTACATCCCACAACAGCCCAAGAGCTCCTTCGTTGGGAACGTGCTGCGACGCCTGTCATCAGGTACACAGGTTGGCACCGCCGGCAAGGTCTACCCAAATGGAGGAATGTGCCCGCGAAAGGTCATGAATGTCGACCCCAACCGCGAGCGATGTCTCGTTCCTGAGCTGGATCAGAACAAACTGCGCAAGGTTGCATTCTGTGTCGATGTTGAGATTGCTGGAGGGCCAAAGTACAAAGATGACGTCGAAACAGACGACAAGAAGGTGAAGCGCAAGGACAAGAAGTTGAAGGAGCGTGGCGAGGGCGAGGCACTGAGGAACCCAGATGCTGTGGCCGAAGAGAAAGACAAGGATGGTGTCGTCGCCATTGCCCAAGAAGTCGTCGGCAACGATTCTGAGCCAAATCCCGAGGGCACTGTCTTGGACGAGGACAAGCAGGAACCAAGTAGGAAGAAAGAGAAGAAGAAGCGATCTGAGGCCGAGCGCAAAGAGCGGAAAGAGAAGAAACGCAAAAAGGCTGAAGAGAATGGCACAATCCCCATGGAACTCACCAGAGATGACGACAGCGCCAGTGCTGAAGGAATACCTGCTGCTTCCGGGGCACCGACTCCCCGTGCTCAGGACCGTCCGACGATCGACCCACTGCGCATCTACCGGAGATGTTGCCAGCTTCGCGAGTCTCCCATTCTCAAGCGCATCAGTGACCAGCTTGCGGCACCACGGGCGTGCTCCGTCGTTCAACCGGGCGTTGTCACTTGTCTGGATCTGACAGGGTCTAGATTGCAATTGGCAGATGTCTTGACTCTTTCCGACTGGCTCGCTATTGTGCCGGTTAAGAAGCTGTTTTTGGAGGACGCAGACTTGAATGACGAGAAGATACGGGTCATACTCGCAGGTCTCCTGGCCGCCAAAGTCCCAGAGCCTCCAAAACGGCGCGATCCGTCCAATGACGATACCCAGGACGGACTGTGCCAGCAAGGCTCATGCGCGGTCAAGAAGCTGGTTCTCAAGAACAACCCAAAGATCACAGCTGAAGGCTGGAAACACATCGCACTGTTTCTGTACATGTGCAAGTCCATCATGGCCATCGACGTGTCCATGATACCATTTCCCAGGTCTCGACCACAGGTGGCTTCTCCGCCAACTAACAGCACACAAGCACCGTCTCCCACCAAGGACAGCAGATCGGGAGATGTGGCTGAAATCTTTTCCAAGGCTATTTCCGAACGGTTGGGCGGTTCAGAGCTCCAAGAACTAGCCATGGCCGAATGCAACTTGACCTCCTCGAGCATCCGCAAAATCATCGACGGCTGCGTCATCAGCGGCATTCAACGTCTAAGTCTCGCGACGAACGATATCGACGCCGAAGGCTTGGAACATGTTCTGCATTACTTGCGCTCTGGTGTCTGTCAAGGAATTGATCTTGGTGGAAACGACCTACGATCATTGATGGACAAGATCTGTGACAGCATCAAGCACTGCCAAAACAGTCCGCTGTGGGCACTGTGCTTGCAAGACACTGGTCTCACCCCAGAAGCGCTCAAGACACTCATACCAACTCTAATTTCCCTACCATCCTTCAGGTTTTTGGACCTGTCGCATAACAGGGGTCTTTTCTTGGGCCAGACTTCGTTGTGTCTTCTGAGAAAATACATGCCTCAGTTTAAGGAGCTGAAACGGATACATCTGGTGAATGTCGACATGAAGCCCGAAGATGCTATCGCTATCGCGGAAATTCTGCCGGATTGTCCTCATATCGCACATATCAACATCCTTGAAAACCCGGAGATCACTCGTGTTGCAACTTCAACAGACGAGGAGACACAAGAAGAGGCTGCCGCACTATATGCATCGCTGACTCTGGCGGCTAAGTTATCCAAGTCGCTTATATGCATCGACGTGGACATTCCAGCTCCTGAACAAGGCGAAGTGATCAAAGCACTTGCGAAGCAAGTCGTAGCTTACTGCTTACGCAATATTGAATCCATCAACGAAGTGCCAGAGCTCCGAGCAGCTCCGAAAGAAGTCGAGGTTCCCGATATTCTCATGCGTCTTGTTGGTCCGGAGGACAGTGACTACAAGGAAACCGATAACGCGTCAGATACTGCGGACAATGACTACATCGTTGGGGGCACAGGCATTGCTAAAGCGCTCAGCTACTGTCTCTCTCATAAGGAGACCGATCTTCGCCGAGTGTCAGTCCCAGTCAGTGGTACCTCTACTCCGAGGAGTAGAAGCAGGGTACCAGTGCTTGAGGAGCCAAGCAAGGCCAGAGCCATGTCCAAGGATCTCCTCGAGACAGCACGGAATACGCGAAATAGGATTCAGCCTGCACTTATCAGAGAGGCGAAGGGTGGCAATGACCTGAGCTACCGTAAGTTTCATGATCTTTCCGTCGTACCGATGTGGCTAACATGTTGATAGGTCGTTTGCTTTTCCTGGACCAAACACTTCAAGGCATGATCCAACGCTTCGAAGACGAATACCCAGAAACGCGTCTTCAGCCATCTGATGCCGCTTCTACTACAAGCTCCAAACTCAGCAGCTCACCGCCCACTTCCGCTGTACCGACACTCGAGAACAGTGTGTCGACAGACTTCACAGCTGCTGAATCAGACGAAGACGAGCCCTCTACCCTACGCTCACGCCACAATTCCGATGTCTCTCTCGCATCTCGCCATATGTCGCTTGAGGAAGGACGTCTTCACCGATTTGGCCACCGCGTACGCACCGGTCTTCTCAACCCGTCACGTCCCACGACTCCCGACGTCTCCGAGAATCACGTCTCCTTCATCTCAGGTACGGCAGATGACCAAGGCCTTCCCGAACACCTTCTCGCCATGCGCGCGTACTTCCAGAACCACAGTGGTGACGAGATGAGGCAAATGATTGAGGGTAAAGGCTGGGAACAGGCTTTCAATAGCGTTGTGGAGAACGCTGAGGAACTGAGGAATCTCGAGAAAGAGGACCCACAGCAATTTAAAATCTTCAAGGAGAGTCAAATTGCAGCCTTGAAGAATCGCAATCCGGATATTTTTGCACCAGGAGAAAGGGAGGGGACGAATATGGAGGGGAATCGGGGGGATGACTTTGCTATCGAGGACTAATTATGAGGTGGGGAGTTCAGGAAGGGCTGATGGGAGGATTGGTGGTTACTGGGAAGTGTAATCAGTATAATTTCTCCACCGTTGACTTGAGCTTGAAGGTTGAGGCGCTGGAGCGCGCCCATCAGCTCAAGAGTTCATTCTTTGTAAATTTGTAACATACAGCTACATGACATGCTGATTCAACTATGATTCCCATATCACGATGTCTCTATCCTCGACAGCTGAAACACGTCACATCCGTTTCCTGCTATTCGTTGCGTTTTCCTGGGTCATCTCTTCTCGGCTTGATAGCCTCGTAGCCACAGTCTCAGATATGAAGAGGCTCTTTTGCCTTCCTGTTTTCCTTCTGATTCCCTCTTTTTTCTTTATCACACCCTTACTGAACTATTACTGGAAACTTATTGCTCCAGATACATGACTTGGCAGTTCTTTTCACCCTCGGCGCCTGGGTAGTTTGATTCTGCAGTAGGTATTTAAATTGGATCTATGGCGTGGTAGGTGTCGGCGTCGGTGTTAGTAGTGGTATAGGAACTGACTGAGCCATCTATACCGGCACCTCCGTCTCCAACGCTGCAGATTGGCTCAGTCGTCCCTGGGAACTTATCTGGAGACTGATGTTGTGGCGAAGGTCGCTCGTGGTTGTCGCGACAGTAGTCCAAAGGCGCTTGCGTCGCGTGCGCGCATGATGGGGCAAACATGTCACATCGTGACAATACTCGGACGCTGTTTAGACTGGAGCAGAGGGATGACGGTTCTAATGTGAGTTGGATACGAAGCTCGATCATGTGTTGATCAGGCAGTGAGCTTATCAGGACGACGTCCGGTTCTCAGCTCAATATATTAGGGTTCAGAGGAAGGGACTTTATTGCCTCGACCCTAGCCGTAACGGACCAGTATGCATATGTACATCATCATCTGTATACGCGAGCTAGGGTGTCGTATTATAGATCGAGTTGGCGAGGATAACGCTCAGATCGGACCAGGGAAATGACGATGTTTCAGAGAGTGGCACGACATGTATCAGAAGATCAAGAGCATATCGTAGTCAAGGGAGGTAGGCAAACGCGCCAAATCAACATCGCCATTTGGCCATCAGGCTCCAATATATATTGGCACTACCACCAAAACCATCTACATGCTTTCTAAGGATATCATAGCTTGAGCAAGTTACATGCCCACGAACACTTCTTCTAAAAGATAACCCAAGCAAGCGAATGACGTGAAATAATGCTGGAAAGATGCTTATGTGTCGTGTGCAATTCAACGAACATCATATACAAGATAAAAAGAAACCACCGGGACCCGCCCAAGCAGCACTATGATGCGTGAGTGGATAACCAGTGGAAGAGAAAAGATAACTTCCTTCACACCATTATGCACATATCCGACTCTTTCCAGTAAGGGTAGAGCCTACAAGAAGGGTAGCACTACACCCTTTCTTATTGGGCTTCCCCTGCCATCGACAGTGCTACCTTCAGCGCTGTATCCGGAATCGCGATCGACGTCGTCGTTGTCAAAGTCGATGTCAAAATCGGGCTCCTTCTCTTCCTCAGTCTCTTCGTCATCGTCGCCATCCCAGGCCTTCTGTGTCGCACCGCGCGAGTTCCATCGTAGTGTGCGGCTGATGCTATCGAACCATTCGGTTGGCTGCGAGAGTACGGTAGGAAATGGGTACTGCGAAGCGGCGATGGTGACGTGGTCGCCTTGACGGAGTTCGACACGACCCTTGCCGTCGAAGGCGCAGTAGGCGGTAGCCCGTGACTTGAGAGGTACTGCGATACGGAGGAGCATGCTGTCGTTAAGCAGCATGGGGCGGAAGGAGAGAGTATGCGGGCAGATGGGTGTCAGGAGGATAGCGGGAATATCCGGATGCACGAGAGAGCCACCTGCAGAGAGCGAGTATGCTGTTGAACCGGTAGGCGTCGAGAAGATAACACCGTCTGCTTGCACAACGGTAAGCAGGTTGTTATCGCCGTAGAGCTCGAGGTTCGAGACGTAGGGTGATGGGCCGCGGTCAATGACAAGCTCGTTGAGTACCTCGAATTGTTCAGCTTCGATGTGCTGAGGTGATCCTTGGGCAACGTTCTTCTGGTAGCGGTATACTGTGCAGGTGAAGCGCATGCGCAGATTCACACGCATACCAGTCTCGCACATGATCTTGTCGAGCGCTGGCCTGTACTGCGCGAATTCGAAGTTTGTAAGGAAACCAAGGCTGCCGAGCGAGAAAGACAGAATCGGCGGTACGATGCGCTGGAAGAGCCACGAGGTGAAAAGTACGGTGCCGTCTCCACCAAGAGTAAGAACAAGATCGAAGATCTCTGGGGTTTCCCAGCACAGGTCTGGTGTCCACCAACGAAGCATATTCTCGTAGCGTTTGTCTTTGGCTAGCAAAGAGGCAGCATCGAAGCGCTTCGACTTGCGCAGCTTGTGGTCTACGTAGACGTTCACTCCAATGTCTGAGCCGTAGCGCGAGGTAGTCATGAGCCATTCCGCCAACTCGCGCGTAAGGTATACAAGGTTGTTGTCACGAGCCTTGGTAACAATCATGACATTGCGTACCGTCATCTTGATGGGTCGACGTTGCAGTTGCTTCGATACCTCACGGACACTGTTCGCAGTCTGCACGAGTCTTGAATGCGATATTGTGTCATCCTCGGACATCTCTTCCATGACCTTTCCCAGGTTCACAGCCTTGTCAAACTTCTTATGGAAAAAGCATGGCGATGCGAGCGCAGCCATCTTGCTTGCAGAAAGGTCCGCAGAGTGCAATTCAAGTTCGGAAAGCGCTTTTGCAAGTTGCGAATGAGTGATGCTCTTTGATCGCGCATTCTTCCCTCCGTTCTCTGAGCCTTCCATGACGGAATCCATGGACTGTTGTGTCGCCGACGAAGGCGGAGGCCGAGACTGTAACGCCTTAAGAAGAGTCTGGCGGGGTATCGCGGAGTCGATTGATTGCGCGTTCTTGCGGTGCTTCCGAACGCGGTTCTCACCAAAAGACGGGATGCGCGGGAGGACGGAGAGGTTCTCGATGGAGGAGGACTTGCTGATAGCGGTGGGGTCTTCTTTGCGGGAGGATTCGTCCGATGTCAGACTGGCTGGGTGTTGTGTTACAGCGGGCGTACCGCCAATTTCTGTGGTTACTACCGATGCATTATACGGCGCGTCCTGGGGGCAGTGGACGCTGGTCTGCGGAGGCTGTGGAGACTCTGGGCGGGTGGGATTATTAAATGAGGCATCGGCATCGACGGGGTTAAGGTCGCGGTCGGAGAAACTTGAACTGGCCGCCTGTGGGGACAGGAGCGGGTGAACCTTGGCCGGACTAAACGGCTCCCCATTCTTGAGTGTCGCCGACAACATCGTAGCTTGATTATGCGTTACTGATCGAGCGCCCGTTAATCGCGCTTAGTCTTTCGGGGTGTTTAGTTGTAGACCTTGGCGGATAGGATATTAACCGGCGTTTTTGTTCGGCTGAGGCGGCAGGAATATGTACAGCGAAAGATGAACGTATCCAGACGGTTCTGTCGAAAACAATAAATGCTCCAGGCAAAAACGAAAGGGGGACACAAAGGAAGCGATGGATCGTGCTACTGCATGGGCGCGAGTCGTAAGGTTGTGTTTGTGATAGCTGCTAACGGTGACCGAGGTGATGTGACGACCAGCGAACCGTGTAACCGGAAGTGAAGGTAAAGATTATAATGAAGGAAGAGCCCGGCTCGACCTGGTTAAATAAGAGAGAAATGTACAAAGTGTACACGACTGAACGTCGTGTTGCCGAAAGAGCGAAGGCGCAATTGGGGGAAAGACAGTGGTGCAGCTTGAGGCAGGTGTTAGGCACGATGCGAGACCTACTATATTCAATCCGCATCTGCAAGACATCTCTGCCACCGCTATTCTGGAGCATTGCCACATCACGATCCAATGCGCCAGCCTCAAACGAAGGGTACCGCCCATCTGTAGCGGCTAGCCCGCCGTAAATTTTGTGACACCTCGCGTGTCACAAACTCGTGGGTCCATGCCGGAGCATCTACCAAACATAGAACGAAGCTTCATTCTATTCCGCGATCTTGACACAGATTCCAACGGCCTAGGCGGCCCAGAAGTTCCTTTCAGCCTGTCTTCTAAGGCACGCTCCACCGCATGGTCACTTCGCTCGACTGTCAGAATCCTTCGATGACCCTGAGCGTTCATGGCTGACAAGCGCTCCCTCATGGGAAAGTCTCAGTCATCGGCTCATACCGACACTCTCCGCGTTTGATCCACACTTCGTTTAGAAAAGCCACAGCGGGTATCATGATTAGGAGCAAACTGTATTCGAGATTCACTATGAATCGCATCGCCGCAAAGTTATGCCACCTGCCGGCTGGACTAGCAGAGATGGACGAAACAACCCAAATTTGTACTAGTCCCTCTATAATCATACCTCTTTGCTTCGAACTCCCATCTGGTACAGGAGAAGTTTAGGCGAGACAGCTTGCTCCTCGCTAATTGTAGACCTTTGCGACACACTTACTAGGCGAGTGTGTACTGCATGAAATCGCTGCCGTTAGTACCGATGGTCCACAGACCTCATACGCCACGCATGGCTGTTACATGGAGTCGAGATATGGCAAGCGTTTACGGCAAATGTCGCGTGGAACACAGAGTGAAGTGGGCTCATACTCGCTACCAGTATGGTTGCAATGACCGCCCCCGCGCCGTTTCTGTCCACTCACAGGCGGGTCAGCGTATGTTTGCCTTCAGGCTCAAGCTGGTGCTGAAACTCGCGCATGTCAATCTCCTTGGGAGCCACCCGAGAGCTCCCGAGACCTTCAACTGCCGGAGTGTTGCTGAGCACTGGTAACTTGGGGCGGCGGTCCGAAGCGCAAGAAGTAAACAGGCGCTTACGACTGTCTCGTGGCTATCTTAGTTGGGTATCCAGCATGAGTGAACAACATGTATGACTTGAGATGTTCCATCCAGAGTAGTAGACATAGTGGCAATGGCGAGTACGGGATGACGCAGAGGGCGAGGAAAATAAAATCGGGAGGATGTGACTGGGCGTGGGTGAACCTGGCTATTTAATAGAAGTTTAAACGCGTAGAAGTTGGCGAAAAAATCGTGGCACGTAACTGAGACGAAGTTTTGAAGTATTGTTGGGTGAATGTACATGACTTTACAGTCTTTTGGTATTCATCACATATCGTGGTATCTAGTGAAGTCGTAACGAAAAGAAATTCGACAAGCGAGACACTTATTGGAGAGCCTTGCGAGCGAAAGTAGGCAGAACGAAAGCTGCCTCGTGGATCTCCTTGCTGTAGTACCTGCAAAGTTGCTCCTCCTCCTCGGTGGACCAGCTGCGGAGGGGCTTCTTGAGGTCGCGGTTGGCGTCCTTGCTGCAGACCATGAAGCCGATTTGACCGGAGGGGTAGGTAGGGATAGTGGTGTAACCGTACTCGACGTTGGGGAAGACCTCCTTGCAAGCCTTCTTGAGGTTGACAATGAGGGGCATGTGAAGCCATTGGTTCTCGGCTACATGGGAATGTTAGCCATTGACCAGAACAGCACCTTCCCGGCGCGTGGAGGTCTTCGAAAAGTGAACTTGTAACGAGTGGACAAGGAGAGGGCTTACAACCTTGGGTGGTAATGACACCGCCTTCGCGGAGTGCGCCGTTAAGCAGCTCGAAGTATGACTTCTGGAAGAGAGCCTCAGCGGGACCCTCTGGGTCGCTGGAGTCAGTGATGATGACGTCGAATTCGCCCTTCTTGTCCTCGAGGAACTTGAAGCCGTCACCAACGATGGTGGTGGTCTTGGGGTGCTCGAAGCCGACCGACATGCCGGGGAGGTACTGCTTGGAGAGACGGATGACAGCCTCGTCAATGTCGCAGAGGGTGGCCTCCTTGACACAGTCGTGCTTGACAACCTCACGGAGGACACCACCGTCACCGCCGCCAATTACCAAGACCTTCTCAGGGTTGGGGTGGGAGTTCATGGCAAGGTGGGTGATCATCTCCTGGTAGCTGCTCTATCGTCAACCATTGTTCGTGCCTTCCAACTAGGTGTGACATACGAGAACTCGTCGCGCTCGGTACATTGGATGACGTTGTCGAGGACAAGGACGGTGCCGTAGTTGGTGGACTCAAAGATGAGAACGTCCTGGTACTGGCTCTTCTCGTGGTGAAGAACCTCCTTGACCTGGAGAGTCATGGCCTGACCGGGCCACATGCCGGAGATCTCGCGGAACCAGCCATCTATAGCAGAATAGTTAGTCATTGAGCCTGGATAGGGTGGGGTGTCCAATTGATTCGTGAATCTGGTAGAACGCGACTTGACTTACCCTTGATGGTAGGGTGTTCGATAGCAGGCATCTTGAAAAATCTGTGGGTTGAAAAAGAAGGGTAGAGTAGAGGACGTGATCGTTTACGGAAGTAAACAGAAGATTGACAGAGCTGTCGCCGGATATATATGGGGACCTTCAGGTTTGCGGAGTTTTTCCTTGTGTTTGCGTTGGGCACAATTTTCTAGGTCTATGCACGTCACTGGTCGCGCGCGGTACCTGCCCCGCCATCCCCCACCAAGGTCATCCCGGGAAGGTCCAGCCGCAGGGCATCTATATTGGGTAGCATTATCTCCACGACTGCCAGACTGGTCCACGCTTTACGACTGACATCTGACATATCTTTTCTGTGTAGTTGTCACGGACAGCCGGAGTAGTTGTAAAGCCGATTTGATGTAGAGGGTTCCTGGGGGATGGCTGCCTGATGACGAGGGCGGCCGTATGCCTGGCACTATCACGAAACCGGATACTGACTGCATGTGTGAAGAAACATAAAGAGATGGCCTACGATGAGTTTGCGAGAGTTATTGGGAAGTGCCAATACCACTGAAGTTATTCTAAGAACATACAAGCAGCGCAACCATGACCGAAGCCGCCCCAGTACAAGATTCGGCTCAGGAAGAGCGCAGTTCTGTGCAGCAGATTCTCGAGACCAAAGAATATGAAAAGAATCCCGAGTTACTACCATGGTACACCAAAGAGCTTGAGGAGCCAAGTCCTGCGACAAGAAACATTTTTGAGAAGTATAGCAAGATACCACCGGGGGACGTAGTCACTCATATTAAACGTGTGAGAGATGACGCATTTACGGTTGTGAGTTTGGGTACCCGTTGGGCAACAAGAGCACAACTGTGTTGACAATGTAATAGTTCCCGTATCCTTGCCTGGGAAACTGGGGCTTCTTGAATTTCTCCATTGGGGTGAACCCCGCCTACCAGGAAGTTCTCAGTCGGATCAAGAGCGGGGAGAAATTCCTCGATCTGGGGTGTTGTATGGGCCAGGATATCCGCAAGTTGGTTCATGATGGCGCCCCCTCAGAGCATATGTATGCATCCGATCTCAAGAAGAACTTCTGGGGGATTGGTTATGATATGTTCTTGGACAAGTCAACCCTGCAGACGCAATTTGTGGAAGCCGACATCTTCGACACCGACTCGGCGCTGAAGCAGATGGATGGGAAGATGGACGTGATCAACGCCGCGTCCTTCTTTCACCTGTTCGACTGGGACCAACAGGTGAAGGCAGCCAAGCGTGCTGTTCAGTTGTTGAAGCCAGTATCTGGAAGCCTTATTGTTGGACGACAGGGCGGCAAGCCTGAAGCTGGCAGTTTCGCACATGTCATGAAGGAGATGACTGCTTTTTGGCACAATCCTGAGTCGTGGGCGAAGATGTGGAAGCAGGTTGGAGATGAGACTGGAACAGATTGGGAGGTTCAAGCTGTACTTGGCGAGGAAGATCTATCAAAGAGGATGAAGACTAGTCTGGTGCCTGCTGGTACGAGATTCATGACTTTTACTATTCGTAGAGTGTAGAAGACTAGTCGGACGAATACATTGGCTGGCATAGCATCGTGGCAGCCAGATGCGGATGCGGAGCAGCAGCCAATGAGCGTCGCTTAGGGTCCGAGCAAGGAAGCCAAACTCAATCTGGCTTCATCACCACCATTGCATCTTCAATCTAGAAGCCATTGACACGAAACATTCCAGTCGCTCACCATACAAAGCCACCCCACAAGCACTACAATCATGGACCCCTACTCGCCCGAGGGAGGTTCGTTGGACCACCAGCCACACCAGCTCAGAGCCCCACTAATGTCTATCCAGAGCTCATAAACATCCACTCGGCCTTCCACGCTGGCGCCTACCAGCAGGTTCTCGACTTCGATACTTCAAATTTCTCCTCGTCAAATGCGCTTCCCGTTCGCGTCCTCCAGCTCCGCAGTCAAATCGCGCTCGGCCAAGCACAAGCCGTGTCCAACGAACTCGCATCCGAGAAGACACCAGATCTGATCGCAGTGAAGCTACTAGCCGACTATGAGCAGTCCAAGGACGTATTAAGCCAGGCGAAGAAGCTGACAGAGCAACATGGGCAGGACAACTTGACGGTGCAGCTTTGCGTGGGCATGATATTAGAAAGGGCGGGCGAGACTGAGGCCGCGCTCAATGTGTTGAGCAAGCACCAAGGCAGTTTGGACGCGTACGTCATGCAGATTCCTCTACGTGCCTCATGTTATGAGAGAGTCAGTGGCTAACGTCTAGGTAGCGTTGCACTCATCGTACAAATCCACCTCCAACAAAACCGCACAGATCTCGCTGCAAAAGAGGCTCAGCGTGCACGGAAATGGGCACAAGACAGCCTGCTTGTCAACATCGCAGAGAGCTGGGTTGGCATGCGAGAAGTATGTTCTCCTGTACGACCGTTACTATTAGGCTTACCATTAATATCGCATTCAGGGCGGCGAGAAGTACCAATCTGCATTCTACGTCTTCGAAGAGCTAGCCACGAGCTCTCAATCCACCTCCCCACACTCCCTCGTCGCACAGGCCGTATCAGAACTCCACCTCGGCCGCCTCCCGGAAGCCGAAGCCGCTCTACAACAAGCGCTTTCCATCGACGGCACTTCTGCCGACACACTCGCCAACCTCATCGTCCTTAACACGCTGCTTGGTAAGAAGGAGGACGCTGAGCAACTGAAGTCACAACTGCAATCTTCGGCACCACAGCATAGGGCTATTGCAGACTGGGCGAGCAAGAAAGAGGAGTTTGCAAAGGCGGCAGCAAAATACACGCCAAAGTTCGAGGTTGCCTCATAGGAGGAGCGGGTAGTGCACGGAGAGATGTATGCTGAGGGTAATGCTTTCGCGCATTTGGTGTCTACGGGAGTAGCCCAAGATTAGGCGTAGGGAGATATGGTTCGATGTACACCCCTCGAGATGAAAGTGACAATACTGAGTCGAGACTAGACGCTTGTCAGTCTCTATAGTGCATTAAGATTCGTCGAGACCACACATGGCTTGAGATATCATAGCAAGACTTTGAAAGTCCTCGAGACCGCAGTACCTAGACCTTCGTATTATCTGTCACTGATCTCACTCATACACTTTTTCAAGGGTAAACGACCACTAACCTCATCATTAGCAATCTCCAATGGGAACCAAGTACCCCACCACATGTATTCTACTCATCTACGGCTCAATCTTACCCGAAAGCGCCACGCGCCATTTCGTATGGCTGGCCTTACAGGCTGCCTGCAAGCATCTTACAGTTGGGAGATTACCATCTCAACAAACGTGACACGATAAGCATAAAGCGGTCAACGGTATGACCAGCCTTGACGAACTCGCATGCATGTAGACGGGAAGTCACCATCCTCCTGACAGCCAGCACGTGCGCAAGCTTCAAAGCAAGGACCTGATCGACGCGCCACGCGCATCTAGCGGTAGATCCACCCACGGCACCGGATTTGATGGAATTTCACCACTTCTTCCATTACACTAGCACTGTCCATGTTGGCACTACCCTTTTTCGAAGCGGTCAAGTTGCACGAAAGCGCGTAAAGGGATAATCCCTATTTTATAACCCACAAAGATTCATGTTATACGTTGCCTTAGCTGACACGTTGAATGCGTGAGAAGGGATGCATGCTGCAACTCCAACTGTCTTAGTGGCGCCGGGAGCTGATACATCCGGGACTCATGGAGACCATCTTGGAACGAAGCTTAGCTGGCCTTGCTAGCCAATGCGGGACGCAGGTCTTCTCCATCGGTCTGCGCTTTCCAGCCTACCATGCCCGTTGCGGTAACATGGGTGGCTGATTTTGGAACAGATTCGGTGTCCTTGAGAGTGTGGGTTGGGCGAGGGTCCTGCACGGCGCTTTTGAGATGTTGCGGCGCACGAGTGCGCGTTCGGCGGCACCCGTAAGGGAAGGGTCTTTGAGATTCCGCGCCGCAAATTTGCCTTGCAGGTGTATAATGTGGAGATGGGAGATTGGTTGTGCTTGCAGGTGTGGATATTTGTAACCTTTGCCTTGACGCTGAACTTGCGCATGCGTTTGTTCATACCTTTCATTGTACATTTCCCATCTACGCTATTGTTCTTATTCCCGAAAACTCCGCTCTTGTCCGCTTTCGGAACTGCCGGGCCAGAAAGCATTTCGTCATGTCTGAGATCAAGACGGACGTTGGCAGCGTCGACAGCGCGTTCGACGTACAAACACCAATCCTCGAAAACATGGTTGTAGGAGTACCGCCAGTGTTTGAAGGGCTCACCAAGCAGCTCGACAAGATTGTTGAGCAGCCACTGCTCGGTCCGAAAGCCAAGTTCCCCGCAGGTTAGGAAACCTACTGTAGTCCCGGACTGCGACTGTGTGTGTGTGTGTGTGTTGACCAACTGTATAGCTACGTTTGCATTTGGACGTAAAAATGTATCTGGCAGGCGGTTACCACAGGCTATTGCCCACCGAGGGTACAAGGCCAAGTTCCCTGAGAACACTATGGGGGCGTTCAAGGGAGCAGTTGAAGTAGGCGCAGAGGGTCTGGAGACAGACGTACACCTGACGAAAGATGGTGTAGTCGTACTATCTCATGTGAGTCTATCCGACGACGGTGCGTCGATCGCAGACTGACTCTGCCTTAGGACAAGGACCTGAAGCGGTGTTTTGGCAGAGACGAGAAGGTTATAGACTGCAACTATGAGTTCATAAGTAAGCTGAGGACATTAAAAGAACCCCACGAGAAGATGCCTCGTCTTTTGGATCTGCTCGAGTATCTTGCACAACCTGGACTCGAAGATATCTGGGTGTTGCTCGATATCAAGGTATGCATTACTAGTCTGTTTGTACAGCCTCATGCTGATAGCGTACAGCTTGACAACAACGCGGACGATGTGATGCGCTTGATTGGTGACACAATTCGGAGCGTCCCTCCGTCACCATCTAGGCCATGGCAGAAGCGTATCGTGCTAGGGTGCTGGGCAGCCAAGTACCTTCCGCTATGCTCACGGTACCTGCCTGGCTTCCCAATCTCGCACATTGGCTTCTCAACGCTGATTGCGTCGTATTTCTTTACTGTACCGAACGTCTCTTTCAACATGGCACAGGCCATTCTCATGACGCCATGGGGTCGGCTGTTTATACGGAAAGCTCAGAGCGACTGTCGGCCCGTGTACGCATGGACGGTGAACGAGGAGAGCCGGATGCGATGGGACATACGGCACGGCCTTGATGGCGTCGTGACGGACGACCCGAAGCTATTTCTGGAGGTTCGGAAGTCGTGGCACGAGGGAACGAGAGACGGGGTGACGATGATGACATGGCTGGACGTGCTGCGGATCAACTTCTTCTGTCTGATATACACGGTCTTGTTCCAGTGTTACTTTGGGTTTCAGCGTAAGTCACTCGTCAAGATAAGAGAAGAGGAGGAGCAGTAGATTATGTAATCCGATGAAATATCAGCATATCCGAGTATAAGTCGTGTCTAGAGAGTGGCGATTGTCTACAACCCCCCATGGTGGAGCGAAGGGTCGATGGTGTTGGGGAAAGCTATGACGGCAGGGCCCAAACATTTGGCGACCCGACGCGTGCACCCCGCCCAAAGCGCGTTCGCAGCCCACCACGTCGCTGATCAACACCACAATGCCTAGGTACGCCTGCGTATATACCAGAATGCGCTCACGTGTTGTAGCTAATCCATGTCAGAGAAATAATAACACTGCAGGCTGGCCAATGCGGCAACAGCGTCGGGCAGCAGTTCTGGCAGCAGCTCTGTCAAGAACACGGTATCAATCGCGATGGCAACCTCGAGGACTTTGCGACAGAGGGCGGTGACCGCAAAGACGTCTTCTTCTACCAGTCAGACGATACCCGCTACATTCCACGCGCCATTCTTCTGGATCTCGAGCCCAGGGTCCTCAATTCCATCCAGTCGAGCGCTTACAAGAACATCTACAACCCCGAAAACTTCTACATACACAAGGATGGCACCGGCGCCGGAAACAACTGGGGCATGGGCTACAGCATGGGCGAGCAGGTGCACGAGGACATTTTGGATATGATTGACCGTGAGGCTGACGGCTCAGACTCACTCGAGGGTTTCATGATGTTGCACTCCATCGCTGGTGGTACTGGATCCGGTCTCGGCTCATACATGCTCGAACGATTGAACGACAGATTCCCAAAGAAGCTTATCCAGACATACAGTGTCTTTCCCAACACACAGGACGGCGACATCGTCGTCCAACCATACAACAGCTTGCTGAGTATGAGACGCTTGACACAAAACGCAGACTCCGTGGTGAGTAAACCCCAGTAACAATCCCATACCTACTTACTGAATTTTCAGGTTGTCCTCGATAATGGAGCCTTGACAAGGATTGCCGCAGACCGACTGCATGTTATGAACCCCTCGTTCGAGCAGACCAACCAGTTGGTGTCCACCGTCATGTCCGCTAGTACCACGACCCTCCGTTATCCTGGATACATGCACAACGACCTTGTGGGTATCGTTGCATCGCTCATTCCCACACCGCGCTGTCATTTCCTCATGACTTCTTACACCCCCTTCTCCGGCGAGAACGTAGAGCAGGCCAAGACTGTTCGCAAAACAACCGTCTTGGACGTTATGAGACGACTCTTGCAGCCCAAGAACCGCATGGTCTCTACAAACCCCACCAAGAAGAGCTGCTACATGTCCATTTTGAACATTATCCAGGGAGAGGCCGACCCTTCAGATGTACGTCTCCTCCAGTTGCTTACTTGAATTCAGCTCATTGACTACGTAGGTGCACAAATCACTTATGCGCATTCGCGAACGACGTCTCGCTACCTTTATACCGTGGGGCCCCGCCTCTATTCAAGTCGCCTTGACTAAGAAGTCTCCCTACGTGACCTCCTCACACCGAGTTTCTGGACTTATGCTTGCGAATCACACAGGTATCGCCACACTCTTCAAGCGAATAGTAGCGCAATACTCCACGCTCAGAAAACGTAACGCTTTCCTTGAGAGCTACAAACGTGAAGTGCCCTTCAAAGATGGTCTCGGCGAGTTCGATGAAGCCAAGGAAGTTGTACAAGGTCTGATTGCAGAATACGAAGAGGCTGAGGATGCCGACTATCTTACCAAAGAGACAGCGCCGCCTGCAGCTGAAGCTGACGATGCGAGAGTGGGCTAAATGACATCTGAGCGATTTTGCATTTGGCGTCGGCGTCATAGGTCGGTGTAGTGGAGTTAAGGGTACCTAAGTTGAGGTTCATTTGAGGCGTTGGCGGATGTGTAACCACGGTCACCCATCTTGAGAAATTCCGAAAGTATTCTGCCCTTAACCCGCATGAGTCGTCGTTCGAGTGATGACCACTATGCCGAGAAGTATGACTGGCATTATTCCGTAAGGTAGATTTGTCTGGCGAAGGCATGAGGAGTTTTGTGTGGTAGCGAGCGCAAGATAATCGACTCACCAGTTTACCAACAACCGCCTAACCAAGGATGTAACCTCGCAAGTATGTGCTCATAGGACTGGCAGCAAATGGGAATCGGTACCGTGGCGAGGAACTGGTTTGTGATTACCGTTCTCCTGCTCTTGTATCACTGACTTGAATCACTTCCGTGAAACGGCCACGGTCAGTGCGGTGAATCCCAATGTGAGCAGAGAGGTACATTTCTGCTTCACGTATAATAAGAGCACATTATCTTTTTTTCGTTCTCTCTTTTATAAGTTACCTTCATAGCAACTTAGTCGTTACTTTGAACTTGCGACAGCACCCACGACCAAACCAACCGATTGCGAAGACGCTCAAAATCTCGAAGACAACTTCAAGCAAATTTCAACATGTTTCCGTCAACCCGCTGCTCTATCACCAACGTGCGAGCCATCGGTCGTCCAAGCCTATCGGTCCTGTCCACACAAATCCGCACCCTCTACTTCTGCGGCCCAAAGCCTGGCGATCACGATCCAGATCTGCCCATATCGCAACACTACCACGCACACTCCCGAACAACAAACTCAATCAATAAACCACCCACAACTATCATCATTCCTACCCCTCCCGCTCGGCCTGCCACCCCGACCCCGACTCTGAGAATCTCCGCCACTCGCATATGCTCTCAAACAGAGCGTCACACCATGCCCTATACAAACAAGCTAGAGACCGCTAGAAAAGCTCTTGACCGGCTTGTAGCGGCTACTTATGATGATGCTACAAACTACAACATGGCTGTCGTCATCATCAGCGAGATTGCTAGGCTAGAGGCCGAACTTAGGAGGGGAGAGATCGAGGGAAAGCATTGGCAGGAGTTGCAGAAAGTCCGGGAGGATATTGAAGGTTTGAAGAACATGTGGCAGAGGATGGAGAGAAGGATTTTCAGAGAATAGCCGTCTTTGGAAAAGCAGTCTCAAGGTTAACAGTGATAAACCTTCTTCGAAACTACCTTAAATTGCAAAACTATCAGTGGTATATAGCATATTTCTCACATCTCCCATCTCACACCAAGTCCATCAAGCCTGACTTCTTTTTCTTGTCTCTGCACATCCCCATCACGCACCATTCTTGTAGCCTAATCCACCAGCCTTGACGTCAAACTCGATTAACTCGTCCAGCCCACACAGTTTGAACAGTTCCCTAGGTCCATGTCTCTTTCCATCCTCCTCTACACTTTCAACATGTCCTGCCTTCATCTGTTGGATCGCTTTCCTAACCGCCGGATATACAACCTCGCATGCCAACAAAGGGAAGATGGCAAGTTTGTACCCGAGCTGCTTGCACTCATCAACTGTAAAGTCTGGAGACACACCGCCAGGCACACTGTTAAAAAGACAAGGTGTGGGCGCCAAATCAGCGCATATCTTCTTCGCGTCTTCAGCCGTCGTAACACCTTCCAAGAAGGCCACATCGGCGCCTTGAGCAACAGCAGCACGAAGACGATGCAAAGCTTCATCATAACCAAAACCCTGCAAGGCATCTGTCCTTGCGATAATCACAATGTCACCACCGGATTCCTCTCTCGCTAACCTCGCAGCGCGGATCCTAGATTCGAATTCTTCCGTGTCGACGAGTTGCTTGCCGTTTAGGTGACCGCAGCGCTTGCTCACTATTTGGTCTTCTAGATGCAGACCCGCAACGCCTGCGCGGATATAGGATGTTACTGTGCGACCGACCATTACGGGACCGCCGTAGCCTGTATCGGCGTCGGCAATTAGAGGTGTGCTCGGGGAGATGGAAGCAAGCATTGTGGCGTTTTGGAGCATGTCGGTGAAGGTTGCTATGCCCATGTCGGCGGCGCCTAGACGGGACATTGTTGTTCCTGCACCAGTCTGGGTAGGCGTGTTAGTTATGGTAACGCGGGATACTGACAATGACCTGTAAGACATACCATGTATAGACAGTCCACACCTTCTTGAAGGGCTATCCTCGCTGTGAAGCCATCGTACACCCCGGGACAAGAAAGAAATTTGTCCGGATCCGCCAACATGCTTCTCAGCTTCTCAACTGCTGTCATCCTTCTTTCGGGTGCTTTGCTGGATCCCATGTTTCCCTTCTCTTTTTCGCTCTCAAGGATATCAATGAATGGTAACGATCAAGCTTTTCTCAATGAATGTTGCGTTTTGCTTTTCCTCGCTTTCAAGCCGCGCCAGATCCGATCCGTTTAAGAAGCACAACGTCCTCGTAAAGTACAGTGTGCTCAGGAACAGACACTCGGTGGCCTCACTTTTGCCCGCTGAGTATCGGCGTCTTGCGTATATACTGTGGCGGAATGGTATGCCAGATCCGGTAGTGATAGTTATTCGTCCGTCGCGACTAGGAGCCTGTCAACCCGAAAAGAGACCGGAGATTTTCAAAAGTAATAGTGTAATTACCAACCGGAGCAAACTCCTAACGCCTTATATAGAATCTAGATAGCTAAACCTAAAAAAGTACGAAACGAAAAATAATGGTAACCACACCCTCATGGAAAGAAAAACTACGCTGCACATCTATGACCGCCTATCCCCATCTTCTCGGCCAAGTCCTCCGAAGGATCTGGTTTGTGAGAAAGGATCTTTTGCGCGATGGCGAAAAGGTTTGGTTGAACGTTTACCAGCTCGTTCACAAATCAGAATTGTGAAGATTACCCACTCACGTCATAACGCCCAAGATATGCGTAAACACCAGGGAAAAGCTGTTGTGGTGACACCCCGCAATGCCCTGTTCCTCTTGCTGACGTAGTGTCATGTGCCGATGTTCGCCGGCAGTTTGACCGGTAGGAGCGCCTCACTCGTCCCATCTCACTGGCCAGACGACTGCAAGGCTCGGGTTCGCCGATATCATGGTCGGCTTGTCGTAGGCGGAAAGGCAATGTCGTATGAGAAGAAGAAGAAGGATGTGATGCCCCGTTCGGAATGCTGGCCGATGCCGAAGTCCTGGGTAGGCGAGCGCATGGGGGTGATGAGGGGGTAGACTGGGATTTAAAGTGAGCTGGCAGCCGGCACGATGATTTCCTGGTGTTGTAATGCGTGTTCTCTTCCTTCCTCCACACGCCTTCAGGATTGACCATCTAGCGCACGCCAGCGCTAGTGGGCACCAGGGTTGGGTTGCTGACAACACCGCAGACAATGCTGAGCAGATTCTTTTGCCGTAAGATCCATCGTATGCTCGTCTCTACCAGAAAGAGAAGACCCTCTGTTATTATATACACCTGCGAAATGGTCGCAAATCGGATTCGGAGATCTTTCGGTTCCTGCCGGCTCAGTTGAACACCATCCCAGCAACTCTTAGGCGTCACGCCTGATCCTAGGTGCAGCCCGCATCGATCTGATCGAACAATTTTCCGACATCGCGATCACTTCCCGCCGTATCCGCACGTGGTCGACCGGTCCTCGCCACCGCGACCTAGTGTTCAGAGATCCGTCTTTGGTGGCGCATAGTAGACAGAATCTGGCTTCTTTGGTTGGTCGCAAGATCTTCCCATGGCATTGCGTATCTGAGTAGGTATACGGTATCTGAACACTTCATTTCCCGCACCAGGCGAGAAACCGTAGTCGTCACTCTTCCATCGCGTCCAAGCCATTCTCTCTCACACGGACACCAACCACTCAACGTCTAACCGTAGGTATACCCCATATTTGGTGCACCTCCAGGACCTGGTGCTGTCATCATTGGATTTATAGGTCCAACCGGTACGTTGGGCATCTCGGCGTTCGAGAACTCAAAGCCGGCTGCCCAGTCGTAATCAGGGAATTGATCGAGCATTGGTGGTACACCGTAATCTGGACCCTCCCAAGCATCGAAGCTGCTCATCACGGACGGATCCGGTTGCATCTGGGGATTGACCAAGCTGGGGTCGAATTTGGTTACCGGAAGTTGCTGTCTCATCGATGGATCCAATTGCTGCTGTTGTTGCTGCTGTTGTTGGTGGTGCTGCTGCTGGTGTTGCTGTTGTTGCTGTGACGAGTATTCTTGACCTGTTTGTTAGCTATGTGCTGACCAAAGTTGGTAGTAAAATGCTTACGAGGTGCACTCTGCTGAGCGTTTTCAAGTGTCGCTTCGTCGCCGTTGTAGGGATTTTGCATATTGCCGAATTCCTCTCGCCAGTACCAGAACATGTCGTAGCTGATGCTCATGCTCAACCTTGTTCTCAACCTTAGATATAACGATTCCACACGACCGTCCTTCTTACGGAACACTTTGTCGCTACCCCATAAATCTTTCATAATATGTGCAGTCCGGAAGTGGATATCTCCCGGTTGCAAAGACACATTCTGGAGGAAATCATACGCTTGGGAGAATGCTCGTTCGCCCGCAAGCAAATCCAGGTGTTGAGCGAGCGGACTTCGAACAAGCCTCAAAATGGTGAAACCAGCCAGGGTGATGGTACGATCAATGAACGATTGCGAGACAGAAGGTAAGTGGATCTTTTGTGTCGTTTGCATAGTTGCCGCGGATTGAATGACTGAGATGCATAGAGAGTAAAACCTTGAAAGACCCTCTGCGTCGGGCCCGGGATTCGTGGGATGAGCGAAGAAATGGAACGCCATCACATGTATACGTGCACAGCTGAGTTGCAGAGCATCTATTTCGTCAGATCGAATTTTGTACGAGTTTGATCAAACTTACCGAGTTCACTTGGGGAAGACGGAGCCAGGCTGAGGAGCTGCGAGTCGAATATACCGATCAACGACCGTAGCACACGGACGTCGCAGTGAATAGACTGTAAGTTAGTTTTTCCCATAGCGACTATGGCACGCATGAGGATGATGTAGACTTTGTGCAAGAATTGCAGGTCAGAAGGTAGGTACGGAACCATGTCTTCCCGGTCTTGCTCATCCCCATCGAAGAATGATTCAGCAAGAGGTGGTATGCCTTCAACACAACTCGTTCTAAACATGGTTAGCGCAAGTTTCGAGACTGTGTCTATGGTCCTTACCTTATGGAGACGATGACGCAACATAGCCAAAGTCTGGCACGTTGCACCTTGAGCGATTGATCCTTCTCGAGTGGTGTCCTAGCAAAATCCTGGCCTACGCCTGCTATGTGAAGGCCAATTTGCGTTGCTAGATGTACTGCTGAACCGCACATGAGGTGTGTTGTATCTTTGTACATTGAGTTGGTAGGTAGTCGCCAGGTGCAAAGAATTAAAAGGCCTTGGATGATTGGAACTTGCGAGGTACGTAACGCCATTGAGGAAAATGCTAGTTGAGTGATGGGCTGACTTGTCCTTTCAAGGACTTCATGTTCAGAGTACCGCCGCGATCCCGTGACCACGATAGTCCAGAACAGGAAGGGCGATTGATCATAGTAATTATTGGGCCCTATTGATGGGTCCAAGATAGGGAACAGCGGATGGTATTGTGTGAAATAACTACGATGCTGTTAGTATACACCGAGAGAGATGTTTTGGGCTGACTGACATGGTGAAGCAATCGTCGATCCGTTTCGAATCGAGTAAGTAGCCGTCTATCACACGTGGTACCGTGCCGTGGTGATCGGAACCTTTTCGTGTCGGAGGCCTCGAGTCGAAAGCTGGGGACATTGAATCTGATGCATCAGTCCTTCCAGAAGGATCCGAATATGTGGCTGAAGCGTGTTCAAGTGGGGTGTAATTCTGCATATCGACGGTTGGTGAGGCCGTCGAGTGAGGGTAGTTTGCATCGCCAGGATTCTGCCCTTGTCTCATGTTCCATCGCAACTCCTCCAGCTCTCGTCGCATCTCTGCTTTGGTCTGGCGCAAATTCCTGGTTGATGTAGGGAGGATGCGACATTCCAGTCCCATCTTCTTGCAGCGCCCGCATGGGTCATGCGGTACCTTGTGCTGCTCGACATCACATCGAATCTGCAAAGAAGAGTATCAGTAAACGATTGATAGCATCGTCGGACATTGTCGCGTCCCATTGAGGTGGGGAAGTACCTTTTGCTGGCGGCATTCGACACATGCTTTCCGTCGTGGAGTGGTCATGCTGGCCTGATTCATCTAGTAGGTATCCACAGGGTGTTGGCGAGCCGCAAGCATAGACTATAGTAGTAATCCGCGTCTCAATCGGCGAAAAAAGGCATATAAGAAGGTAACAGGTAGGAACTTCGCCATCAGCTGAAGAACCACACTCGCGATTAGCACCTACGTCGTCATCAAGGCCTGTTGCAGCGGTGCGAATCGGATGGCGGGGGAATGGGACCGAGTATAGGACCGATGGTGATCCCTTTCTCAGCAAGCAGGTCTCAAAGTTTTTTTCTCAGCTTCCCTTGGCTTCTCGCCCTGTGCTAAATGATTCTCTTAATAATGTGCCATGCTAGACCAAGCTCGTGCGCAATGAGGCTAACAGGCTTTGTTGTCTGTGTGGAATGGCCTGCAAATCGACGACACGCGATTTTCACCCGTGCATGACCCACCCATCGCGCTAAGCCCTTTTGGCTAACGTGTTTTGCGTAATGTTGTCTGAGCGCTGCACCATTTGCATGGGGCGCCGCCATGTCATGTCGAGTGAACGCATCTCTCACGCTGTCACCCAAACAATCCATCTGTTGAGCACTCAAGCTTTTTGTGATCTCCGTGGCGCAGCCGTTTTGCCACACCTTGTCGGAGATGGATACGACGGGCCTTCTCTTCGCCGCTCCGCTCATCCTCAACCAACATTCGACCTTTGTTCCCTCAAACGTGTTTGGTGGGTCGAGTCAATGCAGTTGTACCTGATCCTCATCTTGGATGAGACGCCTTGCCTCGATGCGGCTTAGCATTCACGAAACGTCCTCAGTAGCTTCACTTCACGGGCGGGCACTATCCATCCGGTGTCGACGGCTCAGGTTAGCGATTAAAGTTCGTACGAAGCCTCTTGGCCAGGTATTCGAGACCGGCATTTCACACGTTGCGCCACATCGGTACGAATGCGACGTGAGTTATGCTGTGCCCATGACCTTGCGTCTGTGGCTTCGGCTCGATTCAGCCTCAAAAGCAATGAACGACAGCGGGATTTACTGACTCTAGCATCTTCACACGTGGACTTTGCAAGCTCACTCCTGCCTTGGCTGCCTGCACTTCCCAATGATCGTCCAACACATGACCGCTGTGCGCCAGCCGCTTGCTCGGAAAGGCAAAGTTGCATCGCTATCCCAACCAGCTCACGATACTCGTCTCGCTGTCCAAAACAGCTCATAACTTCACCGACTCTAAGCGTGCATGGCTCCCCTGATCCTGGCTATCTTCACTATCTCCACACACACACTGCTTCCTTCCTTCCATGCCTTCTAGCTCAGGGTCTCTCCGCAAGCCACATCGCCTCCGTAGGCAAGTCAAGCGTCCATCCAGGACCCTCCCATCCCCCCACCAGCTCCGCGGAAGTTACACATGCAGCGCAGATCACAACGGACTTGCAGATCAGCCACACCAAGTCGAACCTCGTGTTACAGATGGCCAATGGACGCGCAATTCCACTATCTTCTGCATATCACGTACCAAGAGTTAGCCGCACGCGACTGTGAAGGCGGAAGCATGTGCGGGGATGCCGGGGAGGATTCTCGGAATCAGGAAGTATCCATCCTCGATGCATTAGGTCGAAGCACAGCCCGTGTGGTGAAGACGCTCGGGCAGATACTGCTGCCTCTGCAATCTAAGCCCGCAACAAGAGCTGTATCGCAGACATGGATGCAGCTTGTGACCACGGAGATTTCTCATGACGTTGTCTAGCCACGTTCTTTTCTTTTCTTCTTCGGGACGGACACACGGAAGTCGGAAGATCGATCGAATCCACAATGTAGGGAACGGTACAACTTGCTTTTCCCCCAGTTCTGGGTTCACTACCTCGCCGTTCCTGGAGCTGTCGTGTGCCTACCGGAGAGAGGGGGGTGGCGTCCTGTCGACCGAGGAGAAACATAGATACGGATAGTTGTTGCCATGTAGTAGGAGAATACCGCAAGCCAATGCAAATACCTCTTCAGAACGTGTTCCAGTCTGTCTTGTACCAAGATTATAGCACACCAGCGATGGTGGAAATCTCCGCATGCGCTGTTGTCCGGACGTATAGATGTATCAGCTGCCACAGATTGACTTAGCGGCAGGAACGCTTGCTACTTATCCGGTGGCTCGACCAACCTTCCATAACACAAAAGAGGGAGTCCAACACCAGCGTCTCGAAATGGAAAATACTTCCCTCACCAGACGCCGCTGACTTCAAAACCCACTGGACCGATTCGCGAATGGGACTACCACATCCAACCAAGGAACGCAGGGTATCAGTGGTTGTATTTGATATAAATGAGCTCGGCGACGTGGACGTGGGCATGCAGCCATGACGAGTCCTTTTAAGGTTCAGCCCCTACGAGACGACAAGACAAACTTCATAGCCACTTAGCACATCGAACTTGGTCAAGCACTGAGAGTTAATCACGAACCAATCACCTCCGTGAGCTTGGGAATTCCAACATTATGCATTACAAAACATCACAAAGACATCAAACGATACACGATACTATCTCACGGCCGAACAATGGAGATAGCAGTTGTCAATCATCATCTCATGGCCCAAAAATAAAGATACAGGTTGTTGTTGATCGTAACAAGTTTGTTCATCGATATCAATCTAATCGTCGTTCCACGAAAGGCAAACGCTATGGTATAAGAATACAGTATAAAAAAGGGAAAAGTCGAGCAACTCCTTGACAGTGAGCATCCAGCTAAGTGTGCACTGTTCTCATATTCCGTCTCAATCAAGCACATCCCCATCTTCTTGTTTTACTTCATCTCCCATCTCAGCTCCTCTTACTCTTTACATCCTGAGTCCCCTGCGCATCTTCCTCGCCTTAGCAGCACCCGCACCGGCAGCAGCAACATCCTCAGGCCCACCATCAGGGTTTGTGACTGCACCTGGGAATCCAATGAGGCTGTTGAACTGATCCGCCAAAGCCTTGTTCCTATCTCCACCCTTAACAGCGGCAGCAGCACTTTCGCATGTGGCAACAGCGGCGTCGTTTGCCTCGCAGACATTGGTCAGTTGGTTGCAAAGAGCGTTGGTGATGATGTCGGGATTCAGGGCTTCTCCTTGACCGCCGCGAGCTAGGGGATCGGCGATCTGGAAGGTGAATTCGTCAGCTGCACGACCGTTCTCGCCGCCTTGGAAGGTTATGGTAGGTGTGCAGAGGCCGAAATCTTCACCTCCGGCTCCGGCTGCTCCTCCGGCTGCGTTGCCAGCATCAGCACCGGCGTTGGCATTGTTGTTATCGTTTCCTGCTGCGGCATCTTGCTGGTTGTTGTTCTGGTTGTTGGCGTTGTTACCGGCGTTGTTACCGGCGTTGTTACCAGCGTTGTTACCAGCGTTGTTACCAGCGTTGTTACCAGCGTTGTTACCAGCGTTGTTACCAGCGTTGTTGTTGCCGTTTTGCTGGTTGTTGTTGTTTTGGTTGTCGTTCTGGTTGTTGGTTGCGTTGTCATTGCCAGCGTTGCCGTTGTTATTGGCATTGTTGTTGTTACCAGCGTTAGCATTGTTGTTGTTACCAGCATTGGCATTCTGGTTGTTGTTGTTGTTGTTGTTGTTGTTGTTGTTGTTGTTGTTGTTGTTGGCATTGTTGGCATTGTTGTTACCAGCAGCGGCATCGTTACCAGCATTGTCAGTAGCGTTACCAGCGGCGGAACCTTGCTGTTGCTGGTTGTTGTTTGCGTTGCCGTTGTTAGCAGCGTTGCCAGCATTGCCATTCGCAGCGTTACCCGCGTTGCCATTACCGGCAGCCGCCTGGTTTCCACCTTGAGCAGCACCTCCCGCAGCAGCACCACCGGCAGAAGCCTGGCTGACAACGAGATCACCGAGACCAGCCTGGTCCATGAGATCAAAGACACTCAGGCCATCGGCAGCAAGAGGAGAAGCAGCACTGCTCTGGCTAAGGGCCGCAGCATCACCGTTGACATCAACATCGGGGTCGATGAGAGGGGTAATACCACGAAGCTCAGGAGTGACAGGGAGAGAAGCATCGCCACAGACGTTCTGGGCGTTACCGCCAGCGAAGGGGTTGGTGTTCTTCTCTGCGGTAACCATGCCAATAGCGGCAGTAAGGGCATCGGCACCTCCACCGAGTTCAGTGAAGATCTGGTCAGCACGGACGAGCTGTTTTACTCGTTAATCAGGAACTGGGGAAGTGGATGTTGTAGAGTGGAGAGACATACCTTGTCGCAAGAGTTTGCTCCACCAAGCAGGTCAGAGATGGCCGCACCAGCAATAGTAGAAGCAGCACCAGCGTCACCACCCTGAACACTGCTGATAGCATTGATAGGGACTTGCTCCTGACCGAAACGGGCCTCGACGTAGGCGATCATCGCCGCGATCATGAAAGTCTTGGAAACCATGTTTGCTGATGTGTGATTTGGAATCGACCGAAGAAAAAACGAAGTTGTAATGCGTTAAACGTTAATGTGGAAACGAGAGACTAGCTCTTTGGAAAAAGTGAGTAGTAATAGGGTAGATGTTAATATTGCCAACCTGGGCGAAAGAATGGAAAAAGTGCTGAAAAGCGAAAGGAAGAGTTTGCTGGATGCTACTGTTGACTTGTTGTTGTCGAAGTTGCTGGCCTTTGAAATGTGGGCGAGGTAACTCCGACTTATATATCACCTTTTCACTTGCCTCTCTCTCCAAGGAACATACATTCAAGCGCCGTAGCTGGGGTGATGCCACCAAGGATCACTTACACGTCTCAACCATGCGCCCAAGACCTGTATCCAGCCTTCGATCCGCCGCCCAGAACACAGCGGAGTCTAGTAAACGTGATGGAAAAATGACTGAGGGGTGTTCCCGCCAAGGCGTCATGCGCTCTTTGGCGTGCTGGAACGTATGATTGCCGGGCTGCGACTTCGCTACGCCTTAGTATCCGTCTGATAAGGCTCCCGTGCGGGGCATCGACTCAAGGGACTGACGTTACCGATGCCTTATGTTGGGGGTGTTGTGACGGCCTCAGTCGCGGTGGGGTTTCATGTGACTTTGCGACACGGAGCTACGCCTATAGCCGCCGTTGACGAACATCGCTTGACGGCGCCGATCATCAATGCGTTCTATCTTGAACTTCCATTCGAATTCTCAAAGACATGTTGCGATGCATGAGGAAACAGCAAGATCCGCGGGCGGAAACGCAATGCAAGGAAAATGCACGTAATGGTGGATATTGGACGGTGATATTGGGAAAGATGACGCGACCTGTCTGGCGCCAAATGCGATCAAAACAACCTGCTCAAAACACCAAGAAAATGCGCAGGAATTGAGAAATGAGTTGGGTAGATTCGTAATGCCTTCTGTCAACCGAAGATGCCATGAGGAGGCGACTGTTCGAGCCGCGCGTGTTACTCGTGGTCATGGCGACCCGTTTCGCACCTGCGCAAGGCAACACGGAAGCCCCAAGTCCAGCATTCCGTGAGTCGGTGAGATGATTCTCTTTGACCTGACCATGCATGCTTATAACGCCACGCTATATACTCACTAGGTCCTATCCAGCTTCCTCCGCAGCAATCTTGTCCTCTTCATAAGTTTCTTGTACTTGTGCTTCTTCATCTTGAGCTTCCGTTGCCTCTTTACACTAATCATGTACATGCCATATCGTCGTCGCGCAACGTGCTCGCGGAATGTGCTCGGCCGGTCTTGTTCCGAAGGTAGTGGGACTTCGGTTATGCGCTGGTTAATGCTAGCGGAGAGATCTTCGGCAGAGCGGGACTCGGACTCAGTCGCGCTATAGATTGGATCATTCAGATCAGGTGCCGGTGGTGGTTGGAAGGGAACAAGGCGGGCGGCCAAGTCCTCGATGTTCTCTTTTGTTGGCTGGAAATCGACATGGATGATGCGCTGTTCTGATTGTATTGCGTCGGCTCGCTGCTCCTCTTGCGCATCTATCTCGGCGTGCACGCGGTCCAAGAAGCCACTCAGAACATCTTTGGTGGCTTCCATTCTTTGGACGTCGTTTGCCCGGTTGACGTCGAAGAAGGCGTCGAATTCAGCGGTCGACGTCGAACTGGGGAAGGAGCGCGAGATGGAGATGGGGCGGTGGAGGCCGAAGAAGGCGGATAGCTTGACATCTGGTCCGTGTTAGCACGTGCATGGTGGTGTGTACCCCCGTAACAGTATACCGTCTTCCCGGAGGTGGTTTGTCGGTGGTACAAAGGGCACGTTGTTGCCTGTAGTAGCCGTCGAGGGCTCCTTCAGCTTCTTCGTCTCTTTGGACCTCCTCCCCGCACCCCGGAGCTCTGCCGTGGCATTCTGGTCCAACTCGGCGGGCTTCTTCTTGCTATTCGGGGGTGTTGACGGCTTCGAGGACGAGTAGCGCCGCTGGTGACTGGGTCGGAAGGGTTGTTGCGGCGCAGTGCTGGTGCTCAGCGCAGAGCGGGCGCAGCGGGTGAAGACAAACGAGTTGGCTGGCGCAGCAGCCAAAGTGTTTGCAGAGCGGGCGACTCTGCCAACAGCGGGCGAGAACATGGCCAGCTGGGTGGAGGGGTATTGGGGTATGACGATGGTGTTGATGAGGCTCAAGTCGGTCGGCTATCAGGACTTGCTGCAGGTCACCACGCGCCGATGTTTCCCCGATTGGCACTAGCACTGGCACTGGCACATGTCACGCTCACCTGCTTATCACTAGTCTGCTGTTCACTCTCACTGACATTCGATGCACCGCCTCTGCTATGTAGCATGTGCAACACGATTCACTCAACGTCTTGCTTGCGGTAGAGTCCTGTTTCTATCATCAGTCCCGTCCATAGTTTCCTGTATACCTCACAGCATAATGTGTTAAGTACTTTCCAACCCAGTATCTACCATGTCCTCTATGCCTTGGTGGCCACAGTTCTCTGTTGTCAACCACAGCAAACCGAGCATACGGCTCCGTCTTCATATCCTCAGTCAAATTTGAGTTGTACGGGCTGCAAATCGGAGGTTGCGGCTCTGGATGGGCAAGAACAAGGAGAATCTTCATGATAGACAACTTGGAAACGAACACGATACACTATAAAGGTTGTTTTCTTGTATTATCTAAGCAGACGTACATGTTAAAGTGCAAGTCCAGATCTTGTCAACGACCATCTTTATCCAGCATTCGAGAAGAAAGTGGAGTGAGCAACGACAGACGACGTATTAAGCTTTGGAAGCGGTTCACTCAACGATCATCAATGAAGTTGAGATCAGGATCTATTACGTATGGCTAATATCATGCGCATCGTCACTGAACCGCGGCCCGCTACTCTGTGATAGGCTAAAGGATATAACGATATAGTGTAGTAGACACTCTCTACCTAGATATCATCATACAGAAAGCGTATCACGGAGAAACTAGCTATTTTGGTAAAAACACGCACAACTCTGAGACAACTACTTACTTCGTCTGGCCTAGTCTACGGTCGAAGCGGCTTGTATGTGATGTTGCGGATCGAGTCTACATGGATCTACAGATGCTTTTTGTGCACTTGCAGTAGGCACGCACAGATACTTTGCACTTGCAGAGAACAAATGTCCACAACAGCATGGCAAGCACACTATCTCTGTCTCATATATCGTCTGGTCTTTTCCTCCTTGGAGCAAGCGAGCAAGGGATTGCCCCATCCTTACTACTTCACTTCGCGCACCCCTTCGACACCACCTTCAGTGACACCAACCTTAGACCCACTCCTACAACACTCTACGTAAAACCTCACGACTCAACCCTAAGCATCCAATATCCACTTGTGTCCACAACACACAATACTGCATCTTTACCTAAACATCTTAGTCCACACCTGCGTTTGCCCACCCACCCAACTTCTCCTCCCCCTCCCCCTCCCCCTCCCCCAACGCCACAAGTCCCAAGCCAAGCCCTCCCAGGCCTAGCCACACCTGCTCTCTTCCATGGATAGACCCTCCAATAAACACTGGAACGTTGCGAGTCAAACGCCGCTCGCTCGCGGAAAGAAAAGCGGCACGGACCGAAAAGGCGACTGGCCGACTTGTTAGGCTCTGTAGTCAACCACGCCGCAACCGCGCATGCATGGCGTTGCGTTGGGACCCTGCGGGATTTGCGGCACAACTATAATTCTCACACTAATTGAATGACTTCTTGGGTCGTCCTTCGCTTAGGGGAGGGAAGTTGGGTAAATAGAAGGGTAAATGTGGTGCAAGTTGCTGCATATCTTTCTTTGTAAACATGGTGCTGGGTAAGTAGGCTATGCAACCATACGGAGACTGAAAGGATTCGAAAATCGGACATTCGGACATTCGGAGTTGAGTAGATAGTTTGTGATATTAGACTGCATTAGCAAATTGTAACTTGCTCGCATCTCCTCTGCACGTCAAATGCCGTGTAATATACTCTCGTACATGACATTATCTGGCCCCAATCTGTAATCCTGCTGCTCTCAGCGAGCTACTAGGCAAGATACTCAGGTAGGTACAGAAAAGCCCCATTGGACGCTAGTTATCCAACCTCTGTATCTTCCAGCAGCCCAGGTTCAAGACATGCTCATCTCCTTAGATCTGCATACACTATTCAATCTACAAAATTGCGGATCCGCTTACTAGAAGAACCAAAAAAAGAAAAAGACCAAGATCAAGACTCAAAATCAAGACCCAGAGATTACGTCGTGAGATCGTCAAAGTATTGGCGAAGATGGAAGAAGTGGAGAAAGGGATATCAGGGGTATAAAATGGAATGGGCCGTGGAAATCGTCTCTCCTCGTCCACTCAAAGTCTGTTGCTACTCCGGGTCCGGCCAGGTGGACTATCCAGTTCTAGGGCAGGTGGGTCGATCGGCAGCGCGGGGTGGGTATGCGTCCCTGGCTTTCGCTTGGGCGAGCGAGCGAGCGAGCGCTCCTCCCTGCTGCGGGTGTAAGACCACGACAATGGCTCCGCGCAAGGCGTCCATCAGTGATTATTATAGTATCAGGGCGTTAAGGTTGCGCTGGACAATCATATCTTGTACGGATGCCATGGTGATCTTGAGCAGATTCGTGTCGGTCGCGTTCGTGTAGTGAACGTAGACCTCTTTCTTGGGCTGTCGCACGAGGTTGCGGAATTTGTTTGCGAAGAACTCTTTGCCTGCCTCGACATCTCTGTCGCCGCCAGTGTAGTCGGAGAATGTCCTTCTGATCGGGCTCATTCCGCCTGCAATCTTCTCGGTGAACAAATCGATCTTGTTGAGGAAGAGAATAAGCGCCGACTTTTCGAAGTACTTGGAGTTGGATATGGATTCGAACAGCATCAGAGCTTCGTGCATTTGATTCTAATCTTGTTAGTGGGCGTACGGCTATACGTTTCAGGAAGATAACTTACGCCGTTCCTGTCTTCTACCAACACGTGGTCGTATCCACTGATGGCGACAAGGAAGAGCACGACTTGCACGTTGTCAAAGACGTGAATCCACTTCTTTCGCTCTGAGCGCTGGCCACCAACGTCGACCATCTTGTATGTCAGGTTGCCCAGCTCAAAGATGGTCTCGGAGATACCGGTTGTCCGTAATCGCGTGCGCAGGATGTCTTGGTCGGTGGGGAGGAAGTCCTTTTGGAACAGGCGGTCGATGTTCTGGAAGAAGCTGAGACTGTTAGTCGGGGTAGTCGAGTAGGCCATACATGACGTACTAATTCAAGTTGTCGTGCAGCGCATACTGGTTGCCCTTGAGTATGGTGAGCTGCACGCCCTTGTCGGCCCAGAGGGAATTGAAGGCTGTGTAGAACTCCTCGGGCATGGGCTCCTCGGTGCCAATGTCGGGCGCAGAGTTGACCATCTCGGAATACCGCTGCGATTTGTTAGCATTGTTCTTGGGCAGGCGACGGCTGAGCGTACAATGTTGTCGTCGTCCTCAAAGTCTATGTCGTCTTCTTGCATGGCCGCGTAGATGGTCTGGAAGGCCGAGACCAAGTTGTTGAAGATGGTAGCCCGCCATGTTTTGCGCTCAAGACTCTGGAAGCCGCCAGCGTTGATGATGCGCATCTGCTTGAGGACGGTTGATTTGCCGCTCTCACCGGCACCTGCACTCTTGTCTCAGTCACGCTGCATCACCGGATTCCTAATTGACATGCATACCGAGTAGCAACAGCTTCACCTCGCGCTCAGCCCGCTTCCGGTCGCCTCGGAGATTCTTCTCGATCTCGGCATTCTTCCTGGACTCCGGGTCGGTAGCAGAGGGTTTTCGTCCGAAGCACATTATTGCCGGTGCCATGTAATGGCAGAGAGTGACGTGGTAGAGAAAGCTAGAGGCAGCTGTGATGGAGAGGAGGAAGTCGCGACACGCTAGAGATGGGCTACGAGCATACACGGAGTCCTGTAGCGAAGTTGCAGTCGAGGCCTACTTCTGGTGTCAGCTATGGTCTTAGCCTGCGTGACTCGCGTATGGTAATTGGAATGAAGGAGGGTGACGCTACCGGATGTCGGGAGGGGGTGCAGTCAACTGGTGTTGTGGAGGGTGCTAGTGAGGGCAACTAGGCAATGGGGTGCGCGACAGAACGAGGGACGAAGAAGCAAAAAGTCTATGTCAATGAACAGGCACAGCAAACGAGACACTATGCACGACTAAGAAGCTAAGAAGACGACAGAAACAGCCGGGACGGTATGGGACTGGTCTAAGAAATAACGTGCCCAGGTGCTTTGCCGAAGAATCCCTGATCTGCACCGTTCGCGGACCCAGCTGGGCGGGCAGGGTGATATTAAATGTCTTTCCCGCGACACGGCAGCCAAGGGCAGGTCGAGCGTGCGCAGGCCCGACGCGTTCGGATGTCCATCCTGCTTTGGGCTGCGATCTGCAGCAGCAACGTGATGGTCGACGTGAAAGCCACGAGACGGCAAGTTGGCGTGACGATCGATTCCCGCTGCATCCAAGTCTATTACACGACTACTCCCCCGGCTAGGAAGCCTGCTGCCGTCGCATTGAAACATGACTAGAATTTCACTCCCCAACCTGATGCTTCGGACCTCTACCGGTGCCTCAACGTTTCACTGGTCCGCGGTAGGGGGGCATGCCGATATTGTACGCTGCTAGCAGGGCACCAGGCGAGTACAACATGGCTAGCCGTTTCTACCGGCTCGTGCTCTGCAACGCCAGCTTTTGCCTGCCTTCTCCTCAGAATCCTTCATGCTTCCATGTCGACTTGGACGCAGATGCTGCAGGGCAGGCGAGTAGATGCCTAGGTACAGCTTAAGCTGTGTTTCAGGCACTGAATGGCGGCTCTTTCCGCAACCATACCTCCGAAAGTGGACCCACCCCAACCCTCCAATGCTTGTCCAAGACGCCACGATTCGGCCGTTCTCCCCAGCTGCGTGTGATCGTGCCTCTGCACTGAGTCTGCTGTACGGCCCTATTCACCTCAACTTTACCAGTCTCGCCTCAAGGTAACATTCTCCAAACCCCCACTCGCATGGTTCAACCGGCCGTTCCCCATGCGCAGGTGGATAAATAGCCAGGAGCCCCCTAATCGACCCACTGCAACACATTCCACGAGCCTCACCAAAACCACAGTGAACTAGCTCCGTTCCAACACTCCTCAAAGGGGTGGACCGTGTTTTGCGCGGGTATCCGGGAGCCTGAGTGTCTGGAACTTGCGTGTCCCACCTTGAATCGACTCGATGAAGACCAAAAATATGCCTTCTGCACGCCTGCCACGACAAACTGCAATCGACCCTGACCCATCTCGAACCGAGGTGACCGTCACACAGTAAACGTCGAATGGGAACCTGACCCGTCTTCCTGGTTTGACAGGCGAGCTTCATGACGCGCCTTTTGCTTTTTGTGCTCAGCCCAGTAACCGAGGCTTAAGCCGTGTCTTGCCACCAGCTCTGTCAGCACTTTTTGTTTCTTTGAGGGGAAGTTGATCGTATTTCAAGTTAGCCATGGTGCTATTCCGTGTTGGGTTCCACATGCAGCTTGGCGGGTTGTGGAGACGACAAGGTAAAGTCCTGGAGGGGACTGCACATCTTGCTCTCTCCACAAGTCAAACCTCCCCAGTCAGCGTTTTGTGATTTGCAATCTGGTCATACCTGCTTGATAACATGCGATAACTACATCTAAAGGATTGCCGCCACCACCAATGGATACCTGAAGCTGAGCGCATCTGGTGGTGCCATCAGTTGGCTGCTTCAAGAACGAGGAGAGTCGTTGTTTACATCTCTTATTCCCGAGGTCAATTTCCACATTTTCATCAGCATTCATGTCTCGCTCTCTTTTGATTCCTGCTACTTCCTCTATTGTTTTAAATTCTTCATTTTCCGGCCTGGCTGGTAGTCAGGCATACTATCAGCATCATAAATTTCCGCGACAATATGCTCTCATTAATGTCTGTTATTACCAACTTCGTGGCCTCAATATGGACAGGTCTTTTTGACAGCTGTGAGGCTGAAAAAAGGTAACGGCAGTCTCACCTGTCACATGCTCTCCTAGCACATGGCAAGTTGTGAGATAGTAGTTGATACATGTGTTCCTTTGATCGTCACTTCACCGTGAGGAAACATGTTTTTGATTAGGCCACGTCTGTCGGCGTCTCTCTCACCAACTCGCTTAAGTGGTGAGAGCACCTACCTGAGTTGCTGCCGTGATGCGAAGCGCGACTGCCCTCCATTTTCTATCAACAAAACCTTCGTCAGCTTCACCCCACCAACAACAAGACCGCACTCCGAAGCTGCAAACTGAGCCGTACCAAACTCTTGCGATTCTCTATCGTCCATCGTAAGTCATAGATCAGCTATCCAGGCATGTCATCCGTGGAGTGTAGCACGGTAGGCTCTGGCTGACCGTTGTGTGTAGCAATACGTCCAATAATGGCGTCTGCACAGTCTTACAGCGGCCCGATTTCCCTCGGACACTCCAAGTATGCTGATCCTTTGCGGAGGAAAGCAGCATTGGCCGCATCCGCATCCGTCGCTGCCGTTCCCACTGCCGATACCGCCATGGCCACCAAAGAGCAGATCGCCGCGTTAAAGACCGGCCATGTCGCTCTCGACGTAGCTCATCACAACGCCGATGCACAACTCGCCATTTCCCAGGGTAACGTCTTAAAGGAGGAAGTTGCCAAACACGCCAAAAAAATCTCCAGAACTGTCTCAACCACTGTCACCAACACGCGCCGACTGCTAGAGCTGATCCGTGAAGCGTTGCCAGATGCGAACACTTCGACTCTCAACGACCTCTGGGATGAGTTGGAACAGCTTTTTGCTGCGGCAAATGAGGCCAAGGAAGCGTTGCCCGCATTCCTTGAGAAACAGCGCGACAACATGAGCTTGTACCACAGCTCAATGGTGAACGAGGCCATCAAAGACACACAAGATGAACTGAATATTCAGCATAAGAAGGTCAGCGATACTCAGAAGACTCTTTGTATCTGTGAGAGATCGACTAACGTCATACACAACATAGGTCAACATCCAGCACAATCTCATTCTTGAGCACCAAGAGGCTTTCCTTGCGTACAAGGAGCAGACCTCCAGCAAGCTCAAGGAGCTCGAAGACCTCCAGGAGCGCGTTTCACGTCTCACACTCGAGAAGGGCAACTTCCGTACGGAGATCGACAAATACATGCAGCTGTTGGAGGAGGAGCGCTCAACGAAGGCTGAAGATCTCCGCAAAGTGACCGGTATAGAGAAGGAGCTTGAGACTCTTGTAGACTCCAAGAAGCAGCTTCTCGCTGAGAGCGACACCCTGCGCAAAGCTCTCCAAGACGTTCAGACTAAGATGAAGTCTTCAGAGCAGGAGATTACTGATCGATTCACTACCCAGCTGAAATCGACTGCCGACCTATTGGCAAAGGAAACTCAAAAGACAACCGCTTTGAACACCATGATCAGCCAGCTGAAGGGAGGCGAGAGCACTGCCAGGCTCGATGCTGATAAGTCCAAGAAAGAGAACAAGGTGTTGAATGAGAAGTACGCCCACCAGGCGGCTGAGCATGCACAGACCTTTACGGTAAGTAATGTTGCTATAGCAAGTCTAACAAACCATACTAACGTATTCGTAGAAACTCAACGAGCAAACCAAGCAAATTGAAGGCCTGAAGATTGATCTCGAACGTCACCAGAAGGAGAATGTCGAGCTGCAGCAGCGCCTCATCAAGCTTGCCAACCTCGAGGAACAGATTACTGGGCTCAGCCAAGAGAAATCAACCTTGTCCGAACAAGTAAGCAGTCTCAGTGCTGAATTGGACGCTAGCAAGAACGAGGAGAGCAAGGCCAACACCAAGGTAGAGGGTCTTCTGAAGAAAGTTGAAGATTTAGACCAGGAAGTTGAGCAGTTAGAATCAGCTCACAACAAACTCCTCAACAAGATGAAAGAGAACAGGATGGCTGTCCAGACATCGGAGCTTCTCAAGAGTGAGAACACCAAACTCAAGGCAATGATCGAAGAGCTCAAGGCTTCCAAGAGCACTTCATCTGCCGTAGGCGGCTCTTCGTCTCCAAACGATGAGGAGACAATTCGTGGTCAAGATAAGAAGATTGAGGATCTCGAAATCGCTCTACAGGAGTGGACTGATTTGGCCAAGGTAAGCAGCCGGTCAGCAAACGATTATCAACTAATACTGACTTGCTATATAGCGCTCTTATAAGGAGTACAAGGAAATGCTTCCCACCTACAAGAAGGCTGATCAGTTGCGCCGAGACGTCGTTGAGAGGGACGCGACTATCAACAAGCTGGAACTGGAGCTTGCTGAAGCCAAAGTCTCCAAGACCAACGGCGTAGGATCTGGTGTTAGTGGTGGTAACGATGTCCGCTACTGGAAGCAGAAGTACGAGACACTTCTGCTCTCCGTTGGTAACTAGATGTGAGGGCGTTTCGGTCCTCTGAGAACATGGGTGATGAACTTGCTACAATAAAGCGGGCGATAAGACGTGATTGATGAAGGCTGTTCCTGAAATAGTGTCATCGAACATAGCTGCTAGAAACCAATGCATGCCTTCCAGCCTTTCTGTTCTCCATTGCAAGTTACCCTTGTCTATATTGCACTAGTCTGTGCATACCTTAGTGCAATAGGAATGTCGGAAGGACGTGGAATTGCTAACATAGTCGAGCTTACGTGAGTCTCAATTGAGCGAGAGTCTTGAGTAGCGAGTAGCGATACGAAAGTCTTTCTGAATGCGCAGGGGCAGGTTTGGTTCCGCGGTGGGGTTCACGTCTCCAGTTCGATTACGTCGCACCCCCAAAAAGCCTTCCGTGGGTTCATCTGCAGCGGATGCGGCCATTTTAGGAGCCACGTTAGCGTAAATGTGGGACATTCTGGACGATTCTTCAGCCCAGTCGCCCACATCGTCTTGTACAATACAAATTAAACCTATCCACGAAAAGCCCAGACCCAGTCAGGGAGTTACAATGATCGTGTCCTAGAAGGTTTTAGGGATGTTTTCCAATATATGGATTTCAAGTGCTGCTTGCGGATATGTATTCGGGTCACACAAAGATTTGCAATGTTCGGATTTCTCCAGCAGTGCGATAGCATAGCGTATGGCACATCCAGCAACAGAAGTCTCAGGTTTCACGGAGACAAACACATTTAGAATTTCTCGCGTCTATGAGTCGTTTGTGTAATTTGAGCCGAGAAGAGGTGCGGGTCTGGCACAAGGGTGATTATTTTGGTAGTCGTGCAACCAGCTCCTCAATCGAAGAAAGCACATATCAGAATCTGATTCTGGTACAATGTGCGGTCTTTAGCCAACCCATAAAACTGAGTCAGAACGAATGTAAGTCTTAGCGCCAAGCGACCCTCAGGTAGAACCGAGAGAAGAGGACGCTCTCTGTATGTTAAATTGCCTCCGTCCTGTTGTTGTCAACTTATAGACTGTCATATTGCGAAGATATCGTACGTTGAGTAGAATAATACATCTCGTCATTAGTGTCTCTACCACTGATGCGAACAACAGGGTTTCCATGAGTCGATACACTAACCCGCATGCCACCAAGAAACTTGCTTTGAAGGGCTCTTTCACCTTCAACCATCTGAAGACCACGATATAGAAACTTACAGGAGATGCAGCCAGCTCTTAAACATCGAGATACAGTGCTTATGGCAACATAGCGCTTGACGTTAATTTCGGTGGACGTTTTGAAGTTGAGCCCATTGTTTTAATGCGCATCATAGCTGGTTCCATATTCCTCACCATCGTCTTCGATTAGGTCAAAACTCCAGCGTCCGTCAATCTGAAGCAGATCGTAATTCAGCTCATCCTCCTCAGGCAACACATCGTGACTGAACACATTTTTTCGTCGCACATAGACCTTGGGTCCTGGTCTAATCCAAATTGCATTCGTTCGGTATGGATACATCTCGAATGGACGTTATGCTAGCCGTGGCTATCATTACCAATCTCGGTAACGAGTCGGAGGTATTGACGATCGCGTCGGGCCGATCGCGTGAACAGATATTTCGAGTCGGCGGGACGTGAGTTGCAAGAGAAGCTGTGAAGCCGAAGGATTGAGCTTGAGAGTGCAAAATGACAAGCGAGTCCAGGGGCCATGCGGGGGTCTGACACCAGATGATTAGCGTGCTTATTCGCGTCGACAAATATAGCTATCTGAACCATCCACCTACCTCTTCGGATCCTATCTCGATAGATGACAATCCCATACTTAGCTTTCAAGGTCGACGGGAGTTGTAAAGTATGAGGTCGATCAGGTGCAATTAAAGTCAAGGACAACCCAAGATGCAGGTGCCTTCCATCGCACTTTCACAAGCCAATATATCCAAAGGCCGATTCCGTATTCGGATACATTCTGCGAAACTCCTGCAGTCAGCTTACACACTAAACACCACCCTTTTGCAAAGATTGATAAGAAGACCTAGGTAAGTATATAACAATATGATTGCCGGTATCTACCTAGGTCACGAATTCATCAAACTCGTGCCGTTGAGAATAGTCTACTACTGTCGACTCGATTTTAAGCTTCGCACAAATCCACATCAGCTCTCAGAATGAGCAACCGAGCTGCATTTTTGGAAACTGCAAAGGGTGAATTTCGCGTCTGCGATGCTGATCTAGCAGAGCCAGGAGAGGGCGAGGTACTTGTCAAGGTTCACGCCTGCGCCATACAACCAGCAGATGCAAAATGTGCGAAGTTCTCAATGATCCCTGTAGAATATCCTGCAGTCCTCGGTAGTCCTGTTGCAGGTGTTGTGGAGGGTATCGGACCCGGCGTGAGCAATGTCACCATTGGCGATCGGATAGTGTGCGGCACAAAGATCTTCTCGCACAAGAAGGCTAAGTACGGTGGCCTGCAGCGCTTCACCATCGTTGATGAGTCTGAAGTCGTTGAAGTAAGTGGACTGAGCCTGATCAGACCGTTTCTTTGCTAAGCATCATGCCAGATTGGCGACACTGAGTTCACCCAAGCTGTAACTCTGGCTTCGTACACGCCTCCAGGAGCCTTGTTCGCCACATCAACACTGAACATGCATCGCCCCACTATACCAGCCTCTTCGCTGCCGGAAGGCGAACAGGAAAAGAAGATTCTTATCTGGGGAGGATCTTCCGCTATGGGATCTCTATCCATCTCCTACGCGAAAACAGCCGGATACACCGTCATCAGTACAAGTTCACCACACAATTTTGATCTTCTCCACGACTGTGGTGCAGACTATGTCTTCGACCACAGCGACCCAGCAACCGTTGGTGCAATCCGCGATCTCTTTCCTATTCATTACTGGTTTGATACCATCGCACTCAAGCCCTCACTATCCACTCTTGTCAAGATACTCGCCCCAGTAGACGAGCCAGTTACGAAGGCAAACATCCTTACCTTACTGCCGCTGGTTATGACGGGTATGAAGGCAGAAGACTTCCCCGAAGGGATTACGACGCAATTTCATCGTTTCTCTACGCATGCACCGGAGAATGTAGAGTGGCATGAGTATTTCCTCGCGCGTGGCGGGTTTCTGGAAAAAGCTATCAAGAATGGAGTACTAAAGGGTGTTCCAGCGGAAGTCATCGGCGGCTTGGACAACGTCGCCGAGGGTATCGAGAAATTGCACAGCGGAGTCAGCGGCAAGAAGATTGTTGTCCAACCATGGGTGTGATAAACGGCTTATGCCCTTCGCTGCATTGACAACTGTACGCCCTGAAAGCATGCTACATGCCTAGAAAAAATGACAAATTGCAAAAGCCGGAAGACGGAAAGAACATCTCAAGAAGCTGACAGGAAAACAGGATGAGAGCAAGGGACAGATTAGGACTGGATCGCGGAACAATAAGTTCCATTATACACACTGTAGTCTTCCCTTCAAGCCTCGGGTGTGGAGGAATCTTGCATACTTCCGATTGTAATTTCCCTGCCATTAGGATCAGTATTAGGCACACTTTTGAGCTTGCTGTAGTGTTCTGATCCGACCTCCGCTAATCGCGTGTTTACATCCGATGTAGATTTGAAAGCATGCCTTGAAATTGGGACGCTGAACTGAGAAAGGAGAAGGGAGGTGTTCGTGGCACGCCCGACACGATGACGTCCATGTTCATGCCTTCGGATATGCCTTACCCGTTTGGAAATAGCGCATCGGTTGTTGAACTTGGCATCTGTCAACTTGAAACAGGCCTCTCTCCCCCTTCCTCGCGACCCCTTCCTCGCGTTTTATCGAATTCGCGTTCAGCACTGCCAAAATATCCCAACAGCAAAGTCTGCGCGCTGGGGATGCTGGTCATTACTGGACGGCATAACTGCGGTATTCCTGGGGGCTTCCCATCCCTTACCATCCGCTCGGCGCAGCTGGCATCGTGATGCAATGCGTCGATTTAATTTCGAGCCGCTCCAGGGATTACTTGGGATTGCGAATTCTCCGCCAGTACACAGTTGCAGTGGCGTATCCGGCACTTGGCCAGTTCGCAGCAACGCCCGCACGCCTTTGCGATGTATACACGGCATTCTCCATGTTTCGCATATCTGTGAAACCTTGTCATACCGCGTGGCAGTAGCTATGGCCAACGCTGATCTATATGTCAAAACATCGCTTAAAGACCTTACGAACAGTTTCTGTTTCTTCTTCCAACGGGTCTAAACAACGGGGAGCTTCCGCGTCAGCCCACGCCATGTGCGCCTCATCAGCTAGTTTCTATTTCAGTTAGTAAATACGGCCTTCCCCAGGATCCATCGGATTTCACAGCTGTTATCGTGTGACGCCGCCCGAGGCTTGACTACTACCGGGATAGTGGTTCCACCAATCGTCCTTCTGGATGGGACTCATTTCAAAACCTCCGAGTCTGGAATCTCAAGCAGATTGATGTTGGCTGGGCTGTGATCAGTACTAACAACAGGAAATCCGTGTAATCCTTGCACGGGGATGTGCAAAGGTTGATCTAGCTGTGCCGCTTCGCACTTTACGGCGCTTCTTGTCTGTCGTTCCTTCTCTTCACCACCCCGGTCATCCAGTGCAGAGTGCCGGAGCATTCGTTCGTTCGTTCTTTAAACTTTGTAGGTGTTCGACTACATCACGCTCTTTTTGGTTTTTCTTCATTTCGCTTCTATGCCGTATCCCGTTCCGACCGCTGGGTAAAAGATGATCTCCCGTCGAAACCACGATGATTCTGGTCACCATTACGTGGATCCTTCACTTCAGCTGAACATTGGACTATGGACACTCTTCGCTGGCGCATCGCTCTTCCTCGCGCTTCGGATATGGATCAAGATCACTCGTCGCCATGGTCTCTGGTGGGATGATCATATTCTCCTTATCTCATGGGTAAGCATATGTACTGTCTATAGATGACGGTAGCTGACGGTGTTATAGGTCATACTAGCTGTCAACAACTCCATAATAACCACCGAGTTCGCCACGGGCTATGTGGCAGACAAATGGGACGATCGCATGCACATACTCATCAACATTACTTCCTGTGGAACCCTGATCAACCAATCCCTCACGAAATCGGCTTTCGCTGTCACTCTACTGAAGCTGACAAAGAACTGGGGTCAATGGATACTATGGTTCATCATCGGCAGTATGAATGCTTACATGGTGGCCAAGGTCGTTCTACAATGGGCGAAGATCTGCGAGAAGCCATCCTACGACGTCTGGTACCGCCTCGACTTTTGCCTCGACGGGAAATTCAGAGACGATTTCAAGGAAGGTGGCAATGTTTACAACATCATCATGGACTTTATACTCGCTGTCTTCCCCTGGGTCATCACATGGAACCTCGACATGCGCAGAGTGGAAAAGGTTGGGCTTTGCGTTGCTATGAGTCTGGTACGTTGTTGTTAGTTCAGTCTCAAAACACAATCACTAATTTTCGGATAGGGAATGTTGGTCGCAGTCGTTTCCGCTGTACGTACAGGTTGGAAAGACGAAGGCAACGAGAAGGACGAGTGGTACTTTTGGCGCAACGCGCACTCCAACATCTGGTATTCCTCTGAGATCGTCGGCACCATCATTGTTCAGTGTATACCTGTCTTGAGACCTCTTTTGCGGGACATCAAGACTTCTCTTACTTCAAAGAAGCTTGCGTCCACTGCAGAAGGGACACAACGACGCAGCCGGTACGTCTTTACTCGCTGCTTTCATCATCGCAGAATCACTAATATCACACAGAGTCCCATCTCTCTTCGGTTTCGGTTTCGGCCCTGGCCCGACCATCGGCACTAAATCTACACACAAAGCGCACATCTACTCCAATGGACGAACTACTGTTGACACGAAAAGCGAGGCCTATCCCGACTCGTGGGACACTCAGGGTATCTACCAGAAGAGGGAGTTTGAGCTAACTACTATGGAGGTCAAAGCGCAGAAGAACCAAGAAATGGTGTAGCTAGTAACAGACATTTCCGCTATAAACGGCCCTTTAGTACTGGCTGAGATAGAGAATGGAGACGCTTCGCTGCGATCGATATGAGCGCCACGTGCACTGAAGTGATCTCGGCCATATAGGTGCTACGACTCATTTAGAGATTGGGCGGCGATGCCCATTGATTCAGTGCGGATTTCGTGCTATCTCGCATAGACTAGTATGGTATGATCAGAGGACGATCACAATCTTGGTAATACCAAAACGGTGACATCAAACCATAATGGGAACAGGAGCAACACGTTGGATATAGCGATTGACTCTCGCGATCGGATTATTCCATACTCTGTCATTCGTTACGTCTTTGCAGCCGAACGTCTCTCCCCCATTTCATGAAGAAGAGGTTATTTGTGGGGTATATATTCAAGGAAGAGATGATATTTCAGTGACATTGATGATCTACAACGTCGTTGAACCTCGCAAGACACGGGCTAGCTATTATATCGCATCCTGACTTATCAACTTGCTCCCCTTGGACCTGCTTGGGATAGAACCTAACCTTCTCATGTGGTAAGCTTCTAGTTCGAAGAAACTCAGAACTTTATAGCGCCATACCTAGAGAACAGACATTGATGCATACGAATATCATCCCAACCTTCTCTTTTCGTCATCCCAGTCCTTGTAGCACATCTTCGCGAACACCCATATTCCCCGTCATCTGATACTCCTGACCAGCTCCCTCAGATCTCCACCTTCTACCCACTTCTCCTCGCCACCACCGCCAACACCCAATCCACCACCGCCTCCTCCACTAACACCCCACCCCTCCCCTACATCACCTATTACCCTCGCCGGCTGGCCCCCAACCACAGATCCCGACGCGATTACCATATTCGGTGGCACGACAGTATGCGGCAGTATCTTGACGTTCTCCTTAATGATGGCAAAAGCACCGATACTGCAGTGCTGGCCAATATGCACATGTGAGGAAATGGAGATAGCTTGTATAGTCGAGTTTGGTCCTGCGCAACTTGTTCAGCTCAGCCGTTCGCAAGACTTACCCCATCTTAGACGAGACGCAGCAAGTAAAAATTAGAAGAATGATGTCAACATACCAACAAAAACATTGTCTCCAATCTTCATAGGGTAATAATGCACCTGGCCTCTGCTGATCCGACTTGGTGGCTTAATCACGCTTCCCTGGCTAATCACCGTACACCGCCCGATACTGATGCTAGTCGGTGTTACATCTTTCCCCGAAGAAGAGGGTGCAGAGCGAGTAGGGTGAAGGTCGCCACGCAGTTGAACGTCTGCCATAATGACGGTGCGGCCTCCTAGTGTGATGTTGGCTGTTCCGGTGATGGCGCTTCGCCTCGAAACTTTGTTGCCAGAGTCCTGTGGAGAGGAGTTAGTATAAGACAATTTATACGCTATGCGATCATCAGAAATCGACGCAGTGAAGGTGGTGGTGACGGCGAAGAGCAAAGAGTACGTGGGATAGTTGTTGATGTCAATTGTTTATGAGGAGGTAGACATACGGTCTCAATGTATTCCCCCTTAGGTGCGGCTTTCCGCGCTGCTGGCCGTGACATCTTCACAATGAACACCGTGGACTTGTTTGCTGCACTGGTTTCTAATCAAAGTTGATGACAAGTGAGCTGTTTAGACGGTACTGCGATTGTGGTTGTCGTGAAGGATGAGTGAGATCGGAAGGTCTACGCGACCCAAGCTCCAAAATTAGCCAATCAACGCGTCGCGCGCCTTTGAGCACACCTCACGGCAAGTAGTCGCGAACGATGTTTCTTACACCTCATCCTTCGCTGAGACAAAACTTGCGATGGAGAGGGTGTTACTATTACGGAGTCGAGAAATGGGTTCTGACCTCCAGTTGTCGCGGTTAGTCAGCGCGCAGTCCATCAAGCCAACCGCATGCCGAAGAACTACCCAAATCTCGCGCACACAATACCTACACTGCGTACGTACGTAAAGCAGCGAACATCTGCCTTCCAAGCATACACGAATTTCCCTATTTCATGCCTTCATCATCCAAATCAATCTAATCCTGCGCTACCCATCAATACCCACTCCGCTTCTGCGCCCTATTGCCACGCAACCCATCGGCCCTACCCACACCCACGATGGAACATCAAGAGACGTACCAAGCCGGCCTCTCAATCCAGGAACAGCGCGGTCCTCCATTTCTTCCCCAAACCCTGACCCTGTTCCCCACCATCCCAAAAGCTATTCCAGTCCCATGATCGGCCATTCTAATCCGGAGAAGACTCCGATGTACATGCGGCGGCGGCGGCGTCTCTCAGATCGACCATCCGAGCGCATCCGCGGGCGTCCGTAAAAGGCGCTGAATGTCAAGCCTTGCGAATGCAACTGTCTCGGACACGCGTTGCCGATTGGAACCAGGCGATTAGTTGGGTTAGGTTCGATCTACATACGAGCGGTTTTTTCTCTCTCAATGTTAATTTGGTTGTCATCATTTGGGTTAAGTGAGTGAGGCTGTGAGGCTTAGGCTGGAATGGTGATGGTAACGGAGTGGTTGGCCGATCTAGAGGACTAATTGTAATCTGTACACGTGCAGTGGGAGAGTTTGGGTTTGTAGTTCATTGCTTTGAGTTGGAGAAATCGGGGATGGAAGAAGCAATTTGATTTAACGGGTATCCGATCTGGCTGTACCACGTAAATGGGCTCCAGATCTGATTTTTGCTCAGGTGGCTTTTAACTATGTTTAGGTTCAAACGGCGTCGCCGCGTTGCAGTAAAAAGATCTGGTTCGAGAACGACGCCAGACGCTATGGTCGCCAGCCACCCGCTAGCGGGACGGTGTAAAACGTCTGGGGGGCGTGCACGTGGTATTGAGCGTATGGCGGAGAAGCGTTGTCTGAAGCACCAGTGACACGTCACGGAGAGACCAAGCGTGGAGAAGGCATGCAAGGAGTGATGTATGTTTTCTCATTAGTCTGTAGCGACTTTCTCCTGGCTGCGTGATCAAAATTGACTTTTTGACCCATTGTCCCTGATGCGCCACCCATACCCTATAACCGAATCCCAAGTTCTCGTAAGGATTGTTCGTAGCATCGTTTCTTAGTGCAGTACAACCCTCACCGCTTGCGCCGCTATTGCTCGCCAGCCGTGCGACTCCATAGATAGCACCATTTATACAGAAAAGTTCTCCATAGTGACCCGGAAGATCCAAAATAAAGTGAAGCGCCGCGCATCCTGTGCAAACGCCCAAAAGTAAGGAAAAGGAATAGCAGCGTTGATAACGATGCGGTCAAGACAGAGTAGACACTGTCGTATCTGCACGCATCCAAAAGATTACTCACATTGGAATAATGTTCCGAGAGACGCGCAGCTGCGAGTACCGCTGAGCCACAAAGGCAATGCAGCCAATCCAGAGTGAGGAAGTAAGCTATACAAGAAGTCCGGCAAAGAAATGAGGCTGTGGTCGTCGGTGGAAACCCCATTACGAAAACCGACAGCTGAAGGAAGCGTGGTACTGTACAGGTCCAGAACGATTGGATATTTACTGTATGTGAAGCGAGTTTTCTGCACGCTGGCTGATATGGTGGGCGTGCGATTCGAGTGCGCGGGCTTGAACATGCGTGACTAAGATATTATTAGCAGGTATATAAGCCTTTCGAGGTGATAAACTTACCAGGCCAAACAGCCGCCTTTGACAGCATGTAAGCCGTCACCATCAGCAACTTTGTACCATAACCGCAATGCCCGAGGTTGGAAAGACCACCAAGCATCGGTAGGTTGTTGGAAGAGATGTCATAAGCTAGCTTCATGTCCGCGTGATGAAGGATGTCGGAAATCTTCTGTAGTAACTTGATGTCCTCCTCTTCAAGCAATACAACCGCTGGCACGCTCGAGAAATCAATCTCGTCTCTGCCAAGCACACCCATGTGACGACCAACACGATCTTGAACAGTTGCAACCCACTCAGCAAGGACCTGGGCGCAGTCGAAGGTACACAATGCGGATGAGTTGGGTAGTTCCCGAGCTGTGAAGTCGGCATAAGAAGCGCCTAATTTGTCGGCCATGGAAAGGGAGTCAGCAGCGTAGAAAGCTGCCTTTCGGAGATGTCTCTCTCGTTTTGAAGACTGTGAGTTGGAGAAACCATTTGCATGCCCGGGGCTAATGTGATCCTGCGAACCCATCTGGCCGGGAGAACCTCCATTGATATCCATAGATGCAAACCTCTCCGGCGTCCCGTCAGCTTGACCAACAATGTCGATGCCTCTGGCGAGTTCATTCGCCATTCCATCGAAATCACGTTGCCACAAAAGCTCCTTAGCGCGGCCAAGGTTCACAAAAAGTCTGACATAGGCCAAGTCCAGTAGTGGTATGCAGTCAGCGGAAAGAGGACCGAACGGGCTGGGACGCTCGATACTGTGGTTTGGGTTTGCCCTCCAAGCAACTTGCCAGGCCTTGAGAGCAGGCTCTACTTGGGCATGCATGGCCTCGGTCTCCTGCGCTTTCCATAGACGTCCATTGTGCCTATTCCTAGTTTCCCAAATGTAGACGTGCATGGCGTTAATCAGCACATAACAACCGAAAGTGCTGGGCCGGATATCACTCTCAGAAGGTCCGCTCATTGGTTGACCGCCTGCGAAAGCTTGGGGGTAAGAATTCCGCATCCGTGAGGTGGTGTTTCGTGAACTAGCTTCGAGAAGGTATGTCATGGCCGAAATGAAAGACAAACCCCGAGTCTGTGCAATCATTGGCCCTCCCATAGCCACCCACGTTTGGGGGTTGTCGACAGACCAGAGATCCTCTTCGCATGGAAGATCTAGATGTATCTCTGAGTTCAAGATACGTGGTGAATGCGCGTAGGCGGAGACAAGCAAGCTCGACATGGAGAAGATGGCAAAGTAAGTTCTCTTACGCTCTTCGATCTTCTTCCACTGGATCCATTGAGCATGTTCATCCACGCTATCCGCATTTTGGTCGTACTGCGAAGGCGAGCCATCTGGCATTTCCAAATTGTCGCCGTTTGCGTGGTTGGGAGGACTAGAAGACGTTTGCTCCGGAGCTGTTGGTTTGTCCAACCCAGCAGCTTTTGCGAGGCTGACGAGCGCCGCGCAATGAGTGCTCGCAACTTCGGCGGCCTGTCGGTCACCACAGTTGTGGCCGAAGATCAGGTTGAGCAGCATGGCTTGCACCAACCAAAGTGGTGGTTTGTTAATGTGGTCGTTTGCGGCATTGGATCCATTGACGGCAGAAAGGCCAGCTTTGCGGCGCTCATCAAGGTAGAACAGGATCAGCTTCTTAGCAGCTTCAAAAAGCTCTTTTGCGACATTTTGCTCAAATTCATACAACGCGCCAATCGCAGCCATGGCAAGGATAAGGCAACCACCGCCACCAACCATGGTGTCTTGGTTGTAGTTTCCGGCGGAGCGAAGCTGATATGTGTATGCTGGGGTATCGAAGGAAAGTGTAGGGATGTGCAAGAAGGGCAAGTGGGGGTGGAAATAATGAATGTACGCATTGACATAGCGCTGAATGTCGACAGTACTTGGGAGTATACCGGCCTGTGTTGAAGGCTTTGTAGTACCGTTCGACAGGGGCGAGCTGATGGCGGGTTGGGAGAATCTCCGTTGAGCTCCGTGACCGTACCCCATAGCTTGAGTCAAGTTGAACATCATAGCTTGCCTCGTAGAGTCTGTGATGGTTTCAGTAGAAAATGATGATACAGAGCTGTGTCTTGCGCTCCCGTTGAAGGAGGAAGATGATATGCTGCGGGCATCAGAAGCGAATGTCATGGGCGTCTGAAAGTACTGATTCGGCATACCGGGTATACCAGCTGAAGGGCTCATGGCCGCTAAAGGAGGTGGTGTAGAAGAGTAGAAATCATTTTGAACGCCATGGTTTCCGAGCTCTTGAGGAGTATTATTGTCCATCATGAGCTCGGGAAAGACAGGAGCCATGGCATCGAGTGTGAAAGCGGTTGGGTTGATGCTAGTATGAGTGACTAGAGGGTTGTGCCACATGGCTGCTGAGTTTGGTTGACTTGATCCGTCTAGCATCATGTCGTTGAAACCACTCTGGCTCGCGGTACTGATGGCTGATGGCGATGAGCCATCGAGAGCCGACTCGTTGGCGCCAGAAAAGACCATGGAGCTGTCAATACCCATACCCCAGCCAAAATCGTCTTCCTCGATAGGGTTGTTCCCAGCGAAGGGGTTGGCGAATTGCTTAAAGGGCGATTGCGGAAGTGCAATGCCTCCGTTGAAGTGATGCAGCTGGTTCGGGTTGATGGTGGAAGCTGCTGACGATCCGAAGAACTTCTCAAGCTCATGGTCGTCAGGCCCAGCCATTCCTGGAATGGGAGCTGTGCGAAGACCGCCACCCATACCAAATCCCAGATGAGTGTCCAGTCTTGGTAGACCTGAATGCTGGCCGTGGTTGCCGACAGCTGTCGACATGCCTCTGTAGTCGAATTGACTTATGCCCGACAGACTTGAATGTTGTGAATGGCCTGGGTGGTTGCCCCTGCCGCCAGCTATCGAAGTTCCATGTGTGGCTAGGAAACTATTGAGGGCGCTCGGATCGATGTGACTGATGGTGTTGGCGCGCGGCCTCATGATATTGGCAGCGCCCTTGGCAGCGCCGGCGTTGCTGGATATGGAGTTTTTGCGTACCCGAGCGGTCGAGTTGGGTGGGAGACCAGTGGTGCTTTCTCTACGTCCATTCCGGGGTCGTGTGTTGGCCGCGCCTTGCTGGTGGAGCTTCTGCTGGTGTCGTAGGAGAAGATCGCGTCGCGCGAAGCATCTTGTGCATTGGGGGCATTCGAATGGCTTCTCTTTTGTGTGTGATCGCTCGTGTCGCTTTAGATGCTCTAGTCGTGCAAATGAACGCGTGCATGTCGTGCAGACGTGAGGCCGGGGCTTGTCGTTTTTGGGTGGGGGGAAGGACTGGACCGTGGGCGATGTTTCGGGCTTTGCGGTAGAGGCTGAAGCTGCGATTAGCGGCTGTCGTTAGCTATCGTGGCGTTGGTTGGCGCTCGTTCCTACTCACAATTGCTGGTGGTGCCTGAGCCGTTGGAGTCGTCGCCCGGCGAGTTCGCGGGGCCTGGCAGGCTCGTGCTTTCTACTTTGGCCATGATCGTGTACGTTATTGGTAATACTCCAACCAGTTCCACGACAACAACAAAATCGCCTCGAGGGAGCTTGCAGATGAGCCAATAGTCGGATGGGGTAATACACGCTGCCTCAAAGTACCTAACAGCGGGCTGTCGGCGCTACCAAGGTCGAGCTCGTTGTAGCTTGCGGAGCCAACAAAGCTCTGCGAGGGAACAAAGGATGTATGGATACAAAGAGGCTGCCAACACACACGTACATGTCAGCGAGTGATACCACACGGTCGGGCAGAAGAGTGAAGACAGTACCTTGTACAGGCCTTTGTTGCGAAACGAGCGTTTATGAGCTTGTATACGCAGCGTCGCGGACGGGAAGCTCGTAGCAATGGGATATTAAGATGGAATTGGAGCTTCGGATGACAGTGGCTAATCTACAGCAAAGGTCAATTGCCAACTGCGGTCGAGCTTGGTTGAAGGTGGGCAAGTCAAGGATACTGCAAGGCCTCGCAACAAGAGCAAGCCTATGCTGAGTGAAGGAAGAAGCCAGGGGAAAGGACGTGTGAGTTGGTTGGATCGGTCCGTACATAGGTCGGCGTACGTACGTGGTCTACCGCTGGTCCCGGAATGCGTAGAGCCAGTGCGGGAGCTGTGGTAAGCAGTGGCAGTGGCAGTGGCAGCTGGTGGAGCTGGTTGAGCACGAGGGTCCAGCCTTGATGTAAGCGTCTGTACCAGCGGTGCTGCTGGAGGCGCCGGCGGCTTTTTGCTGGTACGGCCCAAAAGGCTAGATTACAGCGCAGACACAACCTTCGGTGCCGGGCAGAGCAATTGGGCGACCGCGCAACGATTGGCCGGGGTTGCAGAAGCAGGCCGAGTCTGGGGAATCGGGCACGGGCCAAGGTTCGCGGGACGAGAGCTACCAACAGTAGATGAGCAACGAGAGTCAACAAGTACACAAAGCAAGTCGGACACGGACAAGCTGTGGCGATGTCTGTTGGAGATGTTAAGAACAGGCACGACGCAGGCGGCGTTATAGAATTGTAAGCAGATCCCCAGACTTCACGGCTCGTAAAGCTTTGGAGCTAGCCGGCGAGTGTGTCATGCAACTGGCCAGCGCCCCAGGTCGTTCGACGACGGGCCTGCAAGCACCAGGGCCTCTAGGAAAGTGGATCCTCCAGCAAACGGCCTCTCTGGCGCAGGGGTCTTCTCCGGAGTACTTCCGTTGCTCTACCCTCGCCTCTACATGCTCGTCGCAAGAGGCAGCGATGTGCGTCTGCGATCAGCAGCGTCGCCTTCAAGACGCTTCGTGGCTTGGCTGCAGCAAGTGCGCCAGGGGCCCACAGCTATGGCCTCGGCTCTGTATCAACTCGTCCTCTCTACCAGCTGCTCTACACACATGGCCTACTTTATTAGTGGAATCTGCCCCAACTATGAAGCCGCTGGATCTATAATACATTCCAGACGGGGCCGGCTTCATTTCGCCTGGCGGAGATAGATTGTCGAGCTCCAATGGCCTGCCAGTTCCATATTAATTAGCAAAAGACAATACCGTCGCTGCTCGTTCCTGAAGATTGCACGGGTCTAGGCACGACCATGCTCTGGCTCCCGACATGGAGTTTCAAGAGCCTGCCACAGACACCGACGAACGATGATGGTGCTGCGAGATGCGCGCACAACAATGGGGCTCGCATACACGACCCATGTATCTGCTGCCGTCAAGCGCCCGGCTATGGGAACGGACGACTACTGACAGCACGCTACGCAACACCAGCACTCCACTCAGCACCGCCGGCCGACTCCAATTGCTTTTGCACACACGGGTAGCTGCTCGCGCTGACATCGGTGAGGGTTGCAAGGCCTGCAAACTTCCCCAGGAAATTCAAGGTTGAGCCTGCAGAGCTTGGACGACGGCAGGAAAGGAGGCTAGCTTCTTCGGGATCTGGGGTAAACAGCTAGCGCACGCACTAGTGGATAGCATGGGTCGCCTAAGGGCCATCCACACATAGCGCCGCATGACCACGGCCTGCAAAGTCCCCATCGCCGTCTCTCTGGCCCTTGTCTATGCTGCTCGACCCGGCCACACCTATCACCGGCACACAGCGTTGATCCCGTCTTCTTTGGCCTGCTGCTGAGTACATACGCGCATCGCAAGAACTGTTACCGCAACGTTGCGAACCACCACACTCATGCTGATCGTAGCTCAGCAGCAAGAGCGGCGGATCGAGAATGAGCCGGTGGCAGTAGAGACAAACTCTTCACGCCCTGGCCTTGTACCATTGCGCAGTCACGGTGGGTATACTACTGCACCTGACCTTCGGCAGCCCAGGACCCTGACGTTCTCGGTATGTCGCGCTCGCCACACAGCGTGCGCCGCACTCGTCCCGCGACGCGCACTGGAGTGACAACGACGTATGACGGCATCGTCAGGCTGTTATCGCACTTTCGGCCATCCACTATTCTTGCTTCGGCTTAAACCTCCAGCTACCTCACAAGTCGGGTATGCATTGCCACATTCAAACTTCGGCTATGACCGCGCTGCTATCTCGCAGTTCCGACGCTGCACAAAATCCTAGCCAGTGACGTTGCGTGCTTGTGGCAATTGAAGATCGGCTGTCGCTGTGCATGAGCACCAGCAAGCTCGTGGCAGATCTGCAACCGAACGTCCACCAGGTGGAGTCAATCCTTCAGCGACATCAAAGCCATTTACGTCAATCGAAGCACTGTAGAAGAACTGTCGAACGATCAGGAATTGTTGCATGCATTATAGAGCTCTTACTGCTGATCGTGGCTGGATTCGTTGCTAAGCCACTTGAGATCATCACTCAGCATGGCATCGCAGTTGTCAACGCACATACCACTCGATCTGCGCAATCCCAGTCCTTGCCTATCTTCTGACATTTCAAGAGATCGCTCGCCAAATACAAAGTTCGCTGATCGATAAAATCTCCGGCAACACCATTCGCATAGTTCTGAGGTCACCTTAGGCCGGCAAATTCAGGCAATACTGTCTGCGAAAACGAAACCGAAATTACATGATTTGCGATTGGTGCGGAAATGCAAGTAAACTGTTTGGCGATAGCTCGTCCACGTACCAGCTTTACTGTGATTTGTTAGCACCGATGAGCGCAGCGTGCATCTCGCACTTGGAGGCATCGTTCTCGCGGCTGCGCAAGAACGACGCGTCGGACTGCGCGTGCAGGCATGACGTGCGTTCCTTGTACAACCATCGGGACGAGTCTACACAGCGCAACTCACAAATTTGATGCCGACCGAGGCGGAAGCACATGCAGATGCTTAATGACGAGCGTCTGCTTCTTCCCGTTCGCTTCAAGTGACAGCCCGCTCGAACCGATGACGCATACTAGCCCAATGAGGATATTCCGGCGCACTCCCCCAGACACATACCCCTCGTACTTCATCTCGAGGTCTGCGAACCGCCAGAACTGTTGCGCCCTGCAGCTCCACCTATCACGCTCCTGCATCTGCGAGGCATGAGCCGTCTCCCGTTACCATTCGTACAGGGAGCTGTTCGGAGTGACAAGAGCGAAAGCTGGGTCTGGAAGCACCGTAAAGACAAATACACAACAGATCAGCGTGCATGCAACGCAAAAGCATGGTGTTCCACTCTAATTGCACGCAACGTTACAAGATCCTGGAGGGAGAACAGCAACCCTGTATCTCACCTTGGACTTGCTACCCTCTCTTGTTCTAGTTTTCATTTCGCTTCTAGCAGTCGCTGGCAACACCCAAAATCACCCCACATTATAACAATCGTTCGAGGCTTGATGTTGAGCGCCCAAATATAACGCAATATTGCTGACGCCAAGCCCTTTACTGACTGTACACCACTAGGAGAAGCTAGATCTGGTGGGTTTTGACGCGCGATTGCAGTGACGCTAGTATTGCAGTAGTCTGCGTCTCACGTGCACGCTTGGTACGTACCTCGCCGCTTCCTACGACCCACTACCGCTTCGCGACTGGAGCTTTGTACCTTGGCCTCTAGACGCAACTGATGGGTTAGACTCGATCCTATCCGTTCTGCTGGCAGACAGTCAGACGATACAATCAACAGCATCGACGTCATGCGCCAAGCGGATGTACTGACAATGAAACGATCCTCTAGGAATGTGCGGTACTTTTCACCCCCAGTGGGAGCCTAGAAGAACCTACCGCTTACCCTCATCGCTATTCTCCGATAGGTCACAACTGGAGCTCTTCCGCCGTAGCCGATACAGCGTCTTAAGTCCGCAAGTTGTTGTGCTTGTGACACCTCCAATTCTGGTAAGCTTTCGGTCTTTTACTCACCCGGTTCCGGGATGCGTCTTCAAGACCCTGAATTAGGTGTCAAAGCAAACGTTGAGGAATCACTCTTCAGCTTATATGGGGCGTCTATCCACATTCGGGTGTACGGGTGGCTGTTCCTGCAAATTCACATTCGCTACAGCATGCAGATGGAGTAGATGTCAGCACTTCGCCGCAAGCTCTTCCTTGAGAAGAGCCACTCAACATTCTAGGGTCTATCCTAGTATGTCACTCCCGAACATGTGGCTTAAAACGCCCTTTCTTTGCTTTTGCGCCTATCCCCTGTCCCCATGTTCCCAATTCGTTGCGCGTTTAGGTTTTAACTTTGCGTCTGACAGCTGTAATCATTTTCGGTCGCCTCACCCTTCATTCAAGAACTCAGTTTGCCTCACGTACAGGTACCTTTCTTTATAGCGGCAATAGTCTTCTCATCCCGCATCCCAACACCCCACGCCGGCCGGGAAAAACCCTTTCCCTCCGCGCCCCAGAATATCTCCACACAGTATCCACTTGTCTATACCAGGAAAAGAAGCCCGCGGCTCAACAGCGGCAGATGAACAGGTTACTAGCTTTCCGCGAACCCACCAAGTGGATCTATCACCGTGGCTATGTAACCTCACGGCGCTGTATTTCGCGCATCTGTTACAAACGGCAATTCGTCTTGTCGCAAATAGATTGTCCGAGCATGTTCGCTACAACATACGACTTCAATCTGTGCCAAGTCGATGGCAAAGTCGAAGAAGAGATGTCCGGAATAGAGACTTGATTTACGGCTTACCATTCGCAGCTCCTGCATGCTGTTGTATGACTTGCATAATGTTACGCAGCTGCTGACGCAACACCAAGTCCTCTTTTTGTGCTGATTTCAAGTTTCACACAACCGGTATTGAGTGTGCATGCGAGAATGTGTATACCGATGTTCGGGCGAGAGATAGGGTTTCGACCTGGGGTGTGGAGGTTATGCCTGATTGATCAACCTAGGGAGCAGGTGATGGTATGACGGCATGGCTTAGGAGCGGAAGTGGCCGCACATATCACACAGCGAGTCGCGGCCTACTTCGTCATCATGGATAGATTTTGCGATTCATCATAGATTTGTTGTGTGCGGCTTAGACTGATGCGAAGAAGGGCGTACTACCAGAAGTATGAAGAGCATAGATGATCAGCATTGATGACCTTGACGACACGGTAATACTTCTAATGAGTAATGCAAAGTCATCAATTGCTTACACGGAAGTGAGAGTGCAGACACAAAGGCATTTCTCAGCTCGAATGGCTTAATGCTTTACGCGTTACTTCACCTGACTTCTTTTCCATACTGTTCCATGATGTTATACTCCAAATGTCATCATCACGTGCATAGCTTCTCAAAAAAGACCGCAACATGATCACGCACTTCGTCTACTCTCGGAACCATATTGAGTTGTATCTTCACCCTCCATCAACTTACTCCGCATTTTCATTTAGCTTCTCAGAGCAGGTCCTCCACGGCTGTGCTGGTTTGGCAGCGACGGCCTGTGTACAAGTTCACTTACAAGCTTCTTCTTTCTTGTATCATCATACGTGTATGTCTGTGTTGCTCGAGAAAGGAGAACTAGCTTGCAATCCTGCGATGACATTTGGCGTAGTCCTGCGCCCAAAGGTACGGCTATCAAGTCCATGGTGTTGTCGCACTGTTACTGGGAATGCTGCTCTTCTAGCCTCTTGAGCACACAGAACTTATAAGTTTCAACCTCCAGTAAACATACCCCATGTCTTCCCCCAGAATTCCCGTCTTCCAAGACTCCTTTAAGAGCAGGAATGGTGTGCTCTTGCGGTGAACTAAGAATTCAATCGTTGTATATATGCAGATGACCACGAGTTCGTCTCCACGCGTTATCAGATGACCATTGACGACACCAAGGAAATGCACAATATATTACCATGAGAACGAGCAGAAGTCCTACTAACACAACCCACCATCTCTTAGTCCTCCCTTCGTCTCAACGCACTTGTCACCAAGGCTGTGAGAAAGCTTATACCGTCGCTTATGGATGAGTGGTCTCTTAATCGCGAGATCGCTCTTGCTTCAAATTTGTATGGCGGATCTGTCTGTCGCTCTTGCCAAAGTTCGTGGTAACTCACACTTCTTACGAAAAAACACATCACGCAGTACGCGCCTGTGTTATGCTCGCATAGCGGCTGACACTACTGGTACGCTACAAAATGGTGGCAAAGTCTGTCATGCTTCCTCTGTCTGCACTTTTTCTCTGGTAGTCTGCTTTGCGACTCCAAAGATCCGCAGGTATCATTGGATGAAACTGAAAGTGCGGCGATGAATGAATAAGCTGTGGATGTTGACTCCAAAGCTCGATCAGAATATTGATGAGCCTATGCGATACCCGAAGTTGATTCTTATTTGGAAGAAATAAAACATAAGAAAGTTCCCCGCATATGGTCCAAGATTACTACCACAATGTCTCATGAGATCTTTGTGTCTCCTCGAAATTGGCGAGCATAGAAACTATTAGATGCTGATCGTGTCGATGGAAAGCGGCGCTTTGTGACAGATGATGTGTATAAATCTCTCCTCGGCGCTGGCTTCCAACGCTTTTTCGCGTACTTGTATACCGTGAATCACTGTTACTCCTCTTTCTTCCCTCCTTACCACACTTTTGTAGAGCTTAAGCAAGAAAAAAACACAACTCGATGAGACTTATCTGCAAAAATAGACCAGTTAACCCTGATGTCGCGACTTTCGCTCTCTGGTCTCTTGTCGGGACGCATTCCGAATTACCAAATACAATTTCTACACCAACCTGGGAAAGCCGGAAATCTAATATTCGAGGTGTACGGCGCAGACGATACGGCTTTCTATTGTTCAACATTTAGAGTTACCCATTCTTCCAGGTTTTCTCCGCTTTCACTACAGTGTATCTGGCCGGTACACCAGAAATTATCGACGCTTTCCGAACGACGTTGAGAAGAAAAGATATGTTAGAACACATATCATCGCATCTGTTCTTCTTCTTCTTTCCCTTATCTTCAAAGTATACTCTCCACCGATCCTTATGCTACTCGTTCTACGGAGAAGAAGAACCTAAAACATATCACTGATCGAGGCACGACTTGGAGCAAACAACCACACAACCGCTTACACTTCTCCTTCGTTACTTCAAAGTAACGAAAGTATACAGCTCAACTTTTTATGAAAAGAAGAAACCAGCAAAATGTATTCTATGGGTGCTGTGAGACGCCTCAAAAGTTACTTTCTTTGACCTTACGTTTGCACAAAAATACTCGCCATACACCTTGCTCAAAATATCATGCCATCACTAGAAAGAGACGACCACTGTCTTACACAACTGAATGAAAGTGCGCAAATTCCAGCTGTACCTTTCTTTGTTAGAAAGACATGCATCAATCGACGATAGTCGGATCACCTATTGTTGGATCCGTGGTTACAACTCCCCTCTTTCCTCGAGTTCCTTACTTCTCTAACATACATCCTGTGACCAATTCACTAAAATGCCACTTTCTTTGTTCCATGTATCTAAACGTGTATCCCAGAAAGCCCCAAGTGCTATTGCGCCACTTCCAAAAATCACCGGTACCTGTCCATGGCGGCGGAGAAGCAGGTCCGATCGCTCATCTAGTGAAAAGATAATACCTGCGCACATGACGAGGGCTTCGTGGCTGTTGAGCACAAAATCTGCTCTCGATGTGTGCTTCCTTTTCACTCTTCGAACGAATTTATATCACATCTTCTCTAAAACTGGTCCTCGAACGGGAAATGTCTCCAAAAGCCATGGCACGCATAGGTATGCGCTGTTTCTCTCTTCTCAAACAAGATAAGAATCGCACCGATGGACTTTGCGCGCCGAGAATAGTTTGTACAAAGCTGTATCCAATCGCAACATGTACGCGGAAGATGACTTGGACAATCTCCATGTGAGAAAAAGATCCGACCTTTTGCAATCCAAGAGCAATGACAGTATGTCCATGCTAGAGGGCCGCGTGTGAATCGTGAACGACATGCTTTTCTCTCATGTCTCCATCGCCCTTGCCTCGCAGTAATGAACTCCGAAATGTGAACAAGCAGCGTCTATGAAGAGACAAGAGCATCGCAAACCACAAAAGCCGCATGACGTGATTCTGCTAGAAACAAAAGGCTACCGACGTTAGCTTGGTTGTAGGCCCCTAGGTGTATACGTCCACTTATTGACAAGCCACCTCCGAAACGGCGGCTGTGTTCATATGTGCATTTCGTCCACGACTACTCGGACGTACTGATCATACATAATCCCCGTAATCTCATGTCTACCTACAAGCCAAGACTCATATCTCGAAAACACCACCCATCCCCACTCTAACATCCACGAAATCCGGTCTCCATCCCTTGTATTGCACGAGCCCCCTCTTAACCTCCCTAACCCTCTCGAGCCTCTTCTTGGCCTCCTCTTCCTGTGCTTGCCTAAATGCATCCTCATCAATTTCGAATTCATCGAGACTACCCAGACTTTCTTGCCTAGGCTTCGGCTTACTCGCAGCATCGCTTCGTCGATGCGCAGGATTCTGGCCGGTGAAGGCTGAGATGCCAGATTGGATGACATCTTGGAAGGAAGAATGTGTGCGGTTGGGGAGGGCTTGGCGGGATGGCGCTCCAGAGAGGTCGATGTCGTCGAAACTGTTGGTGCTGGTGTAGGGATGTGAGGCGTCTGCCTGGTCGTCGATAGAAGGTTGCATCTGTTGGCGACGGTCGCGCCATACGCCTCGGCGAAGTTCGAAGTTTTCTTCCTCGAGTTCGCGGACCTTGGCGAGGAGGCGGTCGCGCTCTTCGTCCAGGAGTTCTTGTACGCTTGAGTCTTCGATAGAGCCGAGATCAGCCTTGCGGCGGCGCTGCTCTGCCTCTCGAAGACGTGCGTTCTCGTTGCTGAGGCCTGTTATGCGAGTCCGTAGTTCTGTCGCTTCTCGCTCAATCTTCTTGTGCTCTTGTATGCGCGTCTGGTTTCGGGTGTCATTGTCTCGATGCAGTTGTGTGAGCGTTTCAATCTTCTTCTCCAACAACTCAGCGCGCGAGACCGAATCTGAAGCTTTGCGGTTCGCCGTGCCCAACTCAGCTTCTAGTTGCGCAATGCGTGTCTGTGCAGAGTCGCGATCTGAGCCGTCCTTCTCAGCCTGATCCCCGGCTTTGTCCAAACTTGCTTTGAGTTCCTCTAGCTCCGTCTTCGTTGAGTTGGCTTCTTGTTCTGCCTTTTGCACTGCGGATTCCAGACTGGAAATCTGTGACTGAACCTCGTTGTTCTTAGTGGTCTGTTCCGAGAGCTGCCTGTTGACGTTCGAGATCTCCAGCTCCAATGACTCGATAGTTGCAGACTTTGAAGCAACTTGCGCATTCAGATCATCGATAGATGCGCTCTGACTGGGTGACGCAGTCGATGTACGACGAATAGATTTGTTGCTTTGCGTTTGCGCCTGCGCGAGCTGTCTCTTGAGGGATTCGACTTCGGCTTTCTACCCTGCATGTCAGTATCCTGTCCCACATGTCAACCTTTTCTCAGATGCCTACCAGTTTGTCAGCCTCCTTGCCCTTCTCGACTGCAAGCGCAACGTCTCCTCTGCTTTCTCGCAGCTCCTCCAGTTCTTCTTCACCCTTCTTCCATCTTTCCTGGTTTTCTTCAACTTCGCTTGCGAGTCTTTTATTCTCTTTCTCGAGCTCCTCAATCTTCTGTGCTTGTTCCCGGTAGACCTCGCTTGTGACCCCTCCTCCCGGCGACAAAGGCCCACCAGCGGCTCCCGAGCGATAGAAGGACTCAGATCGCTGTCGCGACTCGACGGCGACTGAGGGCTTGCGGCCGTGTGCTGCCTTGGGCACAGCCAGCTCCGACGGCTCGTCATCGTCCTCCTCTGGCGGTGGCGCTGCGCTTGTAGCTTCTACGGGTTCTGGCGCGACTTTTTCGGGCTGATCTTCGGTAGTTGTCGCTTCGGCGGAGGCTTCGGTAGAGGCTTCTGCTTCAGCGGGTGCCTCTGCCTTGTCTTCCTTCTTCTTTCCACCGCCCGCCTTCTTTGTCTTCTTCTTCAATTGCTCATACTATT